TTCCAGTGGCTTTTCTACTGATTTCGCTTTTGTCGCTTACTTTTGTCCCATATCTTTGACAAGACTGTTAATCAGCGCACTTCTGACAAACTCTTGCCACTTGTCATGTTCAAATGTCACCGGTACTAGTCACATTGCAGCGATAACTTTGAATGTGTTTCCTTTATCGGTGAGTTTCTATAGCTTATGAAGTAAATTGACAATGTGGGTCACGGTTATCATAATTGCCTAGGACCACTAAAAAGAAAAACAAATGACTGCACCAAGCAAACGGTCGTGATTGTCAGTTGTATTACCATTAATCTGTAGACCTGCTGCGATAGTTTATATTCGATAATGAACAAAAGCCGTCCTACACGCTGGGCCTTTAGTCATACTTGGTATGCGAGACTTCCGACAAGACCAATTTTTTTTATCCTACACGTTCCTCAGTGGAACATAGGGCTTCAAGCTAGTGGCTTGAAGTTTCTGTAGCAGTGTTTATTTTACAGGATGGGGTTGCTAGCCAGCCTCATGCCCAACCTTTCCTCTTCACCAGCATTATTTCTGGCTTAGCGAGCGAGGTAAAGGAGTGCGCCTGTGGCCGGGGATCGAACCGCAGACCAATTTGCTTGGGTCAATGTCGACGGGGAGAGGTTTAAACATGTTACCTTGAAATGATAGGAGTATTAGAAGGTTTAAGCCGGTAGGTCACTCTAAAAGACGGTCTTACCGATCAACACCCGTTAGGTTTTGCGATCGTTGCTGCCATTGTCTCACTTCACACTATATCCTACTTCATCTAATGCATGATCAGAAGTAGTTCGAACAGTTGTATGATAATTCCAGATTAAAATAATTCGGTCAGGTCTAAGCAATATAATATACAGGTCAACAGTGATCACCCCTTAATGGACAATCAATGTGTACAAAAATGGAACAGTAAGAGATGGACAAGTGAGCAGAAACAAGCTATTCAGAATATACAAGAGAAGTGAAAGATAGACATCGAAAATTCTGGCAAGAAACAAATCAAAGCTTGGAAGCTGTTTAAAGTAGGCGACCAGGTGAAATGTAGAGAACGAAAGTATACTCTCGGAAGTGGACCAGGATCATTTCTGATCCTTCTACCGAAGTGGGAGGGACCGTATGTGGTCACATCGAGACGCAGTCCAGTGTACACAGTAAAGAGAGGAGATAAAGAGGAAAGAGTAAACGCCAGTCTGCTACAAAGATGGAGATAAGAATGTCAAGACGAGGAACCTGAAGAACAGCAGGATGGAACGTCTGTGCGGCGAGCAAGGCAGTTACAGGAGAGACTTTATAATGATGGGGCGAGTGCTACTCATAATCCGATATAAGTAGTATACTAGAAAGCGAATTCAGAAAAGTAACAATATGTTTTGCACACTGGAAACAGAAATCAAAGAAGAGAACTATGCGAAGAATGTTGCCACATGATGCAGAATCCAAGAAGCTATCGAATGTGAGGATATTCGACCAATCCGTGAAGGATGTGCAAATGGCGGTTTGAGAATATGGTATACCAAATTTACCTATGTACAATACGTTTCACCTCCTCCTCGGTCTTTTCTTCTCTACAGTATAACTTTCTCGTCTTAATTACATTAGTCAACATCTATCGGTCTAGGTTACTTGCTTTGTAAGTATCGACCAACACGGGACCTCACCTTCTGTGCTGCCTATCTACTGACAGACAACTGGTCCTTTTTTATTGCTTACGAATTCGAATGAACTGTTCAACTTGATTTCTTAAAATAAAATTCGCTGTTATTGTCGATCATACACTAATACGTTATAGTAAATTTCATAGTTTTTAAATCACTAGAGAGTAAATTCATTCCTGATTAAAGAATATGATTTTTGATCTAGATCGCAGTTTGAAACCATTCATTCATTCATCCTTAGCATTATGAAGGCCCCAGCCAAGTTGACTGCATAACCTAGAGAGAGAGGGGATTCCATGAATTGGTTTTATATCTTGGCCCGGTCACCTATAGCTTCGTACCAACGTAATATACATTACAGGAATCATCAGTGTAACCCGTAGGCTAGCTAACTTCTTCAATTGTCTCTATTTGTCAGACTCATTCATGTATTTGCAATTAATAGTGTTCGAGCTTGTTGGTTTAGTTGCGGAGCTTTCGTCGTCCTTCTGGAAAACATCTTCAGCGTAATATTTAGCATAAAGTGAAATGATTTAAATTTCTTCCTGAGTGATATAATTGCGTCTCCTGGTAACTATCTTTACATATGTATTGACCATTTTCTATTGACTTAGATTTTAAAATTTCTGGTCACCTGATTTACTTTTTATTAGTTGGTATATTTCGTCTATATTAACGTGTTTATTAATTGCATTTTCGTTTGAGTACCAGGCTTCTAGGAATTCCCTGACTGCACTTTTGGTGGTGTCCCCTCTGTCTAAGATTTTGACATTATCCCAATTGTCTATATGCATTGATACTAAAGAATACATATCGTGTCTTTTCACGGCTGATTTTTGTTCTTGGATTCTAATTCGAAGGGGACGCCCAGTTTGGCTGATGTAATGCTTGTTACAGTTCATACAATTTATTTTGTAAATGGTATTAACTTTATCTGCTTTTTCTGTTGGATCTTTCGGTTTGCATAATATCGAATGAAGTGATTGGGCTGGCTTGTGTGTTTTATCTATTTCAAACGGTTTTAATATTCTGGCTGTTGGTACTCATGTGAATTAGCGATTAACAAACATATTAATACAGACCAGATTTACCAACTAATAAAAAGTGAATCACGTGACAAGAGAGTTCAAATTCCAAGTCAATAAAAATGATCAATAGAGATGAAAAACAACTACCAGTCACGAATGTGTTTGCCAGGAGACACAACTGTATCAATCATAGAGAATTCAAATGAGTTCATTTTATACTGAAACCTGTGCTGAAGATGTTATCCAGAAGAACGACGAAAGCTTTGCAACTATATCAACCAGCTCAGAAAACACAACTAATTCAGAATCATCCACCTGAGCTCTAAATCTTCTCCATTAATAAAATGCCTCCTAGACGATGTGTGTAGAAAACAAAAGATTTCAGTATTTGCTTACAATGGACTACATGATCTCTTAAAATGCGACTGGTTATTCATATGCAACCATGCCTAGTCTATTGGCTAGTTCTCAGTCAGAAAAAGAAGGAAAGCTTGGGCATGGAGCTATCTGTCCTTCCGTGGAAAATCAACCCACTCATTACAGAAACCTCAGTCCACAGAAAAATATAAAAATAAACCTATTCTCTGCTGGAATCGAACAGACGAAACAACACAGGCTAAAGAAAGCCTTCAGTTGGTCGATGTGTCTTATTTCAATGAAAGCAGAAATAATTATGGGCACATAGAATGTCCACTGATGGGAAGGCTTCTTAGACTGTTAAAAGAAATGAGAAAATAGGGTACAAAAGCGCGAGTAACCTGTGAGAACAGTTGAAATGAATGTCGATTATCGAAACTGTCAAGTAGAGAGTCAGTAATCTACTCCGTTTACCCAGATGACAACCACAAGCACATGGAGATGATGGTTACCATGATGTCACCAACAGCATCCGCCAAGGCAATGATCACAAGATATAGCCCAAAAGGAAAGAAAGTCATAATGATCCAACTCTATGCGCTTACAAACAATGCAGATCAAGAGAAGGAAGATTTCTACAGATAACTCCGAATAGAAATGGATAAGACATCAAATGGTCACATCAAAATACCAATGCACCATATGAATGCCGAACTGGAAGATAGTAACAACGAAAAAGAATTCATCATGGAGGCTCTCAGTGAAATGAGTGATAACGGAGGACTCTTCCCAAACACTTCCGTGGATTCAATGATTTGGTGATTGGAGGCAATGTGTACATGCATAAGGATGTACATACGACAACATGGACTTCACCAGATGGACAAAACGAAAGTTAGACAAACTTCACCGAAATCTGAAGAAACGGCAGTCAGATGTTGGCTTAGACCATTATTTATTGCAAGGAACATTCAAGGACATGTCTGGAGATAAACTGAAATTCAAGATCAACTCTCAGAAACTGAAGGAGGAATCTGTTAACGACACCATTAGAGCGGCGGTCCGAGAGGTCGGGGACACCACTTAGCACTACCAAAATATCCTGTATGGAAGAACACGGAAATCTCCAATTTGACTGGCTTGTGTGCTATATCTATGTCAAACGGTTTCAGTATTCTAGCTGTTATTTCAGAGATATTTCTCATGTATGGTAGGATGAATTTTCTTGTGGTCTTTGATGATGGTTCTTTGTTGGTGTTTTGATTCGACTTTGTATTTGCTTTGACTTTAGATCTTTAATATACCGCAATGATACAAGTAATATATATCGCAAACAAAAGAACAGACATTGTGAAAGAGATCATGTATGTCTATTTGTGTCTATAAATAATTGATTAGATAATCGCATCATATAATTACAATGATATATAGTAATGTCAGATTGTATCCACCAATCAATTAACCAAGAAAATAAAATACTGACTTAAGAAAGAAAGAAAGAAAGACGCTGGCAACAGCAGACAGCAGAAAATAGTTGTGGTAAATAACTGTGGTAAAAAAGAAAGGTAACCGGGAGGGAGGGGTTAAAGCAGTCGCATACATTCGGGAGGAAAACAGCAGCTAAAAACCACAGATAACATACATATTTATGTTATATATATAGAAGAGAAAGACGGCGAAATTAGGATTTAAACACAACGAGAAAGAATATTCACTCCACTCCACTTCTTTTCTCTTTCTTTTTCACGATAAAGTTTGAAAAAAAAACAACTCAAGAAGCGATGTATGGAAAGCAGGTGAGGGAAAGATCTCTCTAGTAGGCATAAGTAAGTAAGTAAGCAGGAAAAAGAAAATCAATAAAATGAATGAATTGAATATATCTAATTATTATTGCCAGTGTTATTATTGATTAATTAAAAATCAATGAGATCATTATTGAATTGAAAAGGAAGGCTAAAAGCAAATGAAGGATGAGTGAGATTCCAGGTTAAATTTATTGAAATCAACTAAAAGTCAAGTAGCATTAAAATCATTGTGTATATATGTTGTATCTATAGAAATGATGAATAATGAAAGACTATGGCGCATATATTAAAATATAAATATAATTGCAACAATACTGACAAATAATGCAAATAATGACATGCCAGTTTTTGATCAGTAGGCATAACATGGTGAACTACTGCTGAATTATTTACACTTAATTATGCATAAAGGATGATGAATGGATGATCAGTAGTATAGTTTCGTTGATGCTGTTGATGTATGCTGTTATATGCATTTCATTGAGGCTTCATATATATTCTTTGTTGTTTGTTGATTTCTCCTAATTTTGAAATGGAGAAAAAAGGATTAAAAATAAGCATTTAAGTAAATATATATAAATAAACTAAAAAAAATAAAATTGAAAGCAATACAACAAATACTACGTTGAGTAGAGTTGAATGCAAATACATGCTGAAGAAGAAATGGGTAAAAAAGTGCATAATAAAACAGGAAGATATAACAACACTGAATTTTGCATTGAACTAACCTACTTCTGTGAACAGTAATGTACTATTCAATGTACTATTTACTCATATAGAAGAATATATTGTATCCCAGTAATATAATGCGGTGCGTCGGTGTCATAGCAGTGAGGACGCTCGTCGACCATGCACATGGTCCGGGGTTCGATCCCCGGCCACAGACGCACTCCTTTACCTCGCTCGCTAAGCCAGAAATAATGCTGGCTGGTGAAGAGGAAAGGTTGGGCATGAGGCTGGCTAGCAACCCCATCCTGTAAAATAAACACCAATGCTACCGAAACTTCAAGCCACTAGCTTGAAGCCCTATGTTCCACTGGGGAACGTGAAGGAAAAGCAAAAATATAATGCAGTTGAATTCAGTGTTACTGGGTTGTAAATTGGAGTCGTGCAGCTATCTAGCCGTATAGAACAACGTGCGAATGCGACTCATGAGCATTAGCATTTGATTTTCAGTCCCACTGTACTCATCATGGCTTGAACACCTGGGTAGTGGTATTCTTATTCATCTTACAGCTAATAAGTCTTATATCCCGGTGCACGAAGAATCTATGCCGGGAAATTGAATTCCATGTAATAGAAGGAAAAACAATCAACTTAAAGGCTTTCAAAGAAGTTAACTGGTTAGAACCTTCGTTTACAGTAACAACAAATAAGAAAACTATGGAAATCCGAAGAAAAAAGATAGTGAATGAAGAGTGCATAGTTTTATAAAAACTGTTACAAAGGTGACTATAAATCTTGTTGTTTTGAGATCCATTTATATTTATAATTTTCCTCTTTAATCTGCATCGAAAGACCATTTATCCCACCAAGCTTTCTATAATCAATCCACTATTCACACAATAATCAAACATATGGATATCACTGGAACTCGTTAAGTAAATCCACAACAGCAGGCATAACTCGATTTCAGGATTTCATCATGAACTGGCATCGGATAGAAAATCATTGGAAAACAAGCTGGGAGTACTGGGCAGTTATTTCGTCCTAGTTCACGACTCTTCAATAATACGCACCCACTGCCAGGGTTCGAACACAGGATTTTCTGGTTACAAGGCGAGCTCGTAGACCATTAAGCCACTGGGACCCGATCCAATGGCCAGTGCATGGATTCTAACTTCTCACAATTCACGACATAGCACGACCACTAGCCAATGTCTTCGGCGTCTGGCCCTATTCAGGTAGGTAGTTACCTGGGGTTCTGGTGGGAAGTCGTGACCAGTAGGGTGCAGCAGGCCGGGTGTGAGGACAAATACTCGCCAAAGATATTGGGTAGTGGTCGCGTTATGTCGTGAATTGGCAGAAGTTGGAATTCATGCACTGGCCATTGGATCGGGTCCCAGTGGCTTATTGGTCTACGAGCTCGTCTTGTAACCAGAAGGTCCTGGGTTCGAACCTTGGCGGTGGGTGCGTACTGACGAAGAGTCCCAAATTAGGACGGAACAGCTGTCCAGTACTCCCAGGTTTTCCAGTGGTTCTCTTACCAATGTCAGCTGATGAGGAAATCCTGTAACCAATCCAATCCCTACACACTAACACTTAAACTTCTTCAGATATTGTTTTATAAAAGTTCTGTAAATTCAATCAGTACAACAAGCTAAAGTAAAAAACATAAGCTATTTAAGCAAAAATGTGTTGGAACCATAAAATATGATATTCAATGAAAGCGTTCATACATTATTTTAAGGTGATTCGTGATGCGCAATAAAGCATTGATGACTTAAATGAAGAAAAAAAAATGAGAAATTGAATATGAGTAATGCAATAAGCAGGTTAAACAGAAAATTTAGAGTAAATGCATACAAGTATACTCACAGAGAACGAAAACAGTATTTTCAAGACACTACTAACTTAGCCGAATAATCTCTGTTTCCTTGATAAATCCCTAAACACCTCTACTTCATGACAGAAAAATATCCCAAGTGAAAAATTTATTAGTCTTATCGATTAGTAATTGTTGCTAGATTTCTTCTTTCTATATGCAGCGCAACTGCCAGTCAGTGTCATAGGCGAGTAACTGTTCTCTTGCCGCTAGCTACGACTTCTCGACTGGCGGTTGCTCTCTCTCTCTTACTTTCTCTCTCTCTCTATATATATATATATACATCGCGAATTAGCAGAATTTGGAATCCGTTTGACCAATAAATCGGATCTCAGTGGCTGAATGGTCTACGAGCTCGTTTTGTAACCAGAAGGTCCAAGGTTCGAACCTTGGCGGTGGGTGTGTACTGTGAAGAGTTACAGATTAGGACGAAACAGCTGTCCAGTACTCCTAAGTTTTCCAACGGTTTTCTAAGTGATTTCAACCTGTAACAAATCAAATTTCCGCAAACTAACACTGGATTTCTTTCCCTGTTCGAATATACTCTTTTGGTTAGTATATATATATATGCATTGTAAACTATCCTAATTTACCATTTTAAAGTTAAATTTAAACAGGCCTTAATGAAGAGATGATGAACGTTCAATGAAATGAAATATCTTACGGGGAATTTCCGGAAGAAAATAATGATTTTAAGCTAATAAGAGAAAAGAAAAAGAGTGGCGATTCAAGAAATTCCTTTACGTTCCAAGTGGAACATAGGACTTCAAGCTACAGTTTTGAAGTTCCCGGTATGAGTAGTATTTGTTTTTACAGGATGGGGTTGCTAGACTCATGCCCCACCTTCCCCTGTTTACCAGTCTTATTTCTGGCGTAGCTAGGTAAAGGAGTGCGGCGGCCGGGGATGGAACCCCGAACCATCTGTGGCATGGTTGGCAAGTATCCTACCGCTGTCACCGACGCAAGAAAAAACAAAAAAAATTAATCTCTTCGTAAAAAATATGCACAATCATGCTTTTATCAAGTGCATCACTAAACATTACACAAATTAATGTATTATACATTAACAAGCAAATATGGATGCAAGTATTCTCTCTTTATTTTTAAGCTTTTAGAAATTCTCATTCCGAATAAATGTTAGATTATGATGTAGATTTATGATAGCAGGCCCAAAAATTCAAACAGGCCGCCAAGGTCAGACGCAAAGAAAGAAACATTTCACTAAATTCTCAACTCTACGGACTAATAAAATTGATATTAACTAACTTTAGAGACTTAGGGATTAAGTTGTTTCTAGAAAACAATCTTATCAATTTAGAGTAGTATACAGATGATATTGCCATTCCAGTTGAAAACACCCTGAGCAAATATGGCTTCTTCTGAACACTTTGAGCAGAAGTCTGCGAATATTTGGCGTAGAATTCGTCCATGTTAAATGTAAAGTTATGCTGCAGGACTGGTCATCACTGACTGACTCCTCCTAGCTTAAAGATAGCTGAGTGAAGTGGTTGAGCATGTTGACCACTTTACTAATTTAGGAAGTTGTATCAGCTCTAATGGACTGATAGCTGATGAAACCTTACAAAGTATAAGAAAAGGCTCCTGTAGCAGCACTCGACAACTTACGTTATCGCCGGTGTAGATAGATGTGGTAGCCAGCTAACGATCCAAGGACGTGTCTACTGCTCTGCAGTTCGTTCTATCCTTACTTATGACTGTATGCTAGTGTCATTGAAAATGTTATAAATGAAAAGGTTAGCTTTCTCTGACTACAGATATGTGCGTTCTATTGAGGTGTGCGGGGGGTTGAATGTTAGGTAATAAGGAGGGTAAATCAATCGATAAGGCTGTGAAGTTATATCGACTGAGTTAACTAGGATACGTGTGATGCATATAGAGTAGTCACCGCCTTCCTCGGTAACCAGTCTTAAATGACATAAGACTAGACTCGAAAAGAATAAACGATGATACCATCAAAACGTGCAATCAATCCATGGAGTTTCCGACGATTATTTTGAGGGAGGAAGTGACTGCCTAGTTGGGGATCTTGGGATATTTATTATTATTATTGTTTCCTTTAATTCCTAGAGGAACATAGGACTTCAGCCGTGCGTCTCCATTGCGTTCGGTTCTCTGCTACAGTCTTCACCTGGCTCCAAGTCTGCCCATACGCGTTCATCTCCTCTTCACATGACCTCCTCCAAGTCACCCTTGCACTGACGACCAACTCGCCACTTCCCGTTCGATCGGGTTCCACTCGAGGGATGGCTTGTCTAGTGATGTCACTTGATGGTTTCCTCAGTGTATGGCCAGCCAATCCATCTCCATTTCTTCCTGCCCATTTGTTTCACAATCGGTTGCTGGTTGGTTTACTCCCAGAAATCCCAGTTGCTGATCATTCCTCGATGGCCATCTGATCTTGAGTAGTATTGAGCGAAGACAACTGTTAATGAAGGTCTACAGTTTGTTCGAAGTGCCCTTCGTGGATCTCAGTGCAAGTCTCTGATCCATAATGTAGCACTGACTTCACATTGGAGTTGAAAATCCGGATCTTATTTTTGATGCTGAGTGCTGTTGACCTCCACACAGACTTGAGAGGAATGAAAGCTTGTCTTGCTTTCCTGATTCTCGCTTGGATATCCTCGTCAGTTCCGTCCGCCTGTAGTTGAGACGATGCTTCCCAGGTAGGTGAAAGAGGTTATTTCTTTCAGGTTCCTCCCATTTATACGGGCTGATCGTTGTCTGTTGTTGTTTCTGTTGGTGGTGTTGGCCAGGAATCTTCATCACCTCTGTTTTCTCCATGTTCACCTGAAGTCCTATCTTTGATGCTTCTTCTTCCAACTTGTTGCTTTTCGCTTGCATATCTTCCATTTTGTGGGAAATCAGACATATATCATCGGCGAAGGGGGACCTCGGGATATTAAGTATTAATGCCTTGAAACTGTTAGTGACATGTCTCAAAATCCTTCTCAATAGCGCAGATGCATTCATTCTTTATGATTTCGTATATCATGTTTCTTTTTTTTCTTCATGTTCTTATTCTTTCTTTCACGCATTTCTGTTCATTATACTTCCTCAGAATTCTCTTTTCATATCTTTTCCCTACCTTTGTATACTACATGGAGTGTGACAACTTGAACTGCTGTAGTTCTGTGCAAAGATCTACGCTGAAATTCAGTCAATCAGTCAGCAACTTTACCACAGTAGTGAAATAACTTTGTTTTAATATCCTATCAAGTATTAATGGGCTGACTATGCATGCTATATGGATGGAATACTTTGACAAATAGGAAAATAAAAACATAGTCGTCTTTGTTTTTTTCTAGTTTTTGATAAGCTAAACACATGCATATTATTATGATTACTAACTGAATTTACTAAGTATTCTACAAACATTAAGTAATTTCAAACAAAATTTACCTAAAAGTAAGTGTATGAAATGACAGTTAAGTTTAATAAACTCTATTTCTTTTCTCTAACGTTTTATTTTATCGAGAGAAAGCAGTCCAAACACAGACTTGTTCATTCATTCATTCATGCATATAAACTGGGTTGGTTCAAGCAATTCATCCTACCGATCGATTATCGTGTGATGAAGCGGAATATAAATAAATAAAACAAACAAATAAGTAAAAATTTTTAAGGGAAAATATTCGATACATAAATGGCGACATAGATTTTTAATTCTTAACTTTTTCATTATGAATTAATTTAACGTGAACAAACACTAGTGATTCGATGGTGGGTGAATAGCAGTGGAATCCAGGATGCGCATTACGACCTATTTGGGACTCTTCGGTTGAATATACCTGTATTCCTCAGTTAGTGATGCTGCCCCAACATTTAAAACACCAAAGTGCTATTCCACTAGACTACTAGGGTCACGAGAGCCAGCTGTTGTGCAAAGGGTGTCAGCTATTATGTATTTTTAATTCAATTTCAATTTTCTCGTTGATCGGTTAGACCGATTACATCGACTGAGATGGTTAGGACATGTGTTACGCATGCCTAGCTATCGCCTTCCTCGACAATGGGCAATGTAAGCTGATATGGAGTCAGGCTGGAAAAGAGCTAGCGGCGGTCAAACCAAAACATGGTAACAGTCAATGAAATCTACAACAGTTATTCTAAGCCACGTAGGAAGATGTAGACTTCCTGACTGGTTGGGGTCCTCGGGACGGTAAAACCAATGACAGCTGGAAACAATTGGTGACATAGCTCAAAATCGTTCTCAATGGCGCAGATGCATCCACTCCTTGTGACTTTTGATTTCCAATTAAACTGTTTTGTTCTTCGTTATTACTATACCTTTATCTCACACCTCTGTTTACTGTCTATATTATGCATCTCTTGTTTTTTCTTCTCTTGCTTTGTGTGTTACATGGAGTGTGGCGAGTTGAACAACCGCACATATGTGCAAAGTTTTATGTCGAAAACCGACCGACCGGTTAGACCAAAATCTTTGGCTTCAGTGGGAACACCACCAGTCACTGGGGAATGTAAGTGCAAACAGATGACGAGTCACAAAAAGGACGAAATGCGTATCCTGGATTACACTGCTAGTCACAATCCACCAAATTACTTCAGTTTAAATCCTCAGACATCGTCGATGCATCCGCATAAGCAGCCGACTTCTCCAAAGATGTGAAACATTTCGGTCCAATCAATCAATGGGAAAATCAAAAAGCTTTTAAGAATTCTGACAATACTACTGATTACTACTGGTAATATTTCATATGAACGAGTGTTTAGATATCAGTAGTACATAAGTGAACAACATAAAAAGCTAATAATATGACCGAAAGCGAAGCGTATACAAAGAAATCCTTGCACTCAATGATTATTCGGAAGTATGCTAGTAATCATAGAGACAAAATTACTACTAGGCTTTACGTAAATGTTCTTTGTATACATAATGATGATACAATAGAGAAGAAGGAGTTTAAAACACTGGCAATATCGTCATTAAAAGCAAGGAATTTCCAAGATTTGTAAAAGGGTAGGGGAATTAAAGTGGCCTTCAAGCCCACAAACTTACTTACAAACGAACTGTATCGGTTTAAGGATGATCCTGGAGAATGCGTGAAATGAATTAATTTAGTTTACCTAATACTGTAGTATAAAATATAGAGCCGAATAAACAGGTTAAAGTTAAAGAAGACCAGGTTCAGTTATATTAGCAAAACACTATGTTAAGATAAGAAACTCAGAGAAAGTTTACTTATACCTCTATATAGAGTCAGAGACAACTAAAACACTAAGGGATGAGGCAAGGTAGCAGTTCCCAACATTTAGTATGACATAATGCAGATAGACACTGTTACTCAAAGCTTCGTTTATCCAGTCAGTTGGGAATACGTGTAACAGAAATAACACAATAAGTTTCCCCAATCGGTGGGAAATTATACTATCCTTACTCAAAAGAAAACTAAAGACAAGACCCGAAACTATGAAAATAAAGTATCAAAGTGGTCGGGTTACATTTTCGTATAATTACCAACAATAAACAGTGTTCAAGGCATGATTATGTTAATAATATTGCCTCAATGTGTAGTTTATCTACTTAAAAAACAAACTACTACAAGTGTTATTCACACATTAACAAAAGTATTCTCATTGTCAGACGGAGTAAAAAAATAATGTTTTTTTTCTCTTTTTGGATAATAGCTTGACTTCACACCATATTTTTGGTACAAGTATGGAAGTTTCAGCATGTGATATCGGTAACCCAAATTTTGCAGGCCGACCATTGATATCAGGTGTTCGTCGGCAGGGGATCGACTGCCGACTGAGCACATCACTAGCCAGAGCCTATCCTGTAGCTAAGATCATTCCCATCTATCAAACAACTTGCTCTTTGGTGAAATCAAAAATCGATAGATATCCTTCTCATGTTAACTCCAACTGCATGTACAAATTTACATGTATCTGCGGGGGAGCAGTTACATTGGAAGAAAAGAAAGAAGGGCATATCTACGATTTTCTGAACATGTACCAAAAAGCTTATATCTAAAGGGAACAAATGCTTTAAACAGTGCCATCGCTAGGCATCTCCTTGACAAGGGTCATGAGGTGGACGTCGCAAGATCCTTCAAAATTATCAATAAGCAAAAGAGTCGAATTCTCCTCAAGTTTGCTGAAGCCATCTCCATCAAGCGCCTGAAAACTGATTTATTCGTTCAGAAAGAAGCAGTTATCGGTCTTTCTCTTCCCTGACAACTGAATATTTTCACCTCTCGTTCATCTGATTACGTAATGTCGAAAGTCTCCATTGTGTATGATCATTACTGTTCAGAATAGTGGTTAATATTATATATATATATATAATTATATTATATGTGTACTCTGTGCAAGTATGTTAAAGTTGTTTCTGAGATATAGTTAATAATGTCTTTGGCCTGTAAGCAGCTGATGAGAAACCAACGAAATAAACAATGATGGTACCATTTTATTCTGCAAAAACTGTTGTTCTTGCTTTATTCAAATTATTATTATTATTTATAATATAAAAGTTGATTGTTATCTTGGTTAAAAAGAAACAATTACCTCTACTTCAGCTGACAACTGATAATTATCTCTTCTTAATTGAGCTAAACGCTGACGTTCATTAGTTAATGATGTTTCTAATTCAATAATTTTCACTTGTAATTCAACCTCCATACGTTTTGCTTGAGTTAAGGTAAGACAACTGAAATCAAGTTCTAGGGAAATAAATTAAAGAACAAAAAAATTATGGATAAACAATTCAAAGTATATAATGATAAGTAAAAGTTAAATACTGCTTAAATAAAGAATGATAATAACTTTTTAACTAGAACTGAATTAAATGAAACAAACAATTCTAGTGGGAACAAAACCTTTTCTATTTTGAAGGTATAAGCAATTATGATAAAATACTTCATAGTGTTTTTGATATGGTTGTGTTCTCTGAGCTGGATAGTTAATTTGCGAAGCTTTCATCGCGACATCTTCAGCGCATACTTCAATTTGAAGTGAGCTTTCAGATTTCTCCACGAATTTATTAATCATCTCTCCTGGTGACCTTGGACGTGACTGGTTGTTTTTGTGTGTTTTCGCACCTTCTAGGTTACTTGTATTGTAACTCATTGTTTCTTTGACTTGAACTTTGTCCCTTTATGTGCGCAATTTCCTTCTTATCGATTAGTAAACTTTTTTTCTATCTCGATGCGTCTATTGATTGACGATTCATTGGAATGCCAAGCTTCTAAAAATTCTCTAGCATTCTTGTTGTTTCCTCTGTCTAATATTTGAACGTTGTGCCAGTCGAATTGATGTCCGTGGTTGTCTGTATGTAGTGATATGGGGGAGTGGATATCATGTCTTTTGACAGCTAGCTTATGTTCGTGGATACGAAGACGAAGGGGACTTCCACTTTGGCCAATGTAGTGTTTTTCGCAGTTCCAAGGTCACCAGGAGAGATGATTAATAAACTCGTGGAGAAATCTGAAAGCTCACTTCAAATTGAAGTATGCGCTGAAGATGTCGCCTAGTAGGGCGATGAAAGCTTCGCAAATTAACTATCCAGCTCAGAGAACACAACCACATCAAAATCATCCACCTGAGCTACAAATCTTCTTTATCATATCTACTTCATAGTGTGAAAGATATCTACTTATTAATAAAAATCTTCATGCCATGATTACTTCTTTATTTTATTTATTTATTTTATTTTATATACAATCATAATCATATGATTATGAGCAATAGCTTCTGCTCGAAACTTCATCAGTAAATATTACTGTACAACACTGTGTGATTTATCGAAATAAAATCTTATCCATAATGAAGTTCTGAGCAGCCAGGTAGTATTATTAGCTCTAACACAATAGTTGTGTCTTGTTACCAACTGCTTGTAAAATACAAGCTTGCAATGGGGCCACTATGCTAGGTGGCCCCATTGCAAGCTTGACTGATAGAATTCAGTCTGCAACGAAGATGGGACTAGACGCATTACACTAGTTACTGACTAGTGTGCAATCAAAAATATTCAATACAGTCCTACAGGAGGTCAATTGCAAGCCTGAATAGCTCAGTGGTAACGTCTCTGACTGAAGCACTGGGTGACGCGGGTTCGAATCTCAGAAGAGATATAAGTACCTTCGAATTTGAAGATACGCCTTGCTGACTGGTGAGTGCCAACTAGGACGAAACCTAGGTCATACAAGGCTTCCTTCCGATTGCCTCCAACCATCTAATACAAGTGGTTGTTGAGTAACCCTCAAATCAGAGTCAGTGAACCAAAAAAACTAATATAAGAATAGGACATGGGCAGTGTAGCAGAGTATACTTCCATCATAAAGTAAATTTAATTGACGAAACTATGCAGTGTTATACAGTATTGCTTACTGAGTACAGTTCGAGTGCAATTTATTGCTCATAATCAAATCAAGATGTGCTCAAAACATCATCAATAAATAATATTGTTTAACACTGTGTAATTTTATCAAATAAATTTAATTTATGATAGAACTTAAGAAATCAAGTCCAGATTATGTTCACCAGAATGTTTCACAACGAAAAAAAGGAAAACGCATACTTCACTATTCAAGTTTGAAGTACAGAACATTATTCAGATGACAACAAATAGGCTAAGATACTATTCAGTGCTTGAATAGTAATCAAATGAAGTATAAAACCTGACATCGTCGATGCTTCAACGGTAAAATGCTTTCCAGTCACGTACGAGGTTTGGGTTCGTTTCCCGACCAACGCACTCCTAAGCCTCATCTAATCTACTAGCAAGTCATACACCCGAAAAGAGGGAGTGTTAGGCGTAAGGTTAGCAACCTCACCCTGTGGAAAAATAACACTACCACTAGTGAAACATCAAGGCACAGGAAGCTCTATATTCCACTCGAAACGTAGGGAGTGGTAAAAAATTCTTTTGCTCATACTCCATTAGGAAATAATTAACTTGACATTTTGTTATTACTACTTAAATACACCTGAGTGGTATATCAATACGCACACACACACACACACAATTAATGCAGATAACTACCGGTAGAATGATGAGTCAGTTTTTTTCCTTCACGTTCCCCAGTGGAACATAGGGCTTCAAGCTAGTGGCTTGAAGTTCCTGTAGCAGTGTTTATTTTACAGGATGGGGTTGCTAGCCAGCCTCATGCCCAAACTTTCCCCTTTACCAGCATTATTTTTAGCTCAGTGAGGTAAAGGAGTGCGTCGGCTGGGGATTGAACCCCGGACCATGTGCGTGGTCGGCGAGCGACCTAACCGCTATACCACCGACGCACTATAACAAACTGGGAATACTGGACAGCCGTTTCGTCCTGGTCTGGGACTCTTCATCAGTACGCACCCACCGGAGTTCGAACCCAGGACCTTCTGGTTACAAGGCAAGCTCGTGTACCATTAAGCCACTGGGACAAAGAGCGCCTCCATGGCCAAGAATCGAACCCCGAACCACATGAGGCAAGCATGCTACCGTTGCGCCACCGATGAGTCAGTACACTAATTATATCAGTTGTCATAATTCACTTATCTGACACTACAAATAAAGCCTTGATATAATCCATGGGGGTTTAACAAAATAAACACAGTTAACTGCAAAAGAATGTCGTCTTACTTAAAATTTAAAAAAAAATATTGAATATTTAACCAATAAAAAAAATAAACTATACCTTCTGTGTGTTTTGCTTCAATAGCTTTTTTAACGCATGCAATTAAATTTCCAGTACATTTGCATACTTCTTTACTAGTTGTTTGTAGTTTAGTAAACATTTCTGATATTGGATTAGTTTTTACACGTGTAGCACAAACTAATTGGGTTGTACTGGCAGCAATTTCTTGAGAGATAACAATTAATCTTTCAAGTTTAACATCTTTACCAGAAACAATTGCATCGGCTATTTCTCTATAATATTTATTTGTTTTAATAAGAAAAGAAAAAAAGAGGAATAAAGAGAAGAGATGAGAAGAGAAGGGGATTAACGGATACTAAAACAAAAAGGAAAATAAACAACAATTGCATACATGTTCATACAATAATAAAAGGGTTATGATAATTAGCGTTATTCTCTGCTTCCCTAAAGGCCAAGAGAATTTACATGGGTTTCGGACTTATCGATCAACTATCTAGAGCCTCAACACCTTGATCAATACACATATACAAGTAAGATGATGACTTATAATGAATTTCGAAGGCAAAAAAGTGACATTCACCTGAAATACTTGTATATACTGTTTGCAAGGAAGAATATCCATTGAAGAGATGTAGACTTTGAAATAATAGAGATTTGAAGCTCAGGTGGATGATTTGCAATTAATAGTGTTCTCTGAGCTGGTTGGTTTAGTTGCGGAGCTTTCGTTGTCATTCTGGACAACGTCTTCAGGGCCATATTTAGCACAAAGTGAAATGATTTAAATTTCTCCATGAGTGATATAATTTCATCTCCTGGTAACCATCTTTACATATGTATTGATCATTTTCTATTGATTTGGATTTTAAACTTTCTGGTCACCTGATTTACTTTTTATTAGTTGGTATATTTCGTCTATATTAAAGTGCTTGTTAATTGCATTTTCGTTTGAGTACCAGGCTTCTAGGAATCCCCTGGCACTTTTAGTGTTTCCTCTGTCTAAGATTTTGACATTATCCCAGCCAAATTGATGACCATAATTGTCTATATGCATTGATACTAAAGAATATATATCGTGTCTTTTCACAGCTGATTTGTGTTCTTGGATTCTAATTCGAAGGGGACGCCCACTTTGGCCGATGTAATGCTTGTCGCAGTTCATACAATTTATTTTTTAAATGGTATTAATTTTATCTTCTTATTCTGTCGGATCTTTTGGTTTGCATAATATCGAATTAAGCGATTTGACTGGCTTGTGTGCCAAGTGGAGTCAAATTCAGTAACAAGATGTGAATCTAATGATTCATACTCACCGAATTCTACTCTTTTTTTAAGTTAAGGTATGGTGCAGCAGAATGGTAATGTTTTAGCCACAAGATATATATCAGCTCTCGTTTCTGTTGAATACATTCATCAAGGATGGGCATTTATATCCACTTGGCGAGGAGTTATCCACTTATTTTAAGCCATGGTGATAATACGTGGCTGGAAAAAACCCCGATAGCTAGAGGAAAGGTTTAAACCTGTGACCCAGTTGTTGAAACTCAGGTGTCTAAGCTATAGAAGCACCGCTTCAAAGTGGGTGCACACTGATAAACAGCCTAAAAGTAGTGTCTGATGATTTCAGACGGTTTTTTAGTTCATATCTAACGTTTCTTGTGTATCTATTTATGTGTAATATCTAACAGAAAGCCACAGTAGAAGAAATATTCACATTACAATGTATATTACCCACATAAAGGATAACTTTAATTTGTTATTCAAGAATAAGTATACAGATGAATACAAGAAAGCCAAGATATTTGATAATTCAGATAAGTCATACCTATTTTTAGTTCAGCTTTGTAAAGAGGACGGTTTACACCTTTAGGGTTCAAATGAAAAACACAATCAGAGGAGCAGAATGAATAGTAAATATGTGTTATGCACTGTCAGTAGGATGTACTAACAATGCAATGAATGCTTGTTTCGCATCCCATTAAGAATATCAACTATTTACGAGTTGATCACGGATTGATATCAGAGAATCACCGAAAACCAGGGAATACTGAACAGCTGCTGTTTCATCCTAGTTTGGGAATTATCGGCAGTACGCACCCACCAACAGGGTTCGAACTCAGGACCTTCCGTTTACAAGGCAAGCTCGTATACCATTCAGCCACTGGGATCCGATTCAACGGCTCATGAATTCTAACTTCTACCAATTCGTGATTTAGCGCGACTCCAACCATTGTCGTTGGTGGGACATCCATCCACACACGTGACATCTAATTGAACCTCACTGGTCACGACTTCTCACTAGAACTCCAGGAAACTCCATCCTGCGTACTGCCGATGATTCCCAAACTAGGATGAAACAGCAGCTGTCCAGTACTCCTTGGTTTTCAATGGTTCTCTAACTGATATCAATCCGTGATCAACTCGTAAAAACATAACTAACCCTTACAAACCAAACTATTTAATAAAATGTTCATGTGTCCAACTGATGAGTACTGAATAGAACGAAACTTGTACTTTAGTTTCACCTGATAACCCCAATGAAATAAATAACATATTGAGTACATTATTAAATTACAGTTAACAGGTAGTTGAAGATTCCTTTTGTTGTAAGGTATTAACAAACTACAGGTGAGGAGAGAACTTAAGTCAAGCCAACGCAAGAGATTGGGATCAACAAAATCCAGGTGGCTGCTAACCACAACTTTGTTTACAATAAAATTATATTTTCTGGAATATTTCAGTCTTATTTGCCTTATTTAAAAGTTTTACAGTGAAATTCTATACTTATGTGAACTAACACTGACACAAAAAACAGATTATCAAAATCAATTAGAAAAGAAATCGAAATAGAATTCGGATATTGTAGTGCAGTATACATTGATATTTTAGACAGAAGCCTGATTTTAGTTTTCAATGTAGCTCTAAATTTCTTTACTTTCACTCATAGCGAAACATCTATTTATAAATTATCTGAAATAATCCCAGCGTATTTAAGAAAAATATCAAAACAAGATTTTTCTGAACGTTTCGCTGTGCCAGCCGCAGCTTCTTCAGCAGAATTATTCGGATTTTTATAAGCCATCAATATGCATAATCAAAAATTACATAAGTTGAAGGTTACTTATCGGTAGATATTTGTACCAATCGAAAAGTGTAAAGAGCCATCACATATTTGTAATGACTAATGTCACAACATTTAACACATCATTATTATTATTAAGTGATACACAAACTCACTGTCATTGGTTAAAATTTATATATATAAATCTATGTAAATTAGAGTAAAACCTGTAGAAGATCTAATTGGCCAGGTTAAACCTTAAGCACCACTAACTACCAATCAGCGAATGACTTTGAATGGTCCAATGAATTTCATTCACGTGAGCTGAAGCTTCTATTCCGCTTGGTTCGAGTCAAATGCTTGCTCTAAAGCAGTCACGCTTGTAGTTTGGTGAAGATAAGGTTTTCCAGTATTGCTTAGCTGTGGGGTTGCTTAGGAAGCAAAATATTTGTTCATGTGGAGGTGTGATGAGTGAGAAATGCTTCAGCTGGTGGATTGATGGATATGTGCATCGTTGTGGAATTTTTTTGAGACGAGTTAGTGTCAGGGAAAGGAAGCTGATGATTCTAATATTTCGTAGGAAAAGTTTTTGCCAGGTCCCATCTGTCCTTAACCAAGATTTTGTATATTTGTAACTATATAGGGTTTCAAAACAGCCTGTGAGAGGTGCAGCTGCTGAAACTGAAAATAGTCTCGTATCAACAGTTCAGTGGTACCAGCACTGCAGAGATATCGCGTCATGGAAAATGGAGAGAATTACTTCGTTATTAGGAGGAGAAGGTGTCATCGTACATGTGGATGCAACTGTCTTATTGCAGAGAAAATACAGCCATGGTGGTGAGCGAGCAAACAATGTTTGGATGATCGTCTTACACCTCTCCACAAAAAGGATTCGTTGAGAGAATAGTAGGCAGAAAGTCAACTACCTTAGTACCTATTATCACTCGACTGGTAAAACAGGGATCTATAATACACACCAATGAGTGATAAGGTCATAACTCGCTGTCACCCCTTGGACATATTAATCACAGAGAGAACCATTCTAATGATTTTGTAGATCCAACTACAGGGACAACACACTTGTTATATAGAAGGCTTTTGGGAAAGGTTAAAAAACAGGATTAGGGCTATAAATGGATCTCAAAAGGATGTCATTTATAGTCATTTGGATGAATATATGTACAGAATGTGGTATAACTTTTCAATTAATACTCCTATGCTAAACTGGGAGATGCTTCTACCACATGTCAGAGAAAGATACGCTATGTAACAGTTTTATGCAGTTTTTTCATAAGCATATGTTTTCTATAACCAAAAGTGCATCTTTTATGCGATTGGTTCGTTGAAGGTCGTTCGTTGATTAGTAGTTAGTGGTGCTTAAAGTTTAACTTTGCCATCTAAATGAAAACAATATTGTTCGCTTATATATCTTGTTCTAATTTCAAACTGTCATATATGCGTATTTGTCTGTGTGTATGTTTGTAACAACAGAAGACAAGGGCCAGGCAACAGATCGTTTATTAAGGAAAATCAGCACATATTTATAGACTTTAATGTACATTATTGTTAGTAGAAAATACAGTCTTTTGATTGGTTGTTTCTCACAGAAAGTTAACCTTGCATCTCTTTGTGGCTGTGTCAGATCATCCATAAGCTAACTGTATCCGTCTACGCAAAGCCTTTGTTCTCATTTTCTCACCATCAATATTGGGGACATAAACATTGACGTCAATTACTGTCTACCAATTTTGGCTAGCAGCCAGCTCTCACCACATGTTGTCTGTTATGTCGAGAACACGTCAAAATATGATAATATTTCACAATATGTTCATAATATAGGACTGAATTTGTTTTTCTCCCTCACCCGTCTTGCTTCATTAGAGTCTGCCATATAGGTGATAAGGCTATCTCTTATCTCCCATTTACTGCATTCTATGTGATTAAAATATGCAAGACTTTAGAGGTCAACCTTTCTTTATGTGAATGAAAGCCTCTTCCTAGAATTTCGATATTGTCAAAATCAATCTTTTGACCGCTGTCTATAGCATGCATTGCTACAGCTGATCTTTTTTCTAGACTTTTTAATTCAGATTCATTTCTAAGTGGACGTTTCCTGCACAGCCTTTGTTCATTCACTCTGACCTTCACATGTCTACTGTTCTCCCCTTCAAAGGAACTGCCTTCAATTTGTGTAATTTTTGATAATATATTTTGATGGTTAACAAAATCCGAATAATTTTGCTGAAGAAGCTGTGGCTGACATAGGGAAACGTTATGAAATTTCTTATTTTGATGTTTTCTTAAACGCGCCGGGATTATTTTAAATAATTTATAATGATTCAAGCTGACTCGGGGCTCAAATTATTCCAGGAAATTCGTAACATCTACGGTCTGGAAACTTATAAGAAATACCTATTTGTTGGAAACAGACTTATGTCAGCCTTCGATGCGTATTCTTCCTTATTAAATAAATTTATTTGACACAACACACACTTAGTTCAGCGAAGAGTCTCTTTTCGGCGAATTCATTCGCGCTTAGCTGTACAATCGCAAATATATATATGTGTTATTTTGTATGTATGTGTACAGAGTCACGAATAACCTACCAAAGGCAATACGATTTCGTCTTCTTTGTATCGCTGGAGCTCTGGCCATTCTCACATAGAAAAACCGGAGCTTTGCGTACAAAAGAGAATTACTCAACCACTTCTACTGTCATGGTAACAACGTTGTTGATATTGATGACTTAATTTTGTTTGTTTGCCTATTCCTTAATTGCTTATAATTCTTCTATTCTATTCTATTTAGTATTCTCTTCTTTGTTCCTATGTGTATCCTGAGTAAAACTCAATCATCAAACTATTCATATTATTACATAACTTCTTTTAACAACTGTTTATGACAACTCATCACCTTTGTTACTAACCTAATTTTATTAACACCTAATTTTCTTGACTGATTTTATATTACGTAACTCCAATTACCAATCTTCACCCCTTTAATTAAAATTATTATTATATTATTGTTTCCTCTAATTCCTAGAGGAACATAGGGCTTCAGCCGTGCGTCTTCATTGCGTTCAGTTCTCTGCTAGAGTCTTCACCTGGCTCCAAGTCTGCCCACATGTTTTCATCTCCTCTTCACATGACCTCCTCCAAGTCACCCTTGCACTGACGACCAACTCGCCGCTTCCCTTTCGGGTTCCACTTGAGCGATGGCTTGTCTAGTGATGTCACTTGATGGTTGGTTTCCTCAGAGTGTGGCCAATCCATCTCCATTTCTTCCTGCAGATTTGTTGCACAATTGGTTCCTGGTTGGTTCGCTCGTTGCTAGAGATCTCTGTTGCTGATGTTTTCTGGCCGGCCATCTGATCTTGAGTATTGAGCGAAGCCAACTGTTAATGAAGGTCTGTAGTTTGTTTGAGATGCTCTTTATGACGCGCAGTGCAAGTCTCTGATCCGTATAGTAGCACTGACTTCACACTAGTTAAAATAACTGTAACCAATGGTATTTTTGTTTGACAAACTTTATGTACACATACATACAAAATAACACATATATATTTGCGATTGTACTGCTGAGCGCGAATGAATTCGCCGAAAAGGGACTCTTCGCTGAACTACGTGTTTTGTTTTCAATAATGCCTGGATGGGGATTATCCATGAACAACATACACTGATACAATATTATTAATTGGATGACATTTCGAGCACATTTTATTGTTTGTATTCATGAAAAATCTATTATTGTTTGTGATCACATCGATGCATTCACACGACTTCTTAATTAACGTTACATAGTTCTCTTTTTCCCTAACTTTAATACAATTTTCCGTCGGAGTTGCATCATTTTTTATTAAAATGCGTTGGTTGTTGATTCCGTGAATACAGACTCAGAGATTAAACTCCTTCTCTCTCTTTTTCTCTTTTAACTGTGTTATCCGGACCAGAAAATTAGACTATATCTAAAATGACAGACTGTGTTAAGATAAGTAATGTGAGAAGAAAATTCGGGCATTGGAATGTATACAGTTGCAAACAGTTACACAATAGATGGGATAAAGATGTTACATAATAAGTAATGCGGTTAGGTGAATACGGAGGTTAATAAGCAAGTCTGTATCTACTGAATAAAAAAAACAACACGTTTATTAGGAATGAGGTAAATTGTATTACAGTCAGGAAAAGGGAGAAGTATGCAAAGTTAGTTAGGAAGTCGTGTGAATGCATTGATGTGATTATAGGCAATAAATTGTGCTCAGGTTATAGCGTACTGTTGATAATACTATGTTATTATGTATTATATCGTACGTCGGGGGGGCATAGCGGTAGAATGTTCGCCAACCACGCCACAGGTAGTTCGGGGTTCGATCCCCGGCCACTGGCGCACTCATTTACCTCGCTAAGCCAGTAATAAGACTGGCGAAGAGGGAAGGGTGGGGCATGAGGCTAGCAACCCCATCCTGTAAAAATAAATAAATAAATACCACTGTTACCCGAAACTTTAAAGCTCCAGCTTGAAGTCTTATGTTCCACTGGGAACGTAAAGGAACAAAGAAAATGTATTGTGTCAAATAAACTGATGTAACATAGAATGATAGAACATTTCAGAGGCTGATATACGCCAATTTAAAATTATTAGACATTCCACTGTGAATAAGAGAAGAGAAATTTAAAACTCTACTGAGGATTGAAATCAACAGTCCAAAAGAAAAAACTGTTCAACGAAATAAATGCTAATGTGTCCTTAGGAGAAAAAAAAACTGAAAGGCTATAGCTTAATGTCTCTAAATACCTGTGAAATATCAAGTAATCAGTTTATGATGTACGTGTTTATAGACCACTGACTCCTACTATTCACTGTATACCTCACCATTTATAAAAAAAACGAAAGATTAGTTAACTACAAATATGCCACTGACTTGTACAGGTTAAATATCAAATTCAAGCATACGTAATTTATCGTCTTGTAATTCTTATACGTAAGCATATGGTGTGTCAATGTAGTTTTAATGTAGATCAGAACACTGAATTTTGGCTTATGGTATACGAAATGTTGCGAATATGTGTGTTTAGATTCTGATTTACTAATAAATCTGTTTGTCTGAAAAATTTGGCAGTATGCCTTACATTGCAAGTCAGGATTTTCTTTTTTTATTCCTTCACGTTTCCCAGTGGAACATAGGGCTTCAGGCTAGAGGCTTGAAGTTTCTGTAGCAGAGTTTGTTTTTACCGGATAGGGTTGCTAGCCTCATGCCCAACATTCCTTCTTTACCAGTCTTATTACTGGCTTAGCGAGGTACAGGAGCGCGTCGGTGGCCGGGGATCGAACCCTGGACCATGTGCATAGTCTGTGAGCGTCCTAACCGCTGTGCCACCGACGCACACAATCCGTGCTCCGAGAGAGGCTCGAACTCTCGACCTCCGCATTATAAGTACGGGATTTAGGTGGACAAAAAATAATCGCATCACAGTTACTACTGGCCTCTTTTATTTTGCTGATCTACATTCATGGAAAACAACAAACAAAGTCAAGCATTCCGTATGTAAACATCAGATTATTTGACTTAGAAATTTTATACCTTTCCCGCCCCCTGTGTACTTCGTTCAAATATTATTCTTATTGCAGAATGAATATAGAAATATTTGTAGACTGAGACGCGCACTAGATCAAAACATTTCACTAGTATCATATAACAGATCATATTTTATTTTATATGAACTATGATCAAGATTTGATCGAATAATTTCATAAACATTGGTCGCCAAGTGAAAAGTATGATTTATTATTCATTCCTGGAAAACAGCTAGCGGCGGTCAAACCAAAACATGGCACCAATCAATGAAATCCACAACAGTTAATCTAAGCCACGTAGGAAGATGTAGACTTCCTGGTTGGGGCCCTCGGGATGGTAAAAACCAATGGTTGGAAACAATTGGTGACATGGCTCAAAATCGTTCTCAGTGGCGCAGATGCATCCACTCCTTGTGACTTATGATTTCCAATTAAACTTTTGTTCTCCGTTATTACTATTCCTTTGTCTCACACCTCTGTTTACTGTCTATATTATGCATTTCTTCTACTTCTTTCTCTTGCTTTGCGTGCTACATAGATTGTGGCGACTTGAACTGCCGCACATATGTGCAAAGTTCTATGTCGAAAACCGACCGACGACCTATTTTATTCCTTTACGTTCCGAGCAGAACAGGGGGCTTCAAGCTAGAACTCTGGAGCTTCGGTAGCATTGGGTGTTTTATTTTTATGGGGTAGGGTTGCTAGACCCACACCAAACCTTCCATTTTGACTAGCCTTACTGCCAGCTTAGCGACGTCTAGAAGTGTATCGGCAGGGGATCGAACCCTGGACCACTTGTGGCGTGGTTGGCAAGCGTCCTACAGCTAGACCACCGATGCACTATATTTGTGTGAATCAGAATGAAATTAAGATAAATAATAATAATAATTCCAACCTTTAAATCGGCAGACTGGTTCTAACTTCTTCAGAGAAATAATCAAAATTGAAATATCAAAGATAATTAATACATTAGCCAGAAAAGACATTGCGTAACAATGATTTTTTGGACACTCGCTGAGGAGGCCGCTGGGTGACATCGCGCGTCAGGCCAGTGCTCGAGTGGAACCCGAAAGGGAAGCGGCGAAAGGGACGTCGAAGGGTGACATGGAGGAGATCGTGTGAAGAGGAGCTGAAACAGTATGGACTAACATGGATGCAGGTGAAAAGCACAGCAGAACACAGAAGCAAGTGGAGACGTGCATTTGAAGCCCTATGTTCCACTAGGAACCCAAGGGAACAGTAATAGTAATAACAATGATTTAAAAAAAAGAGTACTCACACCATCACATTAGCTCCAGCGCCAACACATTTCGCAGCAGATAACAAACCATTTGTCCAACGATTATGCGGTTTATAAAATTCACTTGATGTTGATGAATCCTTATAGATATAGAAAGAAAAAGAATAAATAAAGCATCGAAATGAGGTTATGTATATGGTGAACTAGTTAAGTTATTAACTTGATGAATATATGTATATAGTCTTAAAATAATAAATAAGGAAATATCGGATAGCAGAGAAAAAGAGTTAAATTATAACTTCAGTAAAAGAAATATATGTCTAATTCAATGTAACTGGCAGAGGAATGACATAATGCACTCTGTATTTCCTTGAAAAAATAGAAACTATGCTTATTTAAATTTTGTACTCTCTTAACCACCATCTTCACAGGTATACTTTGAGTTGAGTTTTGTTATTATAATTCATGCCTTTAGGTTCCTAGTGGAATACGCGGCTTTTCACAGCATAACTCCATTCTACTCCGTTCTCTTGTAGTCTCCTTTAGCTGGCTCCATAATTGCCCATAATCCTTCACCCTGAGATCGACACCCAACTCATCACTTCCTAATAGGGTTATTACTTGAGAGTCTAGCGTGGGATGTCACTCAACAGTATCTTCAGCGTATGTCCAAAGCCATTTCCAATAAGTTCCTGGATGGTTCGTTCACAGAGTTCCTCGTTGCTTATCCTTTCTGGTATTCTGATCTTCAGTACCGAGTGAAGGTAGCTATTAATGAAAGTCTGCAGCCTGTTGGGAATGTATTTCATAACTCGATAAGTCTCTGAACCATATATAGGAACATTGACTTCTCATTACTGCTGACAATTTGGATATTGTTCCTGATGACTTTCCGACCCTGGCTCTGACGCTGACATCTGTGCCATCTATGGCTGAAACGACGCCACCGAAGTGAGTGAAAAAGAGAATTTCCCATGGATTTCTCCTGTTGATGGTGATTGGTGCTTGACTTAAGAAGTACTGTAACGACAGAAGACAAGGACCAGGAAACAGATCGTTTATTGAGAAAATCAACAGATATTTATAGATTTTTTATGTACATTATTGTCAGCGAAGAAGCAACGTCTTCTGATTGGTTGTTTTCTTGTTGAAGGTTATTCTGTACTGCTTGTGATCGTTTCTTAGAAAGTTAGGCCATATATCTGCGAATCGTATTCGCACACGTTAAGTCTGCTGTGATTGGTTGGTGAGTTCCTGAAGGTTAAGCTTTGTTATTGTTTTTTTCCCATAACCCCGATTCGGGACGTAAACACTGACGTAAACTGTTGTCTACAATTTTGGCTAGCAGACACCTCTCCCCACAGTATTATTAATATTATTATGACAAAAAGAGTCATAGATGAATACAGAACATCTATATATATATAACTCCTGATTAAATGTGACGATATGGCTCATTATGGCTTTGGCACTCGACTTCTAGCTAATGGAGTCGCAGGTTTGAATCTTGCTCCATCTAATTCGGTCTGAACAACTAAGTAGTAGTGTCATCAGCTCTTATACATTAAATGTGGCTTATAAGCCAGCCAGTACCGGATGCGTTCTAACCGACTAACTACTCCACATTAAATGTAGTCATTTGCTGATGACATGCAGTGATATTGGATTACCTAATCAATGACGGTTCATATACATACTCTCATTTCAACAATCATAACCACATAATGACAAATTTCTAGTTAAATTAATTACTGCTTACTCAAAAAGAAAACAACATCCTATTGTTTTTATACTAAGAATCTAGGTTAAAATTTCAACGAAGAAAATTCTGTTTGCAATGAATTCACACTTTCATAGTTATCCAATTATATTTAGATAAATTGCTATTATAATTATTAATATTGTTCCCTTGGGTTCCTAGTGGAACATAGGGCTTCAACTGCACGTCTCCACTTGCTTCTGCTGTACTTTTCACTTGCATCCATGTTAGTCCATACTGTTTCAGCTCCTCTTCACACGATCTCCTCCATGTCACCCTTCGACGTCCCACTCGTCGCTTCCCTTTCGGGTTCCACTCGAGCTATGGCCTGACGCGCGATGTCACCCAACGGCCTCCTCAGTGAGTGTCCAATCCATCTCCACTTTCTCCTGCATATCTGTCGGACGGTTGGTTCTTGTTTTGTTTGTTCCCATAGTTTCTCGTTGGTAATTCTTTCCGGCTATCTAATCTTGATTATAGAGCGAAGACAGCTGTTGATAAAGGTCTGCAACAGGCTGTTGGAAATATTCTTTGTGACCCGCCAAGTTTCTCATCTGATCCGTATAGAAGAACTGACTGACTTGACGTTTGTATTGAAAATCCGAATTTTGTTGTTGATGCAGGCTGAGTGACGAAGATTTCCAGATTGGTTTCAGGTTGATGAATGTGTTTCTCGCCTTCCCGATTCTCGATTTGACATCCTCGTCCGTTCCTCCTGTAGTTGAGACAATGCTCCCTAGATAAGTGAGAGAAGTAACCTCTTTCAAATCCCTCCCGTTGATGGTGATTGGCGTTGGATGTTGCTGCTGATGTTGTTGTTGTTGGTTGGTTATTTTCATGACCTCCGTCTTGTCTATGTTCACCTGGAGTCCTGTCTTCTCTGGCTGCTTCTTCGACCAGTTTGTCGGTTTTCGCTTGTAAGTCTTCGATCTTGTGTGACGTCAAACATAAATCATCCACGCGCGAAATCCAGGTCTTCTAGATTCTTCACGTTGGTCCAGGATATCCCTTTCTTCTCGTTTCCCACTGTCTGACGCATAATCCAATCCACCACAATTAGGAATATCATTGGTGATAATAAGCACCCTTGTCTGATTCCTGTGTTTATTCCAAAAGCCTCGCTGAGTTTTCCGTTGTGGATCACTTGACATGTGCCGTTGTCGTACAGCTGCTGAACAAGGTTGACGAATATTTTGGGTACGCTGTAGTACTCGAGTAGTTTCCAAATTACTTCGCGGTCAACGCTGTCGAAGGCCTTCTCAAAGTCTATAAAAAGTTGAGGTGAGGTTTGATTGCCATTCCATGCTTTGTTCGATGATGATGCGTTCACCAAATTGCTTATCAGGATACTTACATACTGATAACTTCAGATGGTCATGGGGTTATATAACCGACTGATAGAATTTGGAAGTCATAGGTCATTATATTTCTACTGAATGGCTAAGCGACAGCGTGCTTACCACCTAAAACTATATATATATATATATATATATATATATATGGCTATCATAAAGTGAATAATCTTCAGTGATATTTGTATTTTATGTATTAGTAGTTAATGAGAAAATGTAAACAAAAATCACATACTTTAATATCTTGTTGAATCATTTCAGACTGTTTAACTAATTCGCCAACGCATAACAGGAGGTCAGAACAACAATCTAATATCAATGAATTCACTTGAAGATACTCATTATTCGCTGAGGAGTGTTGCTTAGATTCCGCAATTAAATCCTATAAAATTAGAATAAAAAGCATATTCATATATATGTATGTGCATAAGCTGAAGAAGTACTTGATATGCAATAATCTATACAGTCCACAAAAACGATATAAGTGTGGTGTGTTCTGTCGACAAGATTTATAAGTAGTATGTAGATGCAGATTTATAGGAAATGACCAAAATTGAAATCAACAAGTCAGTGGCTGCAGAGGTAGAAGTGCTAATCCCACAAATCTGGATCTAGTTTATGATGTGAACGTGAAATAGCCTCACTAGACAATTTTTTACGTCTCACTGTTTAATCTTGGGCCAATCGCCGATCAATCAGAACAACCTATTCTCCTATAACCTTGCTGAACTTTAATGTGATACGTTTTTCCCCTAATAAAAATTCTCTTAGCTTCTGTCGTCATCTAAGTAATAGGAAATAATGATTCGTTCGGTGAAACGACAAATAGACGATCTATCAATTCCCCTGTTAACATCGACTAACTATGATTTCTCAGCATATTTCTATTTTATATGCATTTTGTGCACGGCTAAAAAGGGGAAGTCGAAAAATAATTTCAACGTCAGTGGATACTTTTTATCTACAAAAGGTTTGAGTAACTGTTTCATTTCAGTTAAGAACTCTTAAGTAAGTAATTTCGTTAGCATTCAGCAGTACTTTACACGTGAATTATGAAAGAGATATTTGTCCCACTTGTTTCTAAATGTGTATGGCTGTCAGACATGGCTATTGAAAGTGGAAGACATGAAAAGACTAGCTGTCTTTGATCACAGGTGTCTCCATTCTGTTTTCTATGTTAGGTGGTATACTAGGGTGAGTAATATTGAGGTTGGGTGTAGAGTGTTAGGTAAGGAGGAGAAATCAATCGATGAGGTTGTGAAGCTACATCGACTGAGGTAGAACGCCTAGGTATCGCCTTGTATGACGAGCAATGTTAGCTGCCATTAGATTAGAATGGAAAACAGCTTGTGGCGGTTAAACCAAAACTTGCAATCAGTCCATGAAATCTTTAACAGTTAGTTTAGGCCATGTAGGGAGGTGTAGACTACCTAGTTGGGGTCCTCGGGATGCATTTACATTTTGAAGCGTAACACTCATAGATTAATCACCACTGATTTCTACCCTTCTCTGCGGTAAAGTAATCTCATGGAATGGTTTCAAAAGTTGCTTCAATGAAACATATATATATATATATATATATATAAAGTGAGACTTACACGAAATCTTTTCTCAGCAACTGAGATAGCCTCAAAAGTTGATTCCATCTCTTTTTGTATTGAATCACTTGAAGAATTCATATCATTAGGTGAACATTTTAACGCTTCTGTGGCTTTTTCAAAAGTATCTTTTAAATATTGATTTATTCTAGACAAATATTCTTTGATCTGATGAAAGTGATTATTTTTCTCATTATCATTATCATCTTTATTGACAGAGTTTACACTAGTTACACATTCATCATCCTTATTATTGTCTGATTGTAATACGTTGAGTAATTTGATAAACTCAGTTTGAATTAGATCAAAATTGTGTAGATAATCTGTAGTGAGAAAAGAAATATTAAACGAATCAACTTCATTTTAACAGAATATTAGAGGAAAATAATAACAACCAAACAATGTATTGATAATAATACTTAAGGCAAATCTTACGAGAAAGAATTAGTAAAAAGAAACTATGGGAACGAACCGACCAAGAACCCGTTGCTCAACAAATATCCTGAAAAAGAAAGTGGAGAAGGATCGGATAAACGCTAAGGAAACTGTCAGGTAACAGCTCGTGTCAGACGACAAGTTGGGTGTTCGAGGGTTAACAGGAGATGAGATTATATGGACAATCATGCGGGCAGTTGAAGAGGCCTGTAGACAGTAGGACAAAGTGGAGGTGTGATGTTGAAGCCATATGTTCCTCTAGGAACCAAAAGAAATAATAGCACACCTTGCTTATTAGTTTCAGTCTTTAAAGACAATTATTTGACTGTATTAGATAGTTGCATAATCAGTCACAGGAGGCTGGCATTGAATTCCGATAGATCAAGCCTATTTGGTACTTATCACAGCTGGATTTATCTTCATCCCAAGAAAGTACTTACAATATCACATGGATCTAAACCCGCTATCCATCGGAAAAAAGGTGTCCAACTACCACAATAACTCAGATAACCAGCTGAATAATTAAAAATTTATTATCCGTTATCAAAAGTAATTAAGGTTCGATTGCAGATAATATATATCTTCGCAAAAAAGCATATACAAGAACGAACGTTATTCAATTGATTTTTAGGTATTAAGAGTAGAAAATACATATGCTCAAGGACATAAAACAAAGGAGACGAAAAAATTAACAGCCAGAAGTAACCTTTTATAATTGATACATTATTGAATCTTTAAGACAGATACAAGTTTACGCTTAACTCTACTTACGAACAGAAAGAACCGGTTGATTACGTTAGCTGCATTACCTATTATGTGTTATATATCGGAAGTAGGAATCCTCAAGTATTAGTTTGTAGGGATTAGATTTGCTTCAAGTTTGACTGCGGAGGACAACTGGAAACCAACAGAGAGTATTAGGCAGCTGTTTCATCTTAGTCTGGGACTCATCGGCGCTACCCACCGCCACCAGAGGGGTTCGAACCCAGGAACTTCCGGTTACAAGACGAACTCGTAGACTATTTAGCCACTGGCACCCGATTCAATGGTCAGTCCATGAATTCCAACTTCTACCAGTTAGAGGTTTTAGCGCGACCGCCAGGTGGTGTCATCGGCGGGCATTTGTTCCCACTCGCGATATGGTAAACCCTACTGGTCACAACTCATTAGAACTCCGAGTAACTTCGTCTTGTAGCCAGTCAGTAACGAGCATCTGATTAGTTTTCAGGAGTTTGTTTGAAGTTAGACCACGGATCGATATCAGTTAGAGAACTATTGAACCTGCTGTCAATGGTTCTACAAAACTGATACAAATCGGCCGCCAAACTTGAAGAAAATTATTCCTTTTGTAAGGATTTATTTCGATGTAGATTTCGTCATGAAGCAAAATTAGTTAGAGAATCATTAGAAAGCAGAGAGAGCACTGGACACCCATTTAGTTCCAGCTCACGGCTCTCTACAAGTTCACGTCCAGGGACCGAATCCTAGACATTCACGACGCAAGGTCAATTCGTTGGCCAACTATCCATTTAGGCGAGAATTCAATAAAGTGTGAATTTTAACTTTTGTCAATTCGTGATACAGCACTATTGCTGATTTTGTATCGATATTGACTAGAATAATAATAATAATTTTAAACGAAATCCTAGTTTTGGAATTTCCAACAGTGTGAATCTACGACTCATTACCCTTTTGTAGAGGGATAGGATTTTAACTCACAACAAAAACCTGCTTTATTGAGAAACAATAAATCTATCAAAAAATCGAATGTTCACCACTACTACTAAGGCGTATCTTATCTTTGTCTCATTTCAGCAATCAGTGATTGACCGTGTGTCGTTACTTTTATGCAAGTAATTCAGACATGGAACCAATTCTCTTTTTTATAGAGTAATGAGTGACAAGTTATCCTACATTCTTAGTATGATCATATTAGTAGCCATTCCCCTCTGCAAATTTAGATTTTCCTTGAAAACAGCTTATGAAATTAGCTTAGAGATTATTTTCGATGATATTGATAAAGAATTCTTAAAAATAAATTCGTTTTTAAAAAAAAAGTGTATCAATTTTTATTTCTAATCGGTAAAAAGCTGTCAGTTTTTCATTCTTTTGCGTTCCGAGTGGAAAAAAAGAACTCCAAGCTTGATGTTTTTGAAGTTTCAGTTGCAGTGGCTAACGCCCAAACTTTCCCTTTTTGTGGAGCTTACCACCGACTTTAAAACTCAGACCACATGAGTTGGTTGGTGAGCATAGTTACACAGTCATAATTAAAAGAAAAATAACTGTTATACTACTACTACTTACCGTATGAGCAGTCGTTATCATCTTTTGACTGAGATATTGATTTAGAATAAAGAGATAATACAGACAGTTGAGATGCAAATTGAGTAATATGAAATGGAATCTGATAAAATCCTTTTAAATGAAAAAAACAAGACATACACAGACAAAATTAACTGCTCACTATAGTTAAAATTTAATAGTATCATTTAATTACTCATATTTAATAGTATGAAATCTACTGGACAATGATATGAGAAATTTCAGAAAATATTGCCTTTCTGGTTTAAGTTCACTAAATGTACCTTAAAAGTTACTATCAAAATCGACCGATGAACTGTGGAAGTTCGCTATTATTATTATTCCCCTGGTTTCCGAGTGGAACATACGACTTCAACAACATATCTCTATTCTCTTCCACTTGCTGCTGTCCTCCTCAGCTGGGTCCACGACTGCCCATAATCTCTCATTTCCTCCTCATCGCACGATCTCCTCCATGTCATCCTGGTACCGACGACCCACTCGTAGCTTCCCTATGGGATTCCACTGGACGGCCTGTTGCGCTATGTCCATTAGTAACTTCTTTAACTGTCACACTGGTTAATTCAAAATAGAATTCATCACAAAACAGAGGTTAACCACACAACATACTGACTACTGCAAATAAACATTAAACAGTGGTATAGAGCAGACTGTTCGTAAGAACTCGACAGTTGATATTCCACTGATATTTTATTAAAATTTATGAAACGTTGAGTTAATAAAATTTCCTGACAATAACAACAATAATAATAGCTCATATAGTTCATAAGTAATCTTGTCAGAAATTTCTAGAAGTCATACAACTTAATTACTTAGAACAACTGTCTTTTTTGGGGTACTATGATGTGAGAAACATTCGGTGTGTATATGCAGTGACATCTAATAATAGGTGTCATTGCTTTAGATAAAGCAAATGGGACAAGGTTTAAACCCAAAAGTCGACTATGGAAGATTGAATGCTTGAACCAATCAAAGGTCAACCAGTAAATTAGTAAAGAATCTTGAGTCATTAGAAGGGGATATAATCTGACCGCCTCACAAAGAATCAAACAACAAATACAAAAACGATACTATAAGTAGCAAAACTTGTGTGTAAAGAAGGAAATAGTAAGTTGAAGATTAGTGAGAATGGAGCTGTGTCTCAATAGTCTAGCTGTTTGAATTCTATTGACTGGGTCACAGGTTCGAACCCCACTCTAACTATCGAAGTCTAGGCAGCCAGGTAGTATCACTATCCGTCCCATAATAGGCAAGGCAGATTGCCAGCTGAATGGAATAGCGAGTGTTTGTTGAGTAGGATTTGTTCATTCATTCAGCTACTGACTGACCACTTCTTTCTTTACTTCGGCTATCTCCTACGGGAGGATGAACCCGCTTCATGAACATCTCCAATCATCGCTGCCCAGGCGCGGCGATCTGATGAAGAGAGTTCATGAAGTTTCATGGGAATTTGGTACGAGTGATGTCCCCAGAATCGCTCGGCCTTTTGTTTGAGAGTGCAGCTCTAGCCTTTACACAACCAAGTGCGACCTACAAGGCAGTAGGAGTGGAGTAGGGAGTCCACTATCCATTGGCAGCCGGTGACCGGAGTTCGGTTCATACGCCTTTTTGAATGGGGCCAGACATCCAGGACATCCAACAAGCCCTTTGTCCATACGTCTACCGGTGAGCTCCAGTGGGCTTCATACGCCAGTCGTTGGAGGTTTGGAATCCGGGTTTAGCCATCTCCCCTAGACTGTCATCCAATGGACAGTCAACCCGGTAAAGAGCGCCGGGCATCCACTTTCGCCCCCTCACTTTGGTGAAAAACACCTCCGCCACGTGAAGGCAGCGAGTGGGACTTCCTCAGGAGAGGCTATATAAGACGCCCGGTCATATGGGAGCATTTCAAGAGGTGTGCGGAGGGGTGGCTAACCCACAGCGCAAGGCACCCACCCCCGACCATCCTGAGGCTTTGGAGACCACTCTCTCTCTCTCTGATACCTAATTCTGGCTTCAGTATGCACCATCAACCAATAGTGTATAAAGACAATTTATCATATATTTACATGTATATTTGCTAACCAATAAGAGAAATTCTTGTTACCTTTTTCATCGAACCAATTTTCAGTAAGTGCAGATTCTATTAAATTAAAATGATTGATAATTTCTTTTAATTGGTTTACAAAGTAATCTACAATCAACAAAAGAAAAAATAAAGTTGATAATATACTACTCAAAAATGAGTGCAAACATTTGTCTATAAAATTTCATACTTATTTAATGGTAAAAAAGAAAGCTAAGTCACTAGTCTGTTGAATATTACAACAAATTATATTTTCTTTGAGCACTGTTCATCCATTTGTCAACTTTGCGGTACGATGCTGGTGACCTGTTTTCTAGTTTCATGAACCTAATTATAATATAGTACATGTATTGGATAGTTACCTTTGAGAAATAAATAGGTTGAATAATTTATTGTTGTATGCAGAGATTCGGTTTGTGTATCTGAATAGATAGACCTTCAGCAATGCAAAAGAGAAGAAAACATACATTCTTTCGTAGGTTGTTCTTCGCTCTGTACATTACTTTGAAGGAGGAGTTTGTTCAGATAGAAAGACCAGTGTTGAAGTGGTGTTCAATTATCTCATTTCTCATACAGCCACCACTACTACTACTACTACTACCTTTATGAAACCATGCAGCATAGTATTCTTCAACCCTTTTACACAGGATACTCGTCGAACGACCAACACACCTGGCCTCATAGGAACCGGTGTATTGAAATGTGCACATGAATGTGGTCAAATGAGAGATGTTGTCTCTCAGGCTTCTACAGACCAGTGAACGACTGGAGAACACCACTCATAGCGTTGTGGTGAAGAAATTTCTCCTCGAATATAATGAACTTATTTTCCTAACGACATCACAGGTTAAGTCTCCTTTGAAATCCAGGTCCATGTCTCATTTGATGATGCCTCATTTATCCGAACTTTTTGTTTGATGTTCGTGTCAATAAATCTCAGTGGATATTGATTTTGAATGAAGAAGGTGTGATTTTTCTTCAACCATTTCAGGGCTACAGATATATAAGATGAGAGTGGATGGAATTAAATTTACTTATCGGTCAACTGGCACCCGACTGTAAAAACTTGTCAGTTGACCTGTTGAACGAAAACGAAATTCAGTTAAATCTCTTGCCACTCACATTTGTAGTCCTGACGTGCTAGAAGAGGAATTAGAACTTCTGAAAGAAGTCTTCATTCAATTTAAGAATCTTACTGAGATTTATTGACACGAACATCAAAGGAAATGTCCAGATAAATAAGACATCATTTCTATCGAAAAACACACTTTACATGGACCTGGATTTCAAAGGAAACTTAGCAATTTCATTATATTCGAGAAGAAATTTATTCACCACAATGCTATGAGTAGTGTTCCCCAGTCGTTCACTGGTCTGTAGAAGCCTGAGAGACAACATCTCTCATTTGACCACATTCATGTGCACATATCAATTCACCGGTTCCTATGAAGCCAGGTTTTTTGGTTGAAGAATACTGTGCTACACGGTTTCAGAAAAGTAGTAGTAGCAGTAGTGGCTGTATACAGGAGTGAGATAAATGAAACCACTTCAACACTGGTCTTTTTATCTGAACAAACTCATCCTTGAAAATAAAAAGGTATTTCTTGTAATGTAATTAAATCGTGGGAGATACCCATCAGGACATAATCGAGAACTTCTTGTTATTTTCTCTCTAATGTAATTAATTCAACTGAAATGAATTAACACCGGCTACCGCTACTACTATCCAGCAGCAGTCAATGACGTTACGATTACACCTTTTTATGACTGCATCTCAAACTAATATTGATAAATTTGAATTCCTGTATAAGCCTTTAAAAAAAGACAAAAAAGGATAAAGTACACAGAACTGTGCTGATTGAGTGAACTATTAATTGATTTATTCAGTGCTGAGCAATTCTGAGGAAGAGATTTCGTCTTTGTGTGAATCATGTTATGGATCACACTTATTATTTGGGGAACTGTAAGTACTGTTTAGCTGAGTAAGCTGAAAGTCGGTGACAAGGAGTTCCAAGCTTGGATTCATTTACTGGAAGTCCAGTGCCTAGTCAAAGATTCTATTATGATAAAGATAAATTCAAACATCTTATTTCGTTGAATGTTTTTCAGTAAGTATTTCAGTGTAATATGAAAGGAAAATCACAGTTTTTTGTTCAAAGAAGAAATATCTCTTTTCAACGACTTCATTTTCAAGCAGCTGTACAGTCATACTTACACTACGGAAAAAGAAGGCAATAAGTGGCACTAAAAATTGCTCAGTCAATACTGCACATATGATAAGAATAAAGATTATTAAAATGATGTATCAAGTGGGTAGAGTTGAAGTGGGTGAACTACACAACATTTAAAGATTATTAAATAAGGGAACTGGCATAAAGATTTTCAAATTGTAGATCAAGTGTTGTCTAAAAAGTTAATAGTGTCATTATGATGATAACAGAAAAGACAGCGAAGATGAAGTGAAGTAAAAGGAATTAAAGTAGTAAAATAAAATAAAATAAAAGAACATAACTATGACCAAGGTAAAGAAAGGGGTTTAACAAGACGTTTCTGAATAGATAATTTTTAGGTTTCTATCCATGTATAGCTAGAGCTTCGGCTATGCATAAGTGGAGAATAAGTAAGCTTTTGGAGTGGTTGGATTTGGTCCTGTAAAGGATAAATCACCTGGGGCTGAATGAGCTGACTCCACAATGTGTTCACAACTTGAAAACGTTGTCGTTCTATGCTCACCATTCATTAGCCAAACCGGGTAGTGTTCAGCTACGCGTTTAGGGAGAACACTCTTAACTCTTACAACGTCCAAAGTAATCAGCTCCCACGAGTATGTGAATGAGTATATGAACATAGAAATGGACATAAGCTGTAGTTTATCCTTAACGCGTTGTGGAATCATATTTCGACTGGTAATTTTAAAATCTTCATATACCAGTTCACTTATTTAATAATCTTTAAAAGTTTTGTATTTCATCCACTTCAACTCTACCCTCTTAGTGCATCATTTTAATTATCTTTATTCTTATCATATGTGCAATATTGACTGAGCAATTTCTAGTGCCACTTAATGCCTTCTTTTTCTATAATATAAATATGACTGTACAGCTGCTTGAAAATGAAGTCGTTGAAAAGAGATATTTCTTCGCTTAACAAGAAATCTGTGTTTTTACTTATGAATTAATAGGTATATTTTGCAATAATACGAAACAATTTGCTCTCATATACATGTATATATATATATGTATATATATGAATAATGATAAGTTTATAATTACTTTACATCTTGTCATCACAAGATTCCAGCTGTTCTATATAATTATTATACAATACACATAACGATTTCATGCGATAATTACAGATTATGAAGAAGTAAAGAGAAATAAAAGACAAAACATATTGATTTGAGTGAAATTTATATTGATGCTAAAAGAAGACAGTAAAGAAGCAAACACAAGTGCTAGTAAAACGAAAGAATACCTATAATAGGAAATATATTTTAAAAAGACGGTTGAAACGAATAAAATTATTTTTTACGACAAAGTTATCAACTAGGCAGCATATCCGCGTATTTATACTAAATTGGCTGAGAAACTTCCAGGACAAACTAATAAAATTATACACAGGGATTAAAATGTAATAACAAAACGTGAAGGCTGGATAAAAACATCAGGATCATAACTGCCGGGAAAATGAATTAAAGGAGGAATGCATGTGTGTATAGCTAAGTTAATTAACAGAATAGATGGGGAATTTAGGCGAATCCTTCGAAGTGACATACGAAACCCAATCTAACCTCTCAAAGGAAATAAGATCAAGGCATCTGGGATAAGCTGAGGCACTAGCGATTTCAAAGTTCAAAGGAAATACATCCAACCTATTTCTCTGCAATGACCAACATAAAAAACCGATTCTTTGAACAGGGATTATTCTATTACCTTTCTTATCCAAATGTCCTTTAATCCCTATTTGCACTACTGCTTTTTTTTATTCAAACTTCCTGTCTAATTTGTTATTTTAAAAAAAAATGGATACTGAACAAAGAGTACTCATTTCGATAACTTCATCATCAGGCTCTACAGTTATATACACATTATGGTGAATGAATGAATTAGTGTTATGAACAACATTAATGTTGTTTAAATAAGATCGAATCAATAATATTGATAGATTACAGCTCAATAGCATCAACATAACAATAAACTGAATGTCAGAAGAATTATGGAAGATAATAGTACAAATTCATGAAGTTTTAGTCTCTACTGAAGGCCAGGGTAGTAGTAGGGGCTGGACTTGCTTATTTTGCACGCAGAGAACTGGTTGTTTGAGGCGAATCGCAATAGCCTCTGCTGTTTGCTGCATGCAATGCTTTGATGATTTTGGCAATTTATTAGGCACCCGGTAGATTACAGAGAAGGATTCTTTCACGCTGGCTTTGTGGCCGGTTTGCATCAGATGATCCAATATCGAACTGTTAATGCTTTTAAGTATACCTTTACTTAGCCATAGTGGAAGATGTTCTCGAGCACGAAAAATCAAGTTCCTAGAGCAACGGCCAATATAACTCACTCCACGTTGCGTTTTAATCTGTAAGTGCACAAAAAGTCAATTTTCCCGGTAATTATGATCCTGCCATGTTTTTATCCAATCTTCCTGTGTACTATTACATTTGAATCCCTATTTGAAATTTCATTAATTTGACGTTTGACCGGAAATAGTCCTGGAAGTTTCTCAGCCGCTTAGTATAAATACACGGATGTACAGCCTAGATGATAACTTCGTCGTAAAGAAAGCTTTATTCGCTGAATACCTATAAGTAAAACGTATATCACGGTATGACACAAAAATCATAATTGTAGTTGTGTCTGTTTTAGAGATAAGCACACTAGTGTGAGCCCTTAATTAAACTGTATGATTAATCTGTTTGAATTACTGTCTTCTCAGCTCATTTACGATGGACGATCATTCAATAACTAATAAAACCCTATTGGTTATTAACTAATTAAACTTTCCAGTGCTCAGATTTGGTGGGAAAGGTCATAATGGTTGCATGCATTGTGAGTTGTTAACTGGCAGTGGAATCCAAATTAGGAATTGACATAAGTCCTAATTTCTTTTGTTAGCCACTATCAACCAAAAACTATTAAGTTAACCCAATGCCATCGGAAAAGCGTGTCTACTAGGGGCCGAAATGTCAACGAAGAAAAAATGTTTATATGAGCAAGCATAAACACATTAAGACGGATATTACCCCTTTGCAATTAGGAATTTTATATTTATGATTATCATCTTAAAATACTTACTTATCTGCCTATCGAGTAACCAAACAAACACGTGATCCGGGTTCAACTCCCGGCCGACACACTCTTAAACCTAAAGAGGGAAGGATGGCCGTCAGGCTATCACTCCTACCCAGTAAAAGACAACACCCCAACTACTGAAACTTCAAAGCTCAAACTGGAAGCTCCGTTTTTCAATAGGAATGCAAAGGAATGAGAGAAAAAAGTAACTATCCGGCACAAAGATTGATAACAGTGAAGCTGTGGATCTTGTGTTCAGACATTAGACTCCTCAACCAATGAATTACAGCTTTAATCCCCGCTTCATTTCTTGAAGGTTCAGATATCTGAATTTCATATTAACAGTTCACCTTCGAATGTGGATAAATCCATGTCTTTGTTGGGCAACACTCTGACCTTTTTAAATTCATTTATCCTGTACAAAACTTGTATTTATTAAGTTGTCAGATTATGATATTATATAGCTACCCAGAACGATGTGGATGAGCTAAGACTTCAAATTTGTAAAACAGTATTTTTCAAATTTTCATTCATTTGAGTTCCAAGTGAAACTAAGAGCTTCACGCTTTAGAGTCTCAGTAGCCATGGTGTTGTTTGTCCAGGGTAGGGCTACCAGCCTCGTGCCCAACTTATTATTGACTAAGTGAGGTTTAAGAGTGTGTCCGTCGGGAATCGAGCCAGGATCTCTCACACGATTGATGACCATTCTATCACTAAAACACTGGCATTCTTGTAAGGTAGGAGTTGGAAAGTTGACTTCCATGAACTTCAATATTAATACTATGGAAATGGGTGCATCAGTGGCTTAGTGGTAGAATGCTCGCCAGCCAAGCTTGTGGTCCAGGATTCGATCACCGGCCGACTCATTGCTTTATCTCGCTAAGCCGGTAATAAGACCGGTAGACAGGGAAGGCTAGACATGAGGGTAGCAACCCTACCCCGTAAAAATAAATACCACTGCTACCGAAACATTGAAGATCAAGCTTGAAGTCCTATGTAATGGGATAAAATAATAAAATAGGAAAAAGAAAATGTGACAGAACAAAAAGAGGTGACGTAATAAGTGTTTTTCTCGAAGAAAACGCTTAAGAAAGGCATTGGTTAACAAGCCTAGGTGTCTACTTACTTGGTGAACAATGAACATATATATCCATTAATTCAGTTGACTGTGTAGTAATATTTTCATTGTTTTTTAATAATGTTAATATTTTTTCAATAGTATTTGTTAAAAGTAATTTCTGACATACATTGAAATGAATTGCACGATCTTTTTGACTAGTAGCATTATCATTGTTAATTTGATTGCATACATTATTATCACTAACAGGATTTGACACCTGCTGCTTTATTTGCGCTTTCAATGATTTCAGCTCATTAGATAACTGAAGAATTTGTACTTTATAGTCGTCTAGTAATTGTTGACTTTCAAAAAGTTTCTTTTCATTTACATCGAATTTTTCCTTGATTGAAGAAAGCTAGAAAGAAATTGGAATTGAAATTTTTCGAGAATTTAAGGTTTAAATTAATTAATTAATAGATTAATTATTGAACAGCAAATCAATGTATAATTAGAGACGGCAACTTGTAGATTGAAAATCTATTGAACACTTATAGAGGTTTGGGATTGGTAAATCCACTAACGGTAGTTAGTTCAATTTGCATACTTGTGCGTCTTCACTAGCTACCAACAAGGCTGATTAAATCCTTCAATTATATCAGTCTCATGAATACCTGCTTCAGTATTGTTAGATTATTGTTGCCCAAATATTTCTCTACACCATTCATTTTTGTAGGGTCAGTTATACTCTTTTGTAATGGGTCAATAGGGTCCTTTAGCCTAGAAAGTATGTCGCTGAGTGAGCTTTTGTAGGTTTGACCCGCTCTAGTCAATAGAAAAACACCAGCATTTAAGCACTACGGGAGAAAACTTATTGTTCTGTTATTCAACTTTCGTAGTTCCCCATCGTCTCCCTCAGCTAACAGACTCTTCTCACACATAGATATAACTTTACAGACACCATAACTTTCATCTTCATGTTTAGCAGTAGAATCTAGAGGTGCATTTTATCCCGTTCAGAAGTCAATAATTTTCAGAATCCCGAATGATATTCGTTAAATAAGTGAAAAACCTTCTTCAAGACGGAGTTGATTGTTTTCACAATGAACAAATCACTCTCACATGCTCGGATGGCGTCAGATTTAGACAATAATTCTAATGAAATGTTTTTCCCATATTTCAGTAGAATAGAAAATTTCATCAAGACAACTAAACTACTTTCTATACCTTATAAGTAGTATAAGTTGCAGTTTGGCTTTTAACTGCTGAACTGTAATAACCATTTAAAAAAAAGAAAGAAATTCAATATTCTACGAAATGATTCTGCATAAATTTGCATTTGATTATAAGTCAGTGATTATAAATATTGTAACAGAAATCTCGATAAATTAAGCGCAACAAGGTATATAACACATCATCAATATTGGATTCAGTTGATTGACACCAATATCATGTCATTGGTTAAGAAGCTTATTCTATATTTCAAAAGAAATGTACTGAGGAAAGATTTGCAAACGTAGAAAGGTGTATTAGATCATGTTTAAGTATCGGCGCTAGCAAATTAATTATTTTAAAAAATTTAATGATGTGGTCTTTCAACTACAAATGGATTCAGTTTGTTACCTATTTAACACTATCTTTGACTGATTTTCAACGTAGAACGTAGATGTCCACCAGCTCGAGCCACCACAATCCATGTAGCACACAAAGTAAAAGAAGAGAGTTAAGAGACATTCAGTATAGAGAGAGGTAATAAACAGAAATATGAGGCAAAAAGAATAGTAATATCGAAGAACCATATAGTTTTATTGGATATTATAAGTCACAAGGAGTGGTTGTATCTGCGCTAGCCATTGAGAACGATTTTGAGCCATATCACCAATTGTCTCCAGCCGTCATTGGTTCTTACCGTACCGAAAATCCCAACCAGACAGCAGTCTACACCTACCTACGTGGCTGGCTGGCTTACACTAACTGTTGTGGATTTCATTGACTGATGAAGCCATGTTTTGGTTTGACCACCACTGACTCTTTTCCAATCCGATCCATCCTATGTCAGCTAACATTGCCCGTCAGTCGAGGAAGGCGATTGACGGCTAGGTATGCATGCATAACACATGTCCTGACCATATCACTCAATCGATGCAGCTGATTCACAACCTCGTCGATTGATTGATTTCCCCTCCAACCTACCCAGCACTCGACTGATGCCTCGCCTCAATATTCCTCACTTTACTATACCACTTCTTACGGGAGATAGAATGCAGACAGCTATGATCAAAGACAGCTAGCTGGCCTTTCATGTCTAACACTTTCAATGGTCATATCTCACTCACGGTGATAGAGGAGGACAGAGCAAACTGCTGAGGCGTACACAAGTCCTTTGGTAGATGGCCAGCTGGATATCACGTCCAATAAGTCAGAGATGGCGTAAACTGGCATATGCTAAACGAGTCTCCTCTGTCCGTGCTGAGATTTCGTCAGCCATCAACCTGTTGACACCGACTGACACAAATCATCAAATAAGTGAAGCGGTCAACACGCTCCGTCAACCTTTGTTCATTCCCTATCTTTAAGCTACTAGCCGATTTAGTCCTGTCCTGTAGCATCATCTTACATTTGACAGTAGAAGTGAATCGTATGCAAAACATTCGACGATTGTTGCCCAAGGCGTTCCAAAGGCTCTGCATTTTTTCAGCGTCCTCACCTAGAAGGACTATATAATCTGCATATATTCTGAGTCAACTAGATGATTCCCTGGTAACATGTCAATCCCTCAGTCACTGAAGTTATCAGTTAGGGTTAAGTCCATAAGTACATCTGTGATGAAATGTAACAGAAATTGGGAGAGTAGACATTCCTGACGGACACCACTAGGTGTCACCGCTTCAAATGACAACTCTCCGTAGTTTCTGACTTGGCTAACTGCATGAGTTCGAGTAGAGTGCCTGGGTCAGTGCTATGTATTTTCTCGGCATTCTCTTCACATCCAAACATCGCCATAGTACCTCCCTCGACGGAATAACACTGTCTTTAGATGAAATAAAGCTTGTTTAACCATTTATACGAAATAACAAAGCAAAATAATAACCATAAATGCTGAATTAGGATCCATACATATTCAATCATTCCAATGACTTTATGTTTTCATCAACACATCTACTTCAAAGACAACCTTAGTTAAACATCACTACCTTCAAATGTAAGCGAAAAATAAGTTTTATTTATTATAATTTGTTGTTTGTGCACCAGTTGTCTTGGTTTCTAATCATGACTGTAATTATGTACAACAAATCCTCGTAAATAGTTTAATTTGAACAAACCTCTTAGCATAGACACTGTCACAGTCTACGTTTTCACAACTGACTTAGAAAAAAAATGTCATCTAACATTTAAATACGTGGAGAACAACGAAGTTCAGGTGTGTTTTACACTCATTGTATTATTCATTACATTGCATACAGTTGAAAAGTATTCACGAATAAGAAATATCAGGTTGTATTATACTTCATTATTTAGGTTTGTATAGTTTGTAAATAGGAACTCAGATTCCCTGAACCAGGGGCTACGAGTTACACTTAATGAAGGCTGTTGATGCCATTCAGTTGCCCAGACTCAAGTAGGTGAAAAAAGGATCCCAATACTTGGACTTATTCGATGATATTAGATGGTTAGAGGCAATCGGCAGAAAGCCCTGCTTGATCTAGGTTTCGTGCTAGTCGGCACTCGTCAAGAAGACGTATCTGCAACATTGGAGGAACTCCTCATATCCCTTCTAAGATTCGAACCCGCGTCACCTATTCAGTCGAAATTGAATGCTTATACCAATCAGTCGCGCAACTTTGTACAAGCTGTACAAATAAGAGTGTATCTGTTTTATCATATTGTAAAACCTATTTATAATTAGTTTTCCATCGAGTACCTATCTGACATGATCACTAATAGAAATAAACATAAGTGGGTATTTTTTTTGAATTGTCAGTTGTTTCTACTTATTTTAGTGAAGGTATTTTGAAAATATACAAGGTGAATAGAGGTAATTTTATACAAATTTCTCATTGCGATAGTAGTTGAAAACGCGAAAACGTTGCTTCATATATTCAAAAACAAAACAAAAACAGAGACAGAAATGTGTTGTCTGTATACAAGGCTCCGATTATTATGAAAGTGGGTCAGATTTATGCGAATATATGTCTATGTCTATATAAGTTAAGAGAAAAATAGAGATGGTAATTAGACTAGACGAATACTTTCAAAAACACATAAAAACAAACCATATATATATATGTTAATCGAATCTGGTCACCTAAGAGAAAGAATTGTTGAATGAGTAATTTGTAACATTTAGTGTACACACACACACACACCACAAGACTCAGGTTTATATCTTAGCATATTAAAATATGTCTGATAAATTGTACACTTACAATTGGAAATAATGAAAATGTTAGCCTATAAACAATGCCAGTTGATTATGCTTGATATATATATATATATATATATATATATATATATATATGATACTATTAAGCTATTTAATTCATTTAGTTTTATACGTTAACATTCTTGAGCTTGTTAATACACTTTTTTATTTAATTAGCGTTAGTAATATGAAGTTAAAATGACAGTATATACCCACGGGATTCGAACTCAGGAATTTCCAGTTGAAACAAATCAAATCCCTAGAAATAAACTTTGCAAAGTTAATCTGATGCACGCTAGTGACTGGATAGAGAATAACTAGGTTGCCTGAAGTTCTTGTGAGAAATAATGAACAGTGGAGTCTGTCCGATCAAGGAGGGGGGGCAGATACTCGCCACAAATGACATTGGCTAGGGTCAACCACGCTAAAATCTCAAGTCAGTAGAAGTTGGAATTTGTGGGCTGGGCACTGAGTCGGGTCTCAGTGGCTGAATGGTCTACGGGCTCGTCTTGTAACCAGGAGGTCCTGGTTTCCAGCTCCTGTGGTGGGTGGGTAGCACCGATGAGTCCAAGGCTAGGCTGAAACAACTATCCATTACTCTCTGTTGGTTTTCAATGGTTCTCTAACAGATATCGATATGTTTGTGATTGCACACTAGTCAGTAACCAGTGTAATGCGTCTAGTCCTATCTTCGCTACAGACTGAATTCTATCAGTCAAGATTGCAATGTGCCCCACCATGCTAGGTGGCTCGCCATTACGGTGCACTGTGAATTGTTGGTAATACATGGTTGGAGGCAATCGGCAGGAAGCCTTGGACCTAGGTTGATCACCGAACCTTTGGTCGTTGAGTGAACGTCAAATATATACGACAGGTATAACTTAAAACCTAACCCAGATATTTAAAATATTATATTAGGAAAAGGTGCATCTGTATCGCGATGGTAGATAGCTCGCAGACCACACACGTGCTCTGGATTCGATTCCCAGCCGACGCACTCCTCATCCTCGATTAGCCGATGGTAAGCTTGGTAAAGAGAGAAAAGTTGGACGTCAGGTCAACAATTCTACTTCGTAAGCATAGCACCACTGTTACTGAAACTTGATAGCACAAGTTTGAAGCTGTAATATTCCACTCGGTAAATTAAAGGAATGGAAACAATAAGAGGGAATAAAGGAAACTAATATTAAAACAAGATAAGAAGTCGTGTGAATACATTGCTATGATTATTGGCAATAAGTTGTGGTCAAAACGTTAGCCAGTACCAATGTGTGTGTGTTTTACTTGAAATGGACCTATGTAATATAGAAAACAATAGGATTTACTTAAGTTAACTATAACTAACTACTATGCAATGTATATATTCCAGAGACTTTCCAGGAGTATACGGAGAACATTTTACGCAGCATACCTATGTTTGTCATTCTCTAGCCGACGAATGATTGGGACGCAAACGAAGAATAAGCTAGATAGTTTTGCCACATCTATGTGCATTTATCAATTCAACTGCACCTGTGGTGACAGTTATGTTGGGCGTACCACTAGACAGTTTAGTCAACGTGTTAGTGAACATCTCCCACCGTGGTTTGGCAAAAGACAGACAGTCCATTAGGGACAAAAACAATCGCAGCTCAATTTTCTCACATTTAATTGATACTGGTCATGTAGTGGAGAAAACGAGAGCTTTCAAAGTAATCCATCGTATCCCACCGAATCTTTCCAATAGACTTCGTATTCGTTTACTGCACACAACTGAGGCGATAGGCATTCGAACTATTAAACCTAAACTATGCATTCCAAAGAAGTTCGTACAGCCATTATCCCCCACCTTGGCCTATTAAGACCAACATAACCAACTAATGACTTCTACACCATCCCCTTACTTATATTTTCAACCCCTCTCTTATCATCCCTTAGTCTTATCACATCTTCATTAAAAACGTGTTTCATTTACTTCCCTTACAATTTAGCATTACTTAATCGGTTCATTTGTTTTTACAAGCCTTTATCGACTACTTCCAACTGAACATTTGTTTGTTTAACCATGCTGGTTTTCGTTATTCGTGTTATCACAGATTGCCTCACTTTTTCATACTTGTTACTGATAAAACCATTATAATAATAATAATAATTATTATTATTATCATTACTACTATTATGACTAATTTCACAATTTATATTCACCATCTTATTATCCTATAGACAAAACACCATGATTGGTTTATATTTGAATTTTTATTTGTAAAGTTGTGTGTATATTAGAGTTAAGCCTGATGAGATCTAATTGAAAGCACAATATTGTTCGCTTAAGTATGTTGTTCTAAAAGATATAGAATGAAACAAGTTTATTTGGAGAAATATGCATATAACCAAATCCGACATAATTTACTGGTAAGTATGTCTCAGGATTCAACAATAACATGAGGTGAAAGTGAATTTGAATTCATGTGTTAGTAATAACAATAATAATAGTAATAGTAATAACAACAAATGAAAAAGACGACTGTTCGAATAATGCTAATGTAGGTAAGTGAAATGAACTTTCGACTATTACGACGTAAACAAACAAACTGAAACACAAACGCATATTTTGTACAGTTTTTATTCTATTTTCAATATTGATTGCACTTAAAATTCATTTAACCAATAGTTTTATATGTTAACAAACTAATAATCTCATATAACGAATGATTTTCAATTTTAGTCATAATTAACTGATAGTGAAAATATTCTATAACAAAATTTATTGAGGTAAAAATGTAAGACTGAATTGTATACAATTAATTATTAAAATAATGGTTAATGAACAAAGAATATTCTTTTTTTCTACACGATCGATGGTGATTCCTCAACTGAAAGATGAAGTACCCAGACCAGTCACTTCTAATTGTATCAACTACATCAACTGTGTCTGTTGAGTGAGTTATATTGGCGGTTGCTCTAGGAACTTGATTTTTCATGCTAGCTCGGGAAAATCTACCACCAGTGTGGTAAAATAAAGGTATAGTGAGAAGCATCGATAGTTCGACATTAGACCACCTGGTCCAAAACAGCTACTAAGCCAGCCAGTGTTGAAGAATTCTTCTCCATTATCATCTATCGGCTACCAAACAAATTGCCAAAAGCATCCACGTACCACATACTCCAGACAGCAGAAGCTATAGCGACTCGCCTTAAACAACTGGTGCTCTGTGTGCAGAAGAAGCAAGTCCAGACAGCCAGCCACTACTACTGCCACCCTGGCCGGCCTTCAGTGGAGACTATAAATTCATGAATTTGTATTATTATTATCTTTCCTAATTTGCCTGTCTGATATTCAGTATGCATTGTTATGTTGATGCTATCGAAATGTAATCCATTGATACTATTATTATTGATTCGATGTTATTTAAAAAAACATTAATGTTGTTAATAACACTGATTCACTCATTCACTATTATGTCTATATAACTGTAGAACCTGATGAAGAAGGGGTTATCGAAATGAATATTCATTGTTCAGTAACCATTTCTTTGAAAAAAAATTTCAATGAACATTTTTAACCGATTAATTATTAATTAAATAGATTGAATTTATGCGATCCCAATATAATGACATCCAATACATACGGGAACCTCGCCTAGATTACTAGGTCACTAGTATTCTAGCCAGTCCCAAGCCCGGATAAAGAGGGAGGGTTGGGGCGTGGTGCTAGCAACTTCACCCCCAAAACTTAACCAAATTGCTACTAAAACTTCAACGCACAAATATATTAAAAATTCTAAAAATACAAACAATAACCTTATTTTTCGTTGGAATCGGGGAAGTGAAATGACGCAGGCTGGTAAAAGCCTTCGGGAAGCCAGTCAACCCATGTGCCTTCTTTCGATGAAAGTTAGCATCATTAAAGAGTGCTGTTGGGTCAAATAACCTTAAAGATTATGAGCGATAATATGAATAATGTTTCACCCTACCTACCTGGGAATCATCGTTTCAACTACAGGCGGAACTGACGAGAATATCAAAGCAGCGAGAATCGGGAAAGCACAGCAAGCTTTCATTACTCTCAAGACTGTGTGGAGGTCAACAGCACTCAGCATGAAGAACGAGATCCAGATTTTCAACTCCAATGTGAATTCAGTGCTAGTGACTTGGCGACGCGTCACTTCACGAAGGGCACTTCGAACAAACTACAGACTTTCATCAACAGCTGTCTTCGCTCAATACTACTCAAGATCAGATGGCCGGCCAGAAAAGATCACCAACAGGGATCTCTGGCAATGAACGAACCAACCAACCAGGAACTAATTGTGCAAGAAATAAGCAGGAAGAAATGGAAGTGGATTGGCCATACTCTGAGAAATCCATCGGGTGAGTGACATCACACGCCAGGCCATTGCTCGAGTGGAACCAGAATGGAAAGCGGCGAGTTGGTCGTCAGTGCGACAGTGACATAGAGGAGGTCGTGTGAAGAGGAGATGAAAGCATGTGGTCAGACGTGGAGCCAGGTGAAAACGTTGGCGGAGAACCGAACGCAATGTAGACGTGCGGCTGAAGCCCTATGTTCCTCTAGGAACTAAAGGAAACAATAATAATTAAATAGTAATAAATGCTGATAACGGTAATAATGATGGCATACAGTGCCTAGTAAAGCAACACATACCTCTTCAATGAGATGATCCTTTTCAACGCTGATAGTATTCAATTCTGATTGAAGCTGATCTACAGAATTGGTATATTTTTGTTCGGATAATACTAGAGATTCTGCATTCTCTATTGATGATGATTTCTCTTGGTTACGAAGATCCTGAAAGAAAAACGCAGAAAAGCACGGGATGTTAACAGAAATACCGAGAATGACAGCGAAATGTTAGTGATAGTTTAATGTAATATTTACAAAACACTTTATCATAGAATAGAGATTTATTAAATTTATTTGTGTAAATTATTTTTGCATTTCCCACTGTATGATTCCACTAAAAGGAAACGTTTAGTTTTTGTCGAATCCTCTCATAAGGACACTTCGATGATGCCTTGTGACTAACTATTGTGTTACTTGGTTAACCGACAATGCAGGTAAATCCAACTGACAATCCCCAAATTAGGGTCATTTGATTGCACTGCTAGTTACCACCAATCAAGTTGTATTTTAGAACACTTTATATTTTAAGTTAAGAATATGCTTTATATGAATGTATCACATAGGTTTGTAGACAGAGTTTAAACTAAATAGCTAATTACTTGTTTAAAATGACGCATAAACAGTATACAATGTGAATAAGCCTTTATGATTAAGCATATATATATATATATAATAAATATTTATACGAGTACAAGATATTAAGTGAATAGACGTAATGCGAATAATTTGTATACGCATAAACTATTGTCTGCTAATATAATAAGGTGAATAAATAGTAAATTTGTTCACCGTTTAATAAGAATTTTGTTTAAATAATAATGTAAAGCGAAGTAAGGAGCAGAATAATCTTTAAACAACAATACTAACCAGTAAAACATACATTTTGATAAACTTGACAAAGAACCGAACCTATTAATTAAATTAAGAGTTAATAAAAACAGCTTACTGTTCAACTATGAGTAGGTGAAACAGTACTCTAATTATAATGCATATTGTTTTAAATGAAAGCATAATGATGTTTGCTAGCTAGGTAAACTTCTCCAATTACAGAGAATAGAAGTCATAAGTTAAACTTCGAATACGGTTAAAACACTTGAAAAATACACATAATGAACTCTGTAACTACTATTATTATTGTTTCCTTCAATTCCTAGAGAAACATAGGGCTTCAGCCACACGTCTCCATTGCGTTCGGTTCTCTGCTAAAGTTTTCACCTGGCTCCAAGTCCGCCCACACGTTTTCATCTCTTCTTCACATCACCTCCTCCAAGTCACCCTTGCGCTGACGACCAACTCGCCGCTTCCCTTTCGGGTTCCACTCGAGCAATGGCTTGTCTAGTGATGTCACTTGATGGTTTCCTCAGAGTATGGTCAATCCATCTCCATTTCCTCCTGTCTATTTGTTTCACAATCAATTCCTGATGGGTTGTTTCGCTCCCAGAGATCTCTGTTGCTGATCTTTTCTGGCCGGTCATCTGGTCTTGAGTATTGAGCGAAGACAACTGTTAATAAAGGTATGTAGTTTGTTTGAGATGCTCGATACCCGACCGATAGCTGCTACCTTGACGTGGTGGTCGGGCTTGCATATCGCAATGACCCAACGAACTACACTGGCTGGGACTTATGTTCCTGTAGGTCCTACCATGCCAGAAAGGTTGTTTGGATAGCGGTTAGACAAAAAGCAGTTACCCAATCCAATGCTATGACTCAAGCAAACTCACAAAATATCATGAGGGATCGGTCGGGGCCTGGATTAACAACTACCGCGCTCCCTGCTGCTGTATCACAGGGCAGAAGTGATAAATATGCTACTGAGACACACCAAACAAGAAAGCACAAACCAATAGTCATGATGAAAGCCAGATCCAAGGCTTCTTATCGATTGCCTTTCAACCGCTTAACATCATTAGAATATTTTTACATTTAAAGAAAACTGTCATTTTGTTAACATTTTTAGAAGACGGTGTAAATCAATGCAGATCGGAAATTCATAGTTCAAATAATTTCAATGACGTCACTTGTAAACAACACACAATAACAAACGAGAGTGCCAGTGAGAATTAATAAGCCATAAAAAGATGTTCTAATCTGCTTCGATATCTCGATAGTTTAAACACCTAACCCTAGACTAACCAGCTTGTTCTATATAGCAAATTAACGAAATTTTAGAATTTATAAGATATTGAATTTCAACCCTAATGACTTCCTCCTCAATAAGACAGTCCCATGGAGATGTGTGTACACTGTTGAAGTTCTGGACTAAGATTATACACACAAATACACCAGCACAGAACTTTGCATAGATTTGCATCAATTCAAGTTAACACACTCTTAAAATAGCTAGGCATAGAAAGAAGATCACGAAAATATAATCATACTGCAATGAACAAGCATAAGCGTGACAAAAAGAATAATAATTCATAAGAGATTATTGAAGATTCCCAGGTGGTGGAGGATGCTAAGCAATAAATTCATTTGTTTTTTAAGTACTGGTTTTGTAAGGATTTTGTTTGATTGGTTAGGGGATTTCATCATGAGCTGACATCAGTTAGGGTGCTGCTGCTGAAGAGTCCGAAACTAGGCTGACGAAACAGCTGTCCAGTATTCCAAAGTGGTTTTCCAGTGGTTCTCTAACTGATGTCAACTCATGATGAAATCCTCAAACCAATAAATTCATTTGTGTTAAGGATTCTGAAATAGTTTCATTTAGTTTTTTTGCAGTTTTTGTAGTGAAATTTGTCTTGTAATCAATTCCAGACCCTAAAATCGTACCATTTGAATATTTTAAGTAATAAACACCTGACATAATAATTTTTATTCATATATATATAAATAAGTAAAAGTTTTCACTACATTTTATATGAATTTACTCAATAGTATGATATCTATCGAAACAAATTAATCATACAAGTCAGACTATGTGATTAAAAAAATTGCAGAAATTTTTGTAATATATTCTATCAATCACTTCGTCATAATAAAAGTTTGTGTGAAACTGTCGCCACAACAATAACAACAACAGCTAGTACCACTATTATGCACTAATCAGTTCTATCACAGATAATTGACAGTAAAGTCAAGAGAAATATAATGAATGCATTTATTGTAAACGAAATAGGTTTAACGTTAATGAGTAAATTAAAACAAAAGTGTATTATGCAGAGAACAACTGTAAGGATACTACTAAAACATGAGGCTTCAACTAGTGAATATCTAGTAGCAGCAGTCTCTTTATAGAGTGGCTTTGGGAGCCTCACATTCAACCTTCCCGGCCCTCGGTCGGTCGGTTTTCGACATAGAACTTCGCACATATGTGCGGTAGTTCAAGTCGCCACACTCCATGTACCACACAAAGCAAGAAAAGAAAGTAGGAGAAATGCATAATATAGACAGTAAACAGTGGTGTGAGACAAAGAAATAGTAATAACGAAGAACAAAACAGTTTAATTGGAAATCATAAGTCACAAGGAGTGGATGCATCTGCACCAGACATTGAGAACGATTTTGAGCCATGTCACCAATCGTTGCCAACCATTGGTTTTTACCGTCCCGAGGACCCCAACCAGACAGAAAGTCTACATCTTCCCACGTGACTGGCTTAAACTAACTGTTGTATATTTCATTGACTGCTGCCATGTTTTCGTTTGACCGCCGCTAGCTCTTTTCCAGCCTGGTCCTATATCAGCTAACATTGCCCATTGTCGAGGAAGGCGATGACTAGGCATACGTAGCACATGTACTAACCATCTCAGTCGATGTAATCTCACAGTCTCGTCGACTGATTTCCTCTCCTTACCTAGCACTCGACGCCTAACCTCAATATTGCTCACCTTAATATACCACTTCATGCGGGAGATAGAACGCAAACACCTATGATCAAAGACACCTAGTCTTTTCGTGTCTTCTGCTCTCAATGGCCAGGTCTCACAGCCATAAAGGAGGACGGAGCGGACTGTTGAGCAGTACACACGCCCTTTGGTCGATAGTCGGATATCAAGTCTACGCCAGAGACAGTGTAAACTGGCATAAGCGAACCTAGCCCTCTATATTCGTGCTGAGATTTCGTCAGAGATTAACCCGTTGGGGCTGATGGTACTTCCCAAGTAAGTGAAGCGGTCAACGTGCTCTACCACTTCCCTTCCTATTTCTAATCTAGGGGTCGGTGAAGTCCAATCCTGCAGTATCCCGGCCCTACGTGTCTGATTGATTTCAATAGAGAAATTCGCAGAGAAGTGCAACAGTTCAAGTTACCAAACTCCATGTAGCACACAAAGGAAGACAAAAAAGGAAAATAAGATTCAAAAGTACGACAAAAAAGAATAGTGACATGGGGGAAAAGAAGGTCCAAAAGAAATGGGGGATCACAAAGAATGAATTCATCTGCACCATTGAGAACGATTTTGAGCCATATCACACCAATAGTGTCTAGAAGTTGGTTCTTAGCATCCCGACAACCTAAACCAGGCAGTCTTCACCTCACTGGGTGGCCAGATTAGGTCAACTATCAATGACTTCACGGAATGATACCAGGTTCTAACTTGATTACACTTAATTCATTCCCAGCTTAATCATATATCACTTAACGTTGCTCATCAATGAGGGTGATGGCTTGTTATGCGCAACACATTTCTTAAACATCTGAAGCGGTTCACTCTCACAACCTCATAGATTGATTTAACCTCTTTGCCTAACACTGTACCCCTAACCTCAATATTTCTCGCCGTATTACACCACTTAAAAAGGGAGACAGAACGCAAACATATGTGGTCAAAGAAAGCTAACCTTTTTCATATCTTCTACTTTCATTGAAGACATACAGCTCAGAAGAAGGACAAGGTAAACTAACTGTAGCTCAGTACACATTTCTTTTGATCGATGGTCGGGTATCACATCTGCGCCAGGATGACGCAAGTTGTTAAATGCTATACCAGCTTATTGTATCCCTGCTGAAATTTCGTCAGTAATCAGTCCATTAGAAATGGTGCAACTTCCACCACTTCACCCCATATTTTTTAAGCTAGGAGTCAATGTATTCCAGTCCTATAGCATCATCTTACATTTGACGGGAGCGGATCACATGCAAAACATTCGAAGATTGCTGCTCAGGGTGTTCAGAAGACTCTGCATTTTGACAGCGTCTTCGCCTAGGAGGACTTTATCATCTGAATGCTATAAGTCAACAAGACTATGCCGTGGTAACAGGTAAATCCCTAATTCGCCGAAATCAGTTAGGGTTAATTTCACTAGTACATCAATGATGAAATTCAACAGCAAAAGAGACAGTGGGCATCTCTGACGGACACTACTGGTTGTTGTCACTTCAGATGACCTCCCGTTAGGGTAGTGATCATCGTACTATTAGATCATCAACGCACCTAAGTGTTATATATATGTGATAAAACGCGTAAAAGTAAGATAAGAATTTTCCACACGACACCTTGACTGAGCTTCTTGTATACATCTCGACATCACGTTTTCGAATAATTTCTAAAGAAGCAAGTATATAGGACGTGGACTAAGTCACCTTACTTCTTTTTAAAAATAAAGTTTTAAAGTACTTCCAGTTGTTCAGTTTAATGCATTAGTGAACAAGACTATTAAATGAAGACAGATGAAACAGTTTAGAGATATTAACTGCCGACTAATTAGGATAAAACTATATAACTTTTTTTACATACCAGCAACAAATCAGGAAAGACCACTTATACTAGAAGAAAAAGGCCAAAATTAGGCAGTGCATGTATATATATATATATATAAGCTCTAAGTGATAAAAAATATTCATTATTTTACCAAAAGACATATACAAAGCAGATCAAGTTGAACTGACAAGATTATATAATTCACTTCTTCAGACAAGCATCTATCTGTTATCATCATTAACAGGGTTAACACAGAACTATCAAACAAGCAAAAAGAAACAGGCTTACACTACTTTCAGATGATTCGAATCAATATTAACAAAAAGAGAAATCCATCTGATTATTATTACTGTTTCCTTTAGTTCCTAGAGGAACATAAGGCTTCAGCCGAACTTCTCCATTGCGTTCGGTTCCCTGCCAACGTTTAAACGTTCCTCCACGTCTGCCCACATGATTTCATCTCCTCTTCACATAACCTCCTCCATGTCACCCTCGCACTGACGACCAACCCGCCGCTTCCCTTTCGGTTTACACTCGAGCTATGTATTAGCATGGGATGTTACCTGGTGGTTTTCTTACACTATAGACAATCCACCTCCATTTCTTCCTGCATATTTCTTGCACAATCGGTTCTTGCTGCGTTGGTTCGTTCATTGCCAGAGATCCCTGTTGGTGATCTTTTCCGGCCGGTCTTCCGATTGTGAGTAGTATTGAGCGAAAACGGCTGTTGATGAAAGTTTGCAGTTTGTTTGAAGTGCCCTTCGTGAAGCGGCGCGGCGCCAAGTCTCTGATCGTATGCTAGCACTGAATTCACATTAGAGTTGAGAATCCGGATGTTGTTTTGCATACCAAGTTTTTTTGGACCTCCATATCGAATTGCGAGAAATGAAAGCTTGCCTTGCTTTCCTGATACTCGCTTTGATATGCTCATTAGTTCTGTCCACCTGTAGTTCAAACGATGCTTCCCAGGGAGGTAGGTAAAGGAGGTTGCTACTTTCACATTTCCTCCATTTATACTGACTTTTGTCTTTTGTTTTTGTTGCTGTTACTGTTGGCCAGGAATCTTCATCACCTCTGTTTTCTCCATGTTCACCTGAGGTCCTATCTTCGATGCTTCCTCTGCCAACTTGTTGCTTTTCACTTGCATATCTTCTAGTTTGTGGGAAACCATCTGATTATATACTACTGAAATACAGTTTAATAACAAGATGAAGAAGACAAATGAAGAAAGAGAAAATATAGGACAACTTACTTCAAGTGCTTTTTCTAAATCTTTATTCTTTTCTGTTTCTTGTTGTAAAGTTTGTTGTACATTCCCATACTAGATAAAAAGTAAATTAGAACAAATAAACAAATAAAAAAGAAAATTGTACGTGAAATAAGTAAGACATTAATTTTAATGAGAAAGAGGAAATTTTGATTTGATTTTGATTATAGCTTGAAACCACACCGTATTTTTGGTACTAGTATGGAATTTTCAGTATGCGATATCAATAGCCCAAATTTTGCAGGCCGACCATTGATATCAAGTGTGCATCGGCTGAGGATCGAACCCCGGACCATGTGCATGGTCGGCGAGAGTCCTAACCGCTGTGCCAACGACGCACACTTGGAGTAGATTTCTAAAATCACATCACTCATAAAATAAGGAATAACAGTCAACTGTTGAGTGTTGGTTTTTTCAACAGCTGTAGAGACACTGTATTCAGAAAAGAACAATTTCAGGAAGTGAAATAAATTGTTCAAGAAATTTGATAAGTGCGTTGAAACAGGATCAAGAAGTATTGAAGAGTTGTTGTCTTTTGCTATCAGATTCTTTAACAGTGAGCTCCTACAGTCGCTAAGAGGTAGACTACAGAATTACTAAGTGACTAATTTCATAACATACCAGTTTCTTTACAGGATCTCATCATGAGCTGCCGTTGGTTAGAGAACCATTGGAAAACCTCCTGGGAGTACTGGACAGATGTTTCGTTAGCCTAGTTTGGGACTCTTGAGCAGTTCGCACCCACCAACAGGAAGTTCGAACCCACGACCCTCTGGTTACAAGGTGAGCTCGTAGACCATTGAGCGATTGGGACCCTATCCAATGGCCTTGTAAATTTATGGGCATTATGAACTCGATGATTACTTGATACCGCTTTACATTAGTGAATCTACTTTTTACTTTTTCATGACAAATTATACCCAAATACCGCTAGTTTCATGGAACATTCAGTCAGGTATGTATAAAAGAAAGGACAACGTGGAAATTCACACAAGTTCAAGGTAATAACACTACCAAAAACTGAACAAAACAAAAAAGAACTAAAACATAATCATACTACAACAGATAAACATATGTGACAAAGATAATGATTGAGAAAAGGCTACTGCGGCCTTTCAGAATCTATTAAACAACAGCTAGCGAATATATCAGCTGTACTGTAAACAATTATATTATAATGCCGAATGTCAAGTAGTCCACAATGGAAAATTCGGTGAAACCTTCAAAATGAAGACAGGAGTAAGATAAGACTGCCTATTATCACCAATAATATTCCTATTTGTGATGGACTGGATTATGTGGAAGACTGTGCATGGAAGTGAGGAGATAGGAATACGTTGGACAGAAGAGAAGATTCTAGAAGACTCGAACTTCGAGGACAATTTATGTCTAATGTCACATAAATTCGAGGACTTACAGACAAAAACAAACTAAAAAAAAGCAGCAAAGAAAGGATTTCAGTTTAACAGCAGAAGTGTTGAAAATAACCAACCATAACAAGCATTAATCACTAATAAAGCAATAAATTTGAAAGAGGCTACCACCTTCACTTATCTAGAAAGCATCGTTTCAACCACAGGCCTTAGGGATGAAGAACTGAAAACCAGTCAGAATCGGAAAGGCAAGACAGACCTTTATCACACTTAAATCAGTTTGGAAATCCTCTGCACTCAGCCAGCACAAAGAACAAGATTCGGATTTTCAACACAAATGTTAAGTCAATCAGTCAATCAGTCAGAGACTTGCACTGCGCGTCACCAAAAGGCATTTCTAACAGGCTATAGCAGACTTTTCTCAATAGCTACCCACTTCACTACCTCCATATCGAAGATCAAATGGTCAGAGAAAATTGGCAACGAGAAACTCTGACTGGGAAGAAACCAACCAACCAAGAACGAATTGCTCAACCAAACTATAGAAAATTAATCTGATGCTCGCTGGTGACTTGCTACAGGATGGAGTTTCCTGGAGTTCTAGTGAGAAGTCGTGACCAGTGAGGTCCAATTAGATGTCACGTGAGTGGATGGATGTCCCACCAACGACAATGGTTGTGGTCACGCTATATCACGAATTGGTAGAAGTTAGAATTCATGAGCCATTGAATCGGGTCCCAGTGGCTGAATGGTATACGAGCTTGCCTTGTAACCGGAAGGTCCTGGGTTCGAATCCCAGTGGGTGCGTACTGCCGATGATTTCCAAACTAGGATGAAACAGCAGCTGTCCAGTACTACCTGGTTTTTAATGGTCCTCTAACTGATATCAGTCCGTGATCAACTCGTAAAAATATATAGGAGAAAATGGAGATGGATCGGACACAGGCTGAGGCGACTGTTGAGTGAAGTCACGCGCTATGCCGTAGAGAAAATAACGACGAGTGGGTAGTCCGAGGGTGACATGGATGAGAAGATCGTGTAAGTTGGAGGAAGAGACGAGAGATTATGGGCAACTGTAGCCCCAGCTGAAGAGGACAGCACCAAACAGAACAAGGTGGAAATGTACTGTTGAAGCTCTATGTCCCACTCGGAACCCAAGCAAATAATGACAATATAATAAAATCAAAGCATTTCAGAACATTGAATGCTACTATTCAAGGCCAATGATTTCCCTGATTGAAGTAGACTGGATAATACGACAAACAGCGGGCAATGAGGAAACAGGCATAAAATGGACTCACACAAAAAACTTGGAAGATCTGGACTTCGCCGATGATATATGTTTGATTTCCCACAAACTGGAAGACATGCAAGCGAAAAGCAACAAGTCACCAGAGGAAGCAGCAAAGATAGGACTTCAGGTGAACATAGAGAAAACAGAGGTGATGAAGATTCCTGGCCAACACCACCAACAGCAACAACAACAGACAACAATCAGCATAAATGGGAGGAACCTGAAAGAAACAACCTCCTGTACCTACCTACCTGGGAAGCATCGTTTCAACTACAGCCAGACGGAAATGACGAGGATATCAAAGCTAAAATCGGAAAAGCAAGATAAGCTTTCACTACTCTCAAGTCTGTGTGGAGGTCAACAGCACTCAGCATCAAAAATAAGATCTGGATTTTCAACTCCAATGTGAAGTCAGCGCTACTATACGGATCAGAGACCTGCACTGCGCGTCATAAAGAGCATCTCAAACAAACTACAGACCTTCATTAACAGTTGTCTTCGCTCAATACTCAAGATCAGATGGCCGGTCAAAAAAGATCAGCAACAGAGATCTCTGGCAATGAGCGAACCAACCCAGCAGGAACCGATTGTGAAAGAAATAGGCAGGAATAAATTGAGATGGATTGGCCATACTCTGAGGAAACCATCAAGTGAATGACATCACTAGACAAGCCATCGCTGGAGTGGAACCCGAAAGGGAAACGGCGAGTTGGTCGTCAGTGCAAGGGTGACTTGGAAGAGGTCATGTGAAGAGGAGATGAGAACGTGTGGGCAGACTTGGAGCCAGGTGAAGGCTCTAGCAGAGAACCAAACGCAATGGAGACGTGCGGCTGAAGCCCTGTGTTCCTCTAGGAATTACAGGAAACAATAATAATAACAATTCAAGAAAACACATCAGATTACTGGAAAGTTTTCACTGAATTGTAAACATTCCATTCAAACACCAGGTTTACAATCTCTTCAATACTATAACTTCTTAAGTAAAAGTTAACTGGTAAATAGCTACATTGACGATGTTATTTAGTAGTGAGTATTATTTGCAACCAACAAATAATAGAAACTGAATTATGCACCTTAAATAAATCCGAAATCACTGTGGTCAGTTAAGACATTGTTTCTTACCTCAGACGTAGATGCATAAAAGAATTTAAATAATAATAATAATAATTATTATTCTATGATAAATCCTCCTTTATATGATATTTTAGAATACTACATTTTATTAAGTCACCAAAAGCCCACCTATGAAGACAGTGTAAAAATTAGAGAGAATTTGGTAAAACAAAAAAAAGAAACAATCGCGTTTCTTTCTCTTTTCACTCTTTTAAAAAGTTATTAATCGATAAGGAGAAATTGTATATTCGATTTTACTTCTCACTACAATCATTATTTTTATTAATTATAAATGAATTGTAAATTTTAAAAAAACAGTTCACGTTGAGTGAACAGTTGTTAATCTGATAAGGAGTAGAAGAGAGAAAGGAAATTGTTAAATTTACGAAGAATTTATGAAAATAATGTCTAAAAACTTTTTTATTTTAGGTTATTTTCATATTTACAAAAGTTGAAATTGTTCATTCTTGTATTCTATCTATTCTTCTGTATTGTTCCTAATTTAACTTTCCTGGGCGACTTAAGAAAGACTGCGAAGGGCACTAAAAGTTGTCGTCGGTAGGGTAAGTGGAATGTCATTAAATCAGCTTGTTATTATTTGTTGTTGTAGACAGATACTTGAACCTATACACAAACATTGGCCATCACAAGGCATCTCCTTGACACGAGTCATGAGGTGGATGTCGCAAGATCAATAGGCAAAAGAGTTCAATTCGCCTAGCCAAAGCAATCTCCATCAAGCGCATGAAACTCGATTTATGCGTTCAGAAAGAAGCGGTTATCAGCCTTTCCTTTTCCTGGTAAGCGGATGTTTTCATCCTCTCTTTTATTTGATTCTGTAAGGCTGAAAGATTCCATTGTGTATGATTATTTATGTTTGGGATATGGTGATTATTATTGGTATTGCATGCATATATTGATTTTCTTTTGTTTAAAAATGAACTCTGCAAGTGTGTTAAAATTGTTTCTGTAGAAATACTGAATGTCTTCGGGTTGTAAACAGCTGATGAGAAACCAATGAAGCAAATGATGGTACCGTTTTATTCTGCATAAACTGTTGTTCATGCCTTATTAAGGGGAATAAATGCATGGATATCATCTTGTTAGATTCTGAGTCGCATCATCCTGGAGAGAATAAAGGAAGCACTGGACACAGAACTCCGACCAGAACAAGCTGGATTCAGGAAAGGCATCATCGAACAAAGCATGGAATCGCAATCAAACCTCTACCTCAACTTTATAGACTTTGAGAAGGCCTTCGACAGCGTTGACCGCGAAGTAATTTGGAAACTACTCAAGTATTACGGCGTACCACAAATATTCATCAACCTTATTCAACAGATGTACGACAACGGCACATGTCAAGTGATCCACAACGGAAAACTCAGCGAGGCGTTTGGAGTAAACACAGGAGTCAGACAAGGGTGCTTATTATCACCAATAATATTCCTAATTGTGGTGGACTGGATTATGCGTCAGACAGTGGGAAACGAGAAGACAGGGATACACTGGACCGACATGAAGAACCTAGAAGATCTGGATTTCGCGGATGATTTATGTTTGATGTCACACAAAATCGAAGACTTACAAGCGAAAACCCACAAACTGGTCGAAAAAGCAGCAAAGACAGGACTCCAGGTGAACATGGACAAGACGGAGGTTATGAAAATAACCAACCAACAACAACAACAACAGCAACATCCACCGCCAATCACCATCAACGGGAGGGATTTGAAAGAGGTTACTTCATTCACTTATCTAGGGAGCATTATCTCAACTACAGGAGGAATGGACGAGAAACACATTCATCAACCTGAAACCAATCTGGAAATCTTCGTCACTCAACTCTGCATCAACAACAAAATTCGGATTTTCAATACAAACGTCAAGTCAGTCAGTTCTTCTATACGGATCAGAAACTTGGCGGCGGGTCACAAAGAATATTTCCAACAGCCTGTTGCAGACCTTTATCAACAGCTGTCTTCGCTCTATACTCAAGATCAGATGGCCGGAAAGAATCACCAATAAGAAACTATGAGAACAAACAAAACAAGAACCGATCGCTCAACAAATATGCAGGAGAACGTGGAGATGGATTGGACACTCGCTGAGGAGGCCGCTGGGTGACATCGCGTGTCAGGCCAATGTTCGAGTGGAACCCGAAATGGAAGCGGTGAGTGGGACGTGCAAGGGTGACATGGAGGAGATCGTGTGAAGAGGAGCTGAAACAGTATGGACTAACATGGATGCAGGTGAAAAGTACAGCAGAAGACAGAAACAAGTGGAGGCGTGTAGTTGAAGCCCCTATGTTACACTAGGAACCCAAGGGAACAATAATAATGATAATAATAGATTCTGAGAATCCGCCCCATACATAAGTCTCCTCCTTGCATCTTATCAGCAGAACTAGAAGGAATTATAAAAGACTTTACACTCGGATGACGATATGTAATAGCTTAACGAAATCTTGTTTGGCAGGCATTCTATGTGATGAGAAAAATGTTAGGCATGAAACTAGCCACTTACTGTGAAAGAGCAAGTAAACGGGCATTTTTATTCTTTTTGTCATTAATATTTTGTTATCATTACTCCTGCTTAATTTTAATTCTACATTTAATTTTTATAGGTATTAATATTGATATAAATGCCTTGATAATTACTTTCCCCCTTATTATGTAATGTAAACAGAAAATCAGATACAATACTGTACTACATGTTAAGAATTCTAAACTATATCACATGTACTAAATGAAGTGTTTGGAATGAAGCTATTATTTTGATTACTGTTAAATTATTATTGTTGGTTATAACACGAGAAACTTGGTTATTTTTTTTGGAAAATTTTATATGTCATGATAGTAGTAATTTGCGTATATTCAACATGCAACACTCCTAGTGTGGTGAGAGCTGGCTGCTAGCCAAATTGGTAGACAGGAATTTATGCCAATGTTTACGTCCCCAATATTGGTCGTGAGAAAAATAAGAACAAAGACTGATTCAACAACCAGTCACAGGAGACTTTGCGCAGGCGGATACAATTTATAGATAGATAATCTGAACTTCAAGAAACGACCACAAAGAGATGAAAGATTAACGTTCAGCGAGGAACCACCAATCAGAAGACTGTGTTTGTTTGCTTTAAATAATCTATAATACTGTACATGAAAATCTATAAATATGTGTTGATTTCATTAATAAACGATCTGTTACCTGGCCCTTGTCTTCTGTTGTTACACTAGTAAAATTCCGACTAGTACAGAATCTAAGAACAGGATTTCATATGGATAATCAACACTTTATTCCACACCATTTTTTTGAAGCCAGTCAGTCACGTAGGGAGGTGTGGACTGCTGTCTGGTTGGGTTCCTCGGTATGGTAAAAACCAATGACGGCTGGAGACAATTGGTGATATGGCTCAAAATGGTTCTCAAAAGTTAGTGCAGATGCATCCACTCCTTGTGACTCATAATATGGAATAAAACTATATGGTTCTTCGATATTACTATTCTTTTTGCCTCATACTTCTGTTTACTGTCACTGTTTTGCATTTCTTTTTACTTTCTTCTCTTGTTTTGTGTTCTAAGTGAAGTGTGGCGAGTCGAACTGCTGCATATATGTGCAAAGTTCTACGTTGAAACCAGTCGGTCAGTCAGTCAGTCATCCAACACTTTCATTTTGGATTATGGAAAAAGAAATTTAGGAAGACAAAAAATTACCTTGTGACAAAAGAAAAGAAAAACTAGGATATCTAACTTACATTTCTCAATAGAACAACATGTTCTTCACGTAGTTTTGCATAAATTTCTTTCAACTTTACAAATTTCTCTTCAAAAGCTTGAGCTTGACACATTTTCTCATTCAACTGACTTTCAAAGTTAACCTGTTGCTAATAATCCAAAACCAGGTGGATAGAAGGATTAGAAAAAAAAGAAAGGCGAAACAATTGTGTAAATGAAAATAATGATGTGCGGTTTGTGAACTAATTAATTAGTTAGTTAGATAGCTAACAGTGTTAATTCGCAGACACTGACAAATACGTAAATAAGCAGGAAAAAATAAATAGAATTTATAAACCTATCAACCTCAGCATAAAGAACAAGATTCAGATGTCAACACAAATGCGAAGTCGGTCAGTTCTTCTATACGGGTCGGAAACTGGCACTGTGCACCAAAAAAAGGATTCCCAACAGGTTGCAGACTTTTATTAACAGCTGCCTTCTCTGACTCCATACTGAAGATCAAATGGCAAGAGCAGATTGCTTAACAAGTATATAGGAGAAAATGGAGATGGATTGGTCATACACCATCGAGGAGGCCGTCGAGTGACATCGCGCACAATGCAGGCCATCACTCGAGTGGAATCCCAATGCGAAGAGTCGAGCGGGTCGTCGGTGGGAGGGTGACATGGAAGAGATAGTGAGAGGAGGAGATAAGGGATTATGGTCAATTGTGGACCCAGCTGAAGAGGACGGCAGAAAACAGAACAAAGTGGAGATGTGTTGTTGAAGACCTATGTTCCATTCGGAACCAAAGGGAATAATAATAAAATAAACTTATCATCGATGTTTGGACATCATTAATTTCCTGAGAGAAGTGTATTTCTCAGTTGAATCTTAAGAAAAAAACAGTTACTTATGTAATATCAAGCCAAGCAGATAGGTAAGATACCAAATGCCTGTTACATATTTCTTCGTTAATACATTAACTGAATATACTTCATTTAATGTGACGCACAGCTTTTTTTAAAAACTCTCCACTTTGTTTTAAAAGATGAAATGGTTTATCAGTTACATCTGAGGTCACGAAGTCTATTTCAAACCTGAAATACAGTAAAGCATTGAAAGTTGATGCTACAAGATAAAATGATTTTTTGACCTAGCAGAAGGTGCATCAATGGTATTTTCAGCCTTCAACAAGTTTCAGAATACACAAGTATACTTGTTGCAAACTCTCAGTACATTCCTTAATCATGGGGTAATATTCCAGTTTATCGAATCAGACCTATTCTAGTGTTTTCCAATAGGGACGAAAGTGTCAAATCTATTGTATTAATCGATGTCTCCTCTTCACAATTCACATGACTTATTATTAGCAACGCATACAGAGTTGTTGTTTGAGGTGAATATAAACAGAAACAACTGTCGGGAATTTCGACTATTGCTCGTCTTTAATTGGACACTAGTAACTAGCGTAATGTGTCTAGTCCATTCTTTGGTGCAGACTGAATTCTATCAGTCAGGTTTGCAATGTCGCCACCATTCTAGGTAGTTCGTAATGCATGACGGTGCACATTGATTTAATGATATTCGATGGTTGGAGGCAATCGGCAGGAAGCCCTGCTCGACCTAGGTTTCGTGCTAGTTGGTACTTGTCAGAAAGGCGTATCTTCAACCTTAAAGGAACTCATATCCCTCCTGAGATTCGAACCCGCGTCCCCCAGTGCTGCAGTCAGAGACGTTAATCGTCTTTACTAGGATAGCACTGCCGTATTCTGACTTCATAAGAAGTGATATACTGGATGAAGAATATCATGTTGATTTACAGAACTCAGACAACATACTTCTTCTAAATAAGATAACAATTACTTTAGTCAATATTTAACAGCATTAGTTATTCACTTTAAACCCGTCAAATATAAGATCCTGTGAAGAAGAAGAAAAAGCACACCAAATCCTAGCCGAAATAGTCGGAATCACTGAAGATTTCAATGCTTTCCGTAGTCATGTCAACCATACCAAGATGAATGGATGCTAACAAAATATATAAGGGCAAATACATAAACCCCATTCACCATCCTGCATCATCTATGATACCCAATATATCGGAATACTGATCAGATAGTGCATGTAGTTAGCAGACGTTTCCCTCTTCCTTTAGTATTGCAATGACTTGTGGACTTATATTCAAACGGATTTGTCTGGATTCAACATAGAACTTGTCACCGAAGTGCAGCAGTTCCAGTTGCCACGTTCCAAATAGCACACAAAGGTAGACAAGAAAATGAGTGAAGAGAATCAATAGAGTTTTGACAAGTATAAGAGTGAAACAGAATGAGTAATGGCAGAAAGGAATATGAAAGATTACAGAGACTGAATACATCTGCGTAAGCCATTGACAACGATTTTGAGCCATGTCACCTATTGTCTCCAGCCATTGGTTCTTAGAGTCCCGAGGGCGGACCCCAACCCGGAAGTCTGCATCTCCCTCCCTACCTGACTCAGTTTAACTGTCAAGGATTTCATGGATTGATGAGGCCATGTTTTTGTTTGGCCACTACATACTCTTTTCCAACCTGCACCTTTATTAGCTAGTAATGCCCGTCGGGGGAGGCGATGGTTAGGCATGCGCAGTACGTGACCTAGCTATTTCAATCTATGTAACTTTATAGCCTCTTCGATTGATTTTCCCTCTTTCAAACGGATTTGACAACAGGCATCTTTGTTGTGGTCGTCATATACACAACAGGAAAATAGGATTAAAACTGAATATATACAACAGAGAAATTAGTCAAAGTAAATGGTTAAGATGAAAGCAACGCAATCATTTCTGAATGATGGCTAATGTTATTTGAAACAAATTAATTCTATGTGACTCTGACAAGATTACAGACTACAGACTATAGAAAATAGGCATAACGAAGAGCCAACTATTATAATAATTAAAAGGAATAAAGTAAAATAATAAAAGTGTGAAATAGCATAACATCCTATACAAAAAAGAGATTGTTTTCATTTGAAAAAAAATACTTTCAATAGGCTTAATATAATTAATTATTTATATGATGTATAGACGATTATTGAAGTTGATAGATGTCAGGCTGAATAAGAAAAAACATTGAAAAAATTTCAAATATACGATGAAGATAATGAATTGTGATTGCCCCTTTAATAGCATTACGATATAAGGCATTAGACTGAGGTAAACAGGTCAATGGGAAAACAAGAATAACAGTGGAACATCAACAATAAATAAAGAAAAGAAACGAGTTAGAGAGAGAGAGAGAAAAGTCGAAGGTATTCAAGAAGAAAAAAGATTCTTACAATACAAACAGACTACAAAGTGATAAAATAATTAAACATTCTATCTAAATGAATATTAGAAAGCAGAATATTTTAGGATAGTAAGAATTCTGACTACCTGTTTTATCCTAAAATCTGAATTATAAGGTGTGAAATTTTGAAAATCTGGTAAGAAGATAAATTAAAGCTTTAATGTGTCTCTGAAATTGATTAATTCGCCTAACCTCCTTAATGCCGAAAACAGACATCCAGGCTCATCGAAAGTTCTAGACTCAATAGTCATGTGTAGACTAAGCGGTGCTCGGGAAGAACATACACGAGGGAAACAGGTAGGCTTTAGACCAGGAAAAGTGTGGATTAATCATATATTCACCCTTTGACAGATTCTGGAACATAAGCATACATACCGGCGTCCAACAGTCGTCATATTTCTTGACCTAAAAGCGGCATTCAGTTCCCTAGACCAAAAGGTACTATGGCGATGTTTGGATGCGAAGAGAATGCCTAGAAAATACATAGCACTGACCCAGGCACTCTACTTGAACTCATACAGTCAGCCAGGTAAGAGACTACAGAGAATTGTCATTTGAAGCGATGACAACTAGTGGTGTCCGTCAGGGATGTCCACTGTTCCAATTTCTGTCGAATTTCATCATAGATGTACTTATGGACTTAACCCTAACTGCTGACTTCAACGACTCAGGGACTGACTTATTACCACGGAATAATCGTCTTGTTGACATAGAATATACAGATGATATAGTCCTCCTAAGTGAGGACGCTGAAAAAATGCAGGGCCCTTTAAACACTTTGAGCAACAATCGTCAAATGTTTTGCATAAGATTCGCTTCTACTGTCAAATGTAAGATGATGCTACAGGACTGGACTACATCGACTACTCCTAGCTTAAAGATAGGGAGTGAACAAGGGTTGGCGGAGCGTGTTGACCCCTTCACTTATTTGGGGATTTGCGTCAGCCGGTGTCAACGGGTTGATGGCTGACGAAATCTCAGCACGGACACAGAAGGCTCGTTTGGCATATGCCAGTTTACGCCATCTCTGACTTATTGGACGTGATATCCAGCTGGCTGTCGACCAAAGGACGTGTATACTGCTCAGTAGTTTGCTCTGTCCTCCTCTATCACCATGAGTGAGATATGACCATTGGAAGTGTTAAACATGAAAAGGCCAGCTAGTTGTCTTTGATCACAGGTATATGCGTTCTATCTCCCGTGAGAAGTATAATAAAGTGAGGAACATTGAGGTGAGTCATCGGTGAAGTGTAGGTAGGTGGGAGGGGAAATCAATCGACTAAGTTGCGAAGCAGCTGCATCGATTGAGTGAGATGTGTTATGCATGCATACTTAGCCGTCGATCGTCTTGCTCGACTGACGGTCAATGTTAGCTGACACAGGATGGATCAGTTTGGAAAAGAGTCAGTGGTGGTCAAAACAAAACTTGGCTTCATCAGTCAATGAAATCCACAACAGTTAATGTAGGCTAGCCGCGTAGGGAGGTGTAGACTGCTGTCTGGCTGGGGTTCTCAGTATGGTAAGAACCAATGACTGCTGGAGACAGTTGGCGATATCACTCAAAATCGTTCTCAATGGCTAGCGCAGATAAATCCACTCCTTGTGACTTATCCAACAAAACTATGTTGTTCTCCCATATTATTATTCTTCTTGCCTCATATTTCTGTTTATTACCTCTGTCTCTCTCTCTCTCTCCTTTGAATCTCTGTTTTCTTGCTTTGTGTGTCACATGGGGTGTGGCAACTGGAACTGGTGCACATCTGCGCAAAGTTCTAAGTTGATACCAGTCAGTCACATCTAGGCTCGCCATAAAATAAACACACTAATTGGATAGGGCATGAAATTGTTGTGCATATTTTGCTGAATTCATTAAATCTTTTGGCGTTATAATCTAAATAATCCTTATCTACTAGTTGATTATCAGAATTTTCCTAGTTAGGTAAGCCAAAAAAGAGAGAGAACATTTCAATGGATTCACTTACGCGCAAACACACACAATAAGGTAAGTGGAGAGAGAGAGAGGCTAACTACAGGATCGTTGATCATCGAGTCAACAAAAGATGCATACAAATGATGCAACAACTAATTTAGATACATAGAGCATTATACTAAAAGAAAACGAGTGATTAATCCTAATTACACATACGTAAACTTATGAAAGCTTACGATACACTCCGCCTGTTCAGGCCAAAGGAAAACATAGTTTATGACAGTGAACACTGCTGGAAAGTTGACTACTTAGAATAGTAAGTCACGTTTCCACAGTTTCATAAGGTCATATCTCAGAATACGACTTAAGTAAACAAATAGGTATTTTCGGTAAATTCTCATCAGGCTTTACAATCACGTAATAAAGTATCAGTCGTAAAACCTTTGAAACAGTTTGGATCAATAGAATCAAATATAATCGAAAAGAGTGTAAACAGAATAAGAATAACCGGGATAACTATTCTAGAATGCGGTTGAAAGCCACATGTAGGGAGATGGATTGAAAGAACTCTTTCTGAACACAATGACTGGGCTGAAAAATTTTCATAGCTTAGTAATCAAAGGTGTGTAAACTTAGGGAATCGATGTGACACCTTGCATAGACTTGTGAAGACGGAATTTTATCAATCTTGTGATCACTATCCACCAGGTGTGTCAATACGGAAGTCCTGATTGACTTTAAGACTCCCTCTTGAGCATTGTCCAACCGAGTCAGGTAAACGAACCGTAAAGTCAATCCATCTCCCACCTGTAGCCTTCAAACCCATCTTAGGACAGTTATTCCAGTTAATATTATTATTATTATCCTTCTGCTTACATTCCTTTCGATTCTATTTGATTCTATTGATCCAAACTGTTTCAAATATCTATGAATGATGAGAATTAACGGAAAATACGTATTTGTTCACTTAAGTCGTATTCTGAGATATGAACTTATGAAACTGTGGAAACGTGACTTACTATTTTAGGCAGTCAACTACTTTCCAGCAGTGTGTTTACTGTCGTCATAAAATATGCTTCATTTTGACCTGAACAATTCACTAGTTAACTGAAGAATTAACGGGGAACATTCTCACCCATTGAAGGTGCCATACTTGAAAAAAGTACACGAAATATGAAAACAGAAATTTCATTTACGTGATAGTACAATAAAGATACATAGATATGACCAAAACAATAAATAAATGAGATATATTGAAGATTTTGAAGGGTTTAAAGGACAATACACACACATATGGCGAAATCATGCATGCAAGTTTTAGCCATATCACCGAAAATTTCGAGCCGTCAATTCTCAGCATATCTATCTATGCACTTCCGGAATCACTACCTAAAGTAGGAATTTAAGTTGATTTAGTTCCGTAAACAAAACCAAGACACACTATTGAAAAGTCGGGTAGGACATTTCTACCAACGACATGTAGTTCATAGATGATAAAAACTGAGTTGGTGATTCACTGGTAGGGTGCTCATCAGCCATGTGGGGGTCAGTGTTCGACTCTTGGTCAGAGCAACCCTCCTCCCCCACAGTTCCTCCTAGCTGGTGGTAAGCCTGGAACTGAGGGAAGGTTGTTAGTGAGGCTAGAAACCTAATCCCGTAAATGAGCAAACCACTAGCTTTACTGAAAGTTCAAAGCTGAAAGCCCTATGCTCTACTAGGAAGACAAGGAACGGAAAGAAAGTTTGTAAAAACTATCTTTACAACTCATCAAATGGAAATTTCTCTTTAAATCTTAAAACCAATCAAATTCCTTTCAAATTTAATGGAACTGTATCATAAAATAAAACAATCAATCAATAGTACTTCTCAAAATTTTTATCACTCTGTGTGTGTATGTGTGTCACAGAGTCAATGAAAATCAAAAGATGAACAAAAACATCGTGAAAGAATGAAGATAAATAGACAGGAAGCCAAGAAAATTCGTCGAAGGGATGAAATTCGAACAAGAAAAATGTAGACGATAGACAGACCAAAATGTTTGAAATAACTTTCTTATTGGTAAAAAAAATAATAACTGATATTGTGAATACACATCATGAAATATGCATCTTAGTAATGAAAAAGAAAACAATATTAGCAATCATAGACATGTTTACAATTCTACTTATAATGATATTTAATCAAATGAGATGTGAAACGACTTTCCGATATAACCTATTCATCACAAAAGAATAGTACAGGTTTGATCATTAGCTGAGATCAGTTAGCGAACCGTTGGAAAACCAGGAATTACTGGACAAGTGTTTCGGCCGAATTTGGGACTCTTCAGTAGTACGGAACCTAGAACCTTTCGGTTACAAGGAAAGCTTATAGAACATCCAACCACTGGAACCCGACCCTACAGCCTATGAATTTCAATTTCCGCCAATTCGCGGTAAAGAATAGTACTCAACATTACTCATACTATTACTTTAAAATTCAACTCAAACTGTAGTCTGAATTATGTAACCACAAGGATAGATAATTTTTGGTTAACATTCTTGATGGAAAAAAAGCATTAACTCTCATTCAGCTTTAAAACTCATCTAAATATGTAGATGATATGATGGAGGATGGATGTTATTAGCGTAGCTGTCTTCTCTAGACAATGAAAGCTTCACAACTAAAAAGCATCTAGCTCACAGAATACAACGACATTAATAAATATATAGAAATTATAAAAGCAACAAACTTAATGATGATAATTTAGACATAATGATTTAGTTTACCTCTTCATGATTTGATTTATACTGTACAAGTTCTTTAATTTCATCTTCTAAAACTCGGATACGATTTAACAGAGAATAGGATTGTTCTTGGTGCTAAATTGATAAAGTAAAAGGAAAAAAAGAACGAAAAACTACTTAGGTGATGTTAATTTCTATCAATTTGTCTAAAATAGTTTTGTTTTTACGAGTTGATCACACATTGATATCAGTTAGAGAACCATTGAAAACTAGGGAGTACTGAATAGCTATTTCGTCAGCCTATTTTGGGACTCTTGATCAGTACGCACCCAGCAACACGAGGTTCGAAAACAGGAACTTCTGGTTACAAGGCAAGCTTGTAGACCATTAAGCCACTGGGACCCAATCCAATGACCAGTGCATGAATTCCAACTTCTGCCAATTCATGACATAGCGCGACCACTTCGCAATGTCTTCGGCGAGTAATTGCCCACACGCCCGACCTGCTGTACCCCAATGGTCACAGCTTCTCACTAGAACCCAGGTAACTACCTACCTGAATAGGGCCAGTCGCTTTTGAGCATCTCGTTGATATTCAACAACTGGTTTCGTCACGCTATGTCGTGGATTGGTGGAAGTTGGAATTCATGGGCTGGTCACTGAATCGGGTCACAGTGGCTGAATGGCATACACGCTTGCCTTGTAACCGGAAGATCCTAGGTTCGAACCCCAGTGGGTGTGTACTGCCGATGACTCCCAAACTAGGATGAAACAGCTGTCCAATACTCCCAGCTGGTTCTCCAATGGTTCTCTAACCGATGTCAGTTCATGATGAAATCCTGTAACCAATCAATCAAATCCCTACAAACCAATACTTTAAGAACCGTTTTCGTTGAAACACGTCGAAATTATAGTCCACATATCAAAAAGTATTATAATTTAACTATTGAACACCCTAAGTTTCTGAAAACAACAGTGTTTGATTTTTCATTTATTGGGAAATACAAATTTCGAATAATAATGAAAACGAAAAGTGTTTTAAAAAGCTACCAATAGGGAAAAGGATCATATTAACTGGACGACACAGTCTGATCGGTTAAAGAAAACAACATGTTAGATAAAATTTTCGAAACTACCAGTGATGTCATTTTGTGTCTTTCTCTCATCCCACTAGCTTAAAATAAAGTAATATCTAAAAGCTAATCAACGTTGATATGACGTCTTACTATAAGGGTTGAATCACTTGAAGACGTCAACCACTTAACCGCATAATTGGGATACCAAACCAACACTGGTGAGTAGGATTTCAATAAAATCTTAGTATACAAAAGGAGGTTTCATTTAAACAAAGCCATAAGAAAACGTTATTTGTCTGAATTGTGTAATCTATCTGCGCAACACATTTCGAACAATCTGATCACACACAGACTTGTTATAGGAATACGTATGAAATTAATTAAGAGATGAGAAAATAGATTTAGATCAAGTTGAAAGGACATATTGAAGGTCAAAATAACAATGACCACTAAACTAAATAACAGAGGTAATAGTACATCTTCTATGGTATCAAAACAAAGTTTACCAAGGAAGGTTTAGTGTGATAACGAATTGTTGCTTTGAACGCATAAAGGTGGTTTAAACTTTCTAATTGCTAGCTAGGACTTCCGAAAACTTTAGGTTACGCCCCAAACACGTTTTATAGATAGGTTTAAAAGATCTGTTAACGTCAATTCTATGTCCTGTCTCTATAATATGTTTCGCAATCGAGGAGCTAGGTCTCTTGTTCTCACCATTAATAGTTTCGGAGGATTCTATTTGCTTCTGGAGCCATTTAAGAATATGCTCTGAAGCCCTTATTTGCAGAGATCCATTAGTCCTCCCTTTATATGTATGTCCACACGTACATTCAAATTGGTAAATACAGTGGGATATGACATCATTTTTTCGCATGATCAAAGGACTTAGATGGATATATTGGTTTCAGATTCTCAATTATTATGATATTAGCTGCATAAAAGTCTTTTTAACCACAGTGTTCAATCTTTGTCTAGTTATCAAGCTTCTTCGATCGCCCATATACGGCAGCTTGGTGCACACGTCTTTTTTGGTGGCCAGTTGGAGAATGAGTCTCGGTGTTCTCACTACTTTATATCTTCCGACGAACTTATAATAAAGGTTTTTGTATTTCCCAATTAATGAAAAACAAAACGATATTGTTTTTTACTGACATTTCGCTATTTAATGCTAATAGCTTTATCAAAGTAATATTCTGACGAACTTGTCTGCATAATTGTTATCAACCAGAGTTTTTGTCAGCTTTCTTTCTTCCTCCTCAAGTGTGTCTTCAGTGCATATTCCTTGGATTCTACTGAAGAGACACCTTACTAAGGCTCTTTTGTACCGAACGGGGCAGAAACTATGATAATTAAGATGCTGTCTTGTCCAGGTAGGTTTTCTGTAAATAGATAGTTTTATTGGTCCACCAAGCCGTTGACTAAGCCATGTATCTGGGAAAGATTAACAATTATCTTCCTCTTCTACAGACGTAAGTGATATGCTATTCTGAACTTCATTCGTTCGATTTAAACTTGAGGTGGCAGAACAAGACTTATCACTGATGATTACAATATCATCTCCATACCCACTATAGAATGGCACATTTTCGATTAAATCCTCCGATAAATTCTCAATATACGACATACAGATATCTGCTAAAAGGAGACCTAATGGACTTCCTCTAGCAACACCATCAACTTGGCGGAAACAATCGCCTTCAAATATAAACCTAACATTGCTAGTACATAGAAGTCATTAAACTTTTGACAAATGACAAAATATGTACCGTAGGAAGCATATACAACTTTTTATTAAGTTTATAGTGTAATTTAAAATAGTGCTATTTGACTAATTGTGTATTTGGCTATCATATCCATTGAAGGATAACTCACGGAGAGCACAAGCTTTCGACTGAATTGTTTTCGTTGTACTGTTGGAGTAATCATTCGAGCAATGTAGAGATTTGATGTAAAGGAAATGACACTAATTGTTAGAGTGACTGACTGCTGAACTGTGTCACGTAGACAGATTTGCTATGCTTGACTGGATTTTACTTACTATTGATGAAATTAAGTAGAATGGCTCAGAATTGATTGAAACAGTATTGATGCATCCATTACTTATCTTAACTGAAACATGATATTAAGGTGGTTGATAGTGCGAATTTCATTCATAGGTATAGTTTATTAATGTTTGGTTTTAGGCTGATAATTTCTTTTTTCATCCACTTAACCAAGAAATATTTGTACCTCACATATATCAACTTTGAGAAGGCGTTCGGCTGTGTCAACCGCGATGTAATTTCCCAACTACTTCGCCAGTACAGAGTATACTGCCTCTATTATTTATATAACTCATTCGACAGTTATCTGATGATATCGCATGCCAAATACTTCACAGTGGAGACCTCACTGAAGCGATTAAAGTGAAGACGGCATTAAGACACGGTTTCCTACCATCACCAACTGGATCATGCGCACGCCTCCGGGAGCGAGAGGACAGGCATACGTTTGGATAGTGAGAAGACTGTATAAGATCTGGACTGCTCGGATGAAATATCTCTCATGTAGCATAAACTCCAGGATTTACAAGCGAAAACGAGCAAGTTGGTGGGAAAAGCAGAGAAGACAGGACTTCAGATGATGAAGATACCCGACGAAGAAGAAACAATCACCAACAGCAGGAATCTAAAGAAAGTAGTCCCGTTCACTTTTGTTAGCTGCAGTACTTCATTTGGCGACCAAGTGAGTTCTCAACGTGCAATTTTGTACAAAAGTGCAACAGTTCAAGTTGCCACATTCCAAACACTATCAAAGAACCTTTTGGTCGACAGAGGTTTGAAAATATGCCAAGTGTTGGACGCCCTTAAGTATGTCTATATTTCAGATTCTATTGAAGGGTGAAGATATGATCCAAATACTCTCTTCCTGTCCTAAAGCCTGACTGGTTTTAACAGGTTTGTTTCTCTTGGGCACCGCTTAGTCTACGCATGACTATCGAACCTAGAATTTTAGACACTAAGTTTAGTAGTGTTTCATAGCAACCTGCTTCTTATGTCCGTTCAGTCGCAGGTATTTGCATGCAAGGACTACACTGTGATTGGAGTCTATGCAGGTGTTCCAAAAAGAACGACCGTCTACTGTCGATCCCCTCCATCAACAGTTTATAGGTGCATGATCCATTTGAGCTCACCGTGCATTGGACAGTGTCGGTTACCAGGTTCGTTTGGAGTTAGTGCTGGTGAGGAACAGATAATTATTGAAACAAAACTGTATAACAAGATCACCGTTGTCGACCTGTCAGCATGGGATTCCATGCCATGAGTATACTTTCCTCACTGGTACAACTACAGGCAGTACAGATGACGACGTCAAAGCCAACCAGGATCGGAAAAACAAGATAGACCTTTATTACCCTGAAATCAATGTAGAGATATATAGCACTCAGCACAAGGAACAATATCACGAATTTTCAATTTATTAATGATCCCCATCCAGGCATTAATGACAGAAAAGTAAGCAAGTAGTCCTGCGAAGCGGCTCTTTTCTGCAAATTCATTCTCGGTAGCTGTACAAGCACATTTACATACAGTGTTCACACAAATGAGGATAGTAACAAAAGTAGTGAGTTGCCATTATCATGGTTTTAAGTATCAATCAATACACAAGATAAGTTGAGTAAGAGTACTAGAGTTACGTAACAGTGAGTTTTAATCAGGAAGCACATAGAAACGAGATAAATGTGATATTACGTAAGATTTCGAATGAAATACAGGGGCTGAAACTAGTTGAGATGTAGTGGCCACCGTCTACAAGGAGTTCAGTTAACGCACTCCTCACACAGCCACTACTACCTTTCTACAACCATGAAGCGTAGTGTTCTTGAAACCTTTGACACAGAATGCGAGTCGAACGACCGACATACTTGGCTCCACAAGAACTGGTGAACTGATATCTGCTCATGGAAGTGATCAGACGCGAGATCTTGTCTTCCAGGCTTCTGAAGATCTGTGAACGACTGGAGAACACTACTCTAAGCGTTTAAGCGAAGAATTTTCCCCCCAAAGACGTCGAAATTCTTCTCTTAAGGACATCACAGGTTAAGTCTCCCCCCTAAATCAGGGTTCATTTAAGGTTTGTTTTTTGGTAGAAACAATTTCCCATTTCTTTGAACATTCAATTTGATGTTCTTGTCAATAAACCTCAGTAGATATTCATTTTGGATGGAGATTTCTTTCAGAAGTCCTAATTCCTTCTCTAAATCGTCAGGATTTCAGATAAGTGGGGTGCGAGAGGCAAAACATTGAATTGCGTTCAATAGGCAGCCAACTGTAACCTTTTAACACTTTTATTCTTTCGAACTTTTACGTAATATCACATTTCACCTCGTTTCGATGTGCTTCCTGATTAAAACTCACCGATTAAATCATTTACCCTGTTACGTAACTCTAATACTCTTACTCAACTGATCCTGTGTATTGATTGATACTTACAACCATGATTATGGCAACTCACTACTTTTGTTACTATCCTCATTTGTGTGAACACTGTATGTAAATGTGCTTGTACAGCTACCGGGAATGAATTTGCAGAAAAGAGCCGCTTCGCTGAACTATTTGTTTTGGTTTTCTCATTTATCCAAAATTTTAACACTAATATCAAGTTAGTGATTTACATGCTTCAGACACACTGGGCATCCACGTAACCAAAAGCCTTTTCAACAGGCTACTGCACACTGTCATCAACACCTACCTTTACCGTCTGGATACTAACAATCAAATGATCGGCTTGAAAGGATCACCAACAAGGGACTCAGAGAGTGTAGCAAAACAACTAACAACCTGTAACACAGCAAATATATGGAAAGAAATGGAGATGGAATGCACATATGCTGAGGAGACATTCAAGTGAAATCACACTACAGGCCATGGAGTGGAACTTGAATGGGAAGACCTCCAGGGTTTGACGTCTAGAGGTGACATGAAGATCATGTGAAGAAGAAGAAATGAAAGCTTGTGCACAGTTGCGGAACCAGTTGAATGGGATAGCAGAGAATTAAATGCAATGGAGATGTGTAGGTGAAGTCCTATGTTCCACTCAAAGAACACGAAGAATGACTTATAATAATAAGCTATTTAACGGCTACTGATTTCAACATATTTAATTAATTTTCTCAACAAATTGAATATTATCATCCAAGATTTTGAGTATTGCAAAGCCTTAAGTAAAATGGTCGATCTGTAATAACCAGCTTTTTATGACATTTACGCTTGAATCGTATAGTAGAGGTACAGAAGTTAGATACGTCACGCATATCATTTAGTTCTCTATATATGCCACTAAATCTACAAATCTAAATTAGAAGCGAAGATAATTCATGCATAAAATGAAGTGTATTTTGTTTATAAAAATACACAATATGCTCACAATCCCGAATAAATTGATATTCGTAATGAATGCAGTTCAATAATCACTATTCAACTGAAACTAATTCACAATAATATGAACCTTTATTTACAGTTTAATGAGACAGAAATTTATTAAAAACAACTCTATTATGTTATTTCATTTGCAAACATTTGAACAACATACACTTGTTTTGAAAACCAAATGCATGATATGAATATGTAATAATTTAATTCAATTTAGATTTTCCCGTCGATTGATTGGACTGAAGTGCTCGGTCTCAGGTTGACATGTCGGCTCCTTGTGAAGATGCTTCAACGATGTCTGGTTCAATCAATTGACGGGAAAATCTAAATTAAATTAAATTAAATAATTAATAAGACCCGTTGCACAAGAAGTGGCTGTCGTGGTATTGGGCGCGAGCCTCGGTGAAAACACCATTACTCACTGGGTCATACAAGTACATCCAGTAGCTGACGAGTTCCAAGTAGGACGAAATGTGTGCTATACGGGATTCTACTGCTATTCACTATCTACCAATAGACTTGAATATGTAATAGTTAATTTTTTAAAATATTAAAAGTGCATATATAGACGACAAACTTACTTCTGTTTTCAGTCTATCTATTTCAGACTTCAGTAATTCCACTTCAATGAGAACTTCATGCCTAAAAAATAAAGTAAATTGTAGTTATTCCTATGATGAATACCTTTGATAAGAAATATTTTTCCATATACACACTCAAATTTAAGTGAGGAAACAATAATAAACAAATATCTCTATGATATAAAAGTCAATCTAAACGAAGAATATTCTTTTCAATAATTTCGCCTTTTCAGGTTCTTACAATTATAAAATATAATGCATTTGTTGTCGTTACAATAATGGCCAGTTATGCGGCGGATACATTTTTTAACCCTAGAATAACAGATTAGTTATGGGTTGTCAAAATAAATAGTAGTATTTGTGTGACAAATGTGCTAGGCTGAAATCCACTACAAAACCACCATTGTCTCCCATTTCACAATATTTATTTTGTAATGGATTTCAGCCTAGCACGTTTGTAACACAAATACTACTATTTATTTTGACACCCCATAACTGATCTGTTATTCTAGGATTAAAAAATGTATCCTGTCTGTCTGTTTTCGACATAGAACTTTGCACATATGTACAGCGGTTCAAGTCGCCATACTCCATGTACCACACAAAGGAAGAGAAGAAAGTAGAAGAAATGCTTAATATAGTCAGTAAACAGAGTTGTGAGACAAAGGAATAGTAATAACGGAGAACAAAACAGCTTAATTGGAAATCATAAGTCACAAGGAGTGGATGCATCTGCACCACTGAGAACGATTTTGAGCCATGTCACCAATTGTTTCCAACCATTGGTTTTTACCATCCCGAGGGCCCCAACCAGGAAGTCTACATCTTCCTACGTGGCTTAGATTAACTGTTGTGGATTTCATTGATTGGTGCCATGTTTTGGTTTGACCGCCGCTAGATCATTTCCAGCCTGACCCTATATCAGGTAACATTGCCCATTGTTGAGGAAGGCGATGACTAGGCATACGTAAAACATGTCCTAACCATCTCAGTCGATGTAATTTCATAGCCTATCGACTGATTTCCCCTCCTTACCAAGCACTCGACGCCTAACCTCAATATCCGCCGCAAAACTGGCCATTATTGTAGCGACAACAAATATTATATTTTATAATTGTAAGAACCTGAAGAGGTGAAATTATTGAAAAGAATATTCTTCGTTCAGATTGACTTTTATTTCATGATATGGGAATATTTGACACTATTCAATCTATGATATAAATTTAAAAAGCGGTATAGGTTGATAAAGAATATTCTTTTCCTAACGTCACTTCACAGCTATACATTTATATTGTGCCATTGAAATGCCTATAAAAGTCAGCTGTTCAGATCAGTTGACAACAAAACATATGACATTACATATCAGGAAAAAATAATGAATACATTACAAAACTTATTGAAAAAGTTTTACGTAATCTTAAAACATTAAGTGGTGAATATTGCTCAAAGATGATTAGTATTAAAACAGGAATATTGTTCATAAGAGTAAGAGAATCAAAGTATATACAAGTATATTTCAAAGTTAGGAGTTTGAAAGATAAAAAGATAAAACAAGAATGAATAAATATGGATTACATGCCAAATTGGTGCATCGACAGTTCAACAGTAGAGTGCTGAATAACCGTGCACATGATCCCGGATTAGATTCTCGACCGGCGTAAAACTTTACCTTTCCCCCAGTCGGTTATAATCCCGACAAAGAGGGAAGATTGGACGTGAGAGCCCACCCCTTAAAAAGAAACAACACCCTCAGTGAAACTTCAAAACTCAAGCTTGAAACCCTATGTTCCACTGGGAACGCAAAATTATGGTACTGTAAAAGTTTAAGGCCACGATAGTGAAAAGGAGTTGGGTAAACTGTGGACAGTAGATGCAGCCAGAAACTCTTCAAACGATATAGTCTCATTTATATATATATTTCAGTTTGAAGGCTTTTCCTATTGATATGGAATGATCGGAAAGAACAAAATGTTCAAGAATGGAGCTGTTTATTCGTGTAATTTCACCTTTCGACAAAAACACCTCTCACTATGGGGTCACTTTGATAGTATGTAATTTCATATTAACTTATGCACTGCAAATATCACACAGTGACTGGGTGATTTTGCAAACAATTCATTTTCATAATCATACATAACTTTGAAACTTGATATTATTAGTTCTCAAGTATTTGTTTGTAGGGATTTTCTTTGATTGGTTGGAGGATTTTATCAAGAGTTGACATCGGTTAGAGAAACATTGGAAAACCGGCTGTGAGTACTGGATAGCTCTTTCGTCAGACTAGTTGGTGTCTCTTCATCAGTACGCACCCACAGGGATTCGAACCCAGGACCTTCTGGTTACAAGGCGAGCTCGAAGACCGTCAAGCTACCCGGTGGGTGCGTATTGATGAAGGGTCCTAAAGTAGGACGAAACAGCTGTCCACTACTCCCAGCTGGTTTCCCAATGATTCTCTAACCGATGTCAGCTCATGATGAAATCCTCCAAGCAATTACAGTTCTCCTTCTTCCTCTCTATCTATCATAAGGTTACTGGAATTATAACGGTAGGTTTGAAAGTTACCGATAAATCATCGACGTTTGTTAAGATCAACTCCATGTGATCATCTTGACACAAGAATTCATCAGTTTCACATTAATCAGTGAAATACACTGTCATGATTTCTTAATTCCGGTATATGTTATATTATAATTACAAACATGTATTCGTTAAGCCAGTTACACTTTTCTAGTAATGATTGAAAAGTAAATTCATTATTTATGAAAATAATCAAAATCTACACAAAACATTTTATGATCTGCAAAATTTTATAAAGGAAAAGGCAGTATTATAAGAAGTATGACTATGAATAGTACAATTATTGTAAAATTGATGACTAATATATCTACTTGAATCAAATTCGTAATTTACACAGTTCAAAGTGAAACTGAAATTGTTCCAGGCACAATACGCGGTCTCTTTGAATTACGAATTTGGTTCGAGGCATTACCAGTTCGCCTAATCGGCTAGCCAGAATTCCGGTAGTTTCAACTAATTCAGCTCTCTGAGCTGAGTCAAAACGGACAGAGCACTGATGAGCTCATCCCGACAAGAATGAAATGGCTATCCCGTGGTTAGATCATAAGCACTACTGGTTGATATGTCAGTGGTGTCCAACTACTCATGTCTACTAACCAGTAGTATATTGCTTCGTTAGTAGGACAAAATAAATTAATCTTATTACAAAATAAAGATCAATTGTATCCGTTTCATATGTCATCCGAGCCATAAATATTTCACTAAACTTTTAATTGATGAAAATGTAACGAAAACTTCACACACACACACTCTCACTTAGATGCACATTGATTTATATGCACAGATTTATAGAAAATAATAATACTTAAAAACCACTTTAGTTACATGAATAACCTAGAATTCATTTCGAGGGAAATAATAATGATAATAGAAGTATGTTTAAACACCATATATGACCTAGATTTAACACTGTCACATACATGTAAAACAAAATAAGACAATTTATAAAATGTTAAATTATATTACAGTATCGACAAAATATAACTGACTGATTGACTGGTCTCAACATAGAACTTTGAACAGATGTGCACCAGCCCCAGTTGAGAGAGAGGTACTAAACAGATATATGAGGCAAAAAGAATAGTAATATCGAAGAACCATATAGTTTTATTGGATATTATAAGTCACAAGGAGTGGATGTATCTGCGCTAGCCATTGAGAACAATTTTGAGCCATATCACCAATTGTCTCCAGCAGTCATTGGTTCTTACCATACCGAGAATCCCAACCAGACAGCAGTCTACACCTACCTACGTGGCTGGCTGGCTGACTTACACTAACTGTTGTGGATTTCATTGGCTGATGAAGTCGTGTTTTGGTTTGACCACCAATGGCTCTTTTTCAATCTGATCCATCCTATGTCAGCTAACATTGCCCATCAATCGAGGAAGGCGATCGACGGCTAGGTATGCATGCATAACACATGTCCTGAACATCTCACTCAATCGATGCAGCTGCTTCACAACCTCGTCGATTGATTTCCCCTCCCACCTACCTAGCACTCGACCGATGCCTCACCTCAATATTCCTCACTTTACTATACCACTTCTCACGGGAGATAGAATGCAGACACTTACGATCGAAGACAACTAGCTGGCTCTTTCATGTCTAACACTTTCAATGGTCATATCTCACTCACGGCCATAGAGGAGGACAGAGCAAACTGCTGAGCAGTATACACGTCCTTTGGTAGATAGCCAGCCGGATATCACGTCCAATAAGTCAGAGATGGCGTAAACTGGCATATGCCAAACGAGCCTTCTGTATCCGTGATGAGATGATGATTATCGAAAACTAGACATTAAAGAAAAGTGAGAAGTAGAGTAGTCATACCTGATTAGTATTTATGTATCGAAATTCTTTGGATGGCTTGTAAGATATCACTACGGTTTATTCTCCTCGGAATTTATTAGATATTATAATCGCAATTCAAAAATAATCTCCGTTATGTTCGAATCAACCAACTCCCACGGTGTGGGCAGCCGGGAAGTAACAACCGCCCACACACTTCCAAGAGCACACGAAGCCTCCTCGAGCATCATTCTCCTTTACCCACATCACCTTCATCATCTTACTCCCCTCGTCGGTCTCACCTTGTGGATAATCCTAAAAGACGACTCTGGTGGAGTTGAGTGACCTGACTTCACCAGGTGCTCAAGAACTAGGCTAGTGACTGTCTTACATTGTCCTCTTGCTAAGTATGCCGGATAATGTTCGAAGATACATTTAGCAAGTGTGAGCTTTGTGCAGCCAATACGTATACAAATACGACTGTACAGCCTCTGAAGACGATTTTGTTGGTAGAGAAAATTTTCTTCCCTGAATTGTCTTTTAACTAATGACATTTAATGTTTGTCTGAAGTTAGGCGGTAGTGTTTAATTGATGTAGCCACTTCCCTTTGAAACAGTTAATCACAAGTTGGTACTTCCCTTCATTTAATTATTCCCAGGAAAACACGTATTAACACTAGTCCACAGACACGTACACACACAATAGATTTAGTTAATTGTCCTGTACACAGAAGTGCTCACAGTTAACAATTATCACTTTTTATATGATTACTCCCTCCCCCCTGAGTTCATCAAATGGTACTAAATGACTCTAATCTCAAATAATTTAGCTAGAAACTATGGAATTATTATTTACCAAGCTAACTATTGCGTAATCAATGTCTTCATTTGTAATTGCTAGATGCCTTGATTTTCTAATCAATATTGTTCTTCAATCAATTTTATAACCGACCATAAAGTACTTTGTGATAAGTACTCTGTTATATATATTCAACAGATTTCTACTCTTCCTCGACTAATACAAATTCATAGACACATCTCTATTGGTCTATTCTGTTTACTTACTAATTTCCAGTCACTATGACTACAGGTAATTTAATTTTTGATCATAGATGCCTACGATCTCTTTCTCACGTTAGGTGGCATAATAAGGTAAGTAATGTTGACGTTAGGCGTAGAGTGTTGGGCAAAGAGGGAAAATCAATCGAAGAGGCTATAAAGTTACATAGATTGAGATGGCTAGGTCACGTGCTGCGCATGCCTAGCCATCGCCTCCCCCGACGGGCATTACTAGCTGATATAGGTGCAGGTTGGAAAAGAGTAAGTGGTGGCCAAACAAAAACATGGCCTCATCAATCCATGAAATCCTTGACAGTTAAACTGAGTCAGGTAGGGAGATGCAGACTTCCGGGTTGGGGCCCGCCCTCGGGACTCTAAGAATCAATGGCTGGAGACACTAGGTGACATGGCTCAAAATCGTTGTCAATGGCTTACGCAGATGTATTCAGTCTCTGTAATCTTTCATATTCCTTTCTACCATTACTCATTCTGTTTCACTCCTATACTTGTCAAAACTCTATTGATTCTCTTCACTCATTTTCTTGTCTACCTTTGTGTGCTCTTTGGAACGTGGCAACTCGAACTGCTGCACTTCGGTGCCAAGTTCTATATTGAATCCAGACAGACAGAGAGAGACAGGTAATTTAATGAATCTACAGAGTGCAAGTAATGCTTTAGACAAAAACACTTTTGCATACTTCTCTCTTTCACTCTTAAATGTCCCATCCTATCAACATGATAAATTAAAAAAGGGAGCAGAATAAACTTCTGTATGATACATCTGTCATTCAATCAATATTTTATGATATAAGGTGGTAAATATCACGTGAACCTATTTTATCTATCTATGTTCTACAATAGATTTAATCACGAGGTATGGTGCGATCTATATATTCATTTAATTCAGAATCAATATAGAAATATAAAATTTATGCAAAATGTTGATTGAATATCGTTCTCCAGATAACCGTTTATCATTAGTCACTGATATGCTCATAATCACTAACTTTTAAGCAGTAGGTCTTAGGTTTAAACGCTTTCGTTCACTTAAACCAACCTCAACAATGGTAAAGTAAGCGAAAACGTTATCTTAGCTCTGTGTAATGCATTTAAAAATTCAAGGAAAAAATGAGTATATTAACTATATTGAAAATAACAGCAGGAAGTAAATTTTCATACATATATGTATATCAAATTAATGCGCATAATTCTCAACTATGCACAAATTCTAAACTCAAGTAAGCGGTTTATTAACACATAAGAGTTAAGTGTTGGTTTGCGGGGATTTCATTTGATTGGTTACAGGATCTCATCATGAGCTGACATCGGTTAAAGAACCATTGGAAAACCACACGGGAGTACTGGATAGCTATTTCGTCAGCCTAGTTTGGGACTCTTCATCAGTACGCACCCACCAACACGAGGTTCGAACCCACGACCTTCTGGTTACAAAGCGAGCTTGTAGACCATTAAGTCACTGGGATCCGATCCAATGGCTAGTGCATGAATTCCAACTTCTGCTAATTCACGTGATCCCGCTCAAACCTAATTAAATCACAACAATATTGAGTGAAGTTTTCAAAGTACTTTTTTCAGTTACAGGATTTTACCATGAGCTGACATTGGTTAGAGAACCATTGGAAAACCTGGGAGTACTGGACAGCTGTTTCGTCCTCGTTTCGGACTCTTCAACAGTACGCATCCACCAACAGGAGGTTCGAACCCAGAACCTTCTGGTTACAATGTGAGCTCCTAGACCATTAAGTCACTGGGACCCGAATTCTAACATCACACAATTCACGATATAGCTCAACCACTAGCCAATGTCTTCGGCGAGTATCTGTCCTCACACCCGACCTGCTGCACCCTACTGGTCACAACTTCCCACTAGAACCCCAGGTAACTACCTACCTGAATAGGGCCATTTCACAAGTTGACAGTAGTAGTACAGTGTGTGCTAATAATAATGTGTCTAAGTATGATATAGCAGGATGCCATAAAAAGTTACATGAAAAGATTAATGGTTGGTAAAGATTTTTTATAAGTCACACGAGGATAATTGGTTAGCAATATAAAAAGTGAAAAAGAAAGGAAGAAAGAGGACGAAGAAAAATATAGCTAGAACAGGAAATTCCTTACTGCTTATAAACAGAACTTTTACTGTAAGATCTGTTATTTAATCAGTACTGAGTATAATCGGTCAAACACATAATCATCTGGCTAAGTTAATGTGTCACGATCCAAAGGCGCGAACACACCGATGACCTTGAACGCATACTATCCGCTGGATAACGAGACCTACCATTATTATAGAGTCACTATGAATGCTTTTCACGAAGTAAGGGACAAATTTAATCCCGATCTCGTTTTTAAGTACTGTTTGGGCAATGCATTGACAGTTGATTAGGGTTAGGTTTGGGATTATTAATTTTTACTATCCTCATTTTTCTAGCATATGGTTGTCAATCATCTCACTGGAACCCATACTAATTCAATCGTGGCCTTCTGGGGAAGACTGAAAAACGGGATAAGAGCAATAAATGAGTCACAAAAAGAGCTCATCTTCAGTCACTTCGGTCAATACATGTACAAAAACTGGTCTAACTTAAAAACTGATACTCCTCATTATAATTAGGAGGTATTTTCAAGTCAGAATTTAATTGGTGGATGGTGAGTAGCAGTGGAATCCAGGATGCGCATTTCGTCCTATTTGGGACTCGTCATCTGGATGTACCTGCATTTCGCAGTGAGTGATGATGTTTTCCTCCCGAGGCTTGAACCCCGTGCCCATCCACCTGACGAGTTCCAAATAGGACGAAATGCGCATCCTGGATTCCACTGCTAGTCACCATTTACCAATTAAATTCTAATTAAATGCCCAGACATCATCGAAGCATCCGCATAAGAAGCCGACATATCAACCTGAGAGCGAGCACTTCGGTCCAATCAATCGACGGGAAAATCTAAAATTCAATTAAATAAATTTTTAAGTCATGTCAGGGAAAATATCCTGTTTAATATGTTTTCATGTATTTCTCTTGTAAATAAATGTCATTTTCATGCGAAAACCACTCGACTTCCTGATTGGTAGGTTCAAGGTCACTCATGCATTGACATCCAATAGATCATTATAATGTAACTTTGCTAATCATCCAGATAAACACAGTGTTTTCGTTGTCTTCGACACTGCTTGATCTTATCTAACATCGCAGGTTGAAGACAAGGCAGTAACTCATCTAAGAAGACATTGCGAAATGGTCGCGCTATGTCGTGAATTGGCAGAAGTTAGAATTCAAGGACCATTGGATCGGATCCCAGTGGCTCAATAATCTACAAGGTCGCCTTGTAACCAGAAGGTCCTGGGTTCGAACCTTGGCGATGGGTGCGTACTGCTGAAGAGTCCCAAACTGGGACGAAACAGATGTCGAGTACTCCCAACTGGTTTTCCAGTGGTTCTCTAACTGATGTCAACTCATGATGAAATCCTCCATGCAATCAAACAAATCCCTACAAAACCAATGCTTGAAAATCGTCAATATAATCAAATACTTTAGGCATACACTACTAAGTTCCAACAAATTATATACTTTCTACCAAGCATAACAGTGTACCGAGTCGTTATCACCTCAGAGACTTTATAAATCGAATACACTTATCTAAAATAATAATAATTTAATACACATACATTTTAACGATTACACACAACCAATTCATATCAAAATTTTTTTTACAAATATTATTTAGCTTACTTACTTTTCATCTGTTAAATTTGTATGATGTAATAAAAGTGCATGATTATTTGTTTGATTCATATTATCAAAAAATGGATTCCAATTCATTTTCAAATTATTATTATTATCATTATTAATATTATTATTATTTATGATTATGGTCATCATTGACACTGAAATCCTAAATGTCAGTTAAAAATAAAATAATAAACAAATGAAAATTAAGTTAAAAATAGTTTTATTATTATTAGAATAATTGAAAAGTTATTTATCATCATATAACATTTGTATAAAATGTTAATTTAAACAGGTGAAATATCAATTAAACAAGCATCTAAGCAGTTGTTAAATAGCCTTCATGATAAATTTACTTGCGCGCAAACAGATGGTATCACTAGCCGAATAGACTTTGAAGTCGATTTACGCATATTTCGAAACTAATGACAGTAAGTTATATATATATGCGCTGAAATAATTATAAGATGGTAACCAATATAAGGCCATCAAGTTACTTAATGTTGGATTAAGTCTAACAATTAAGTTTATCATGCAACAAGATAATGTTGTCTTATTGTTTAGCAGAAGGAGCAACAAAGATAGGACTTCAGGTGAACATAGAGAAAACAGAGGTGATGAAGATTCCTGGACAAGAACAACAACAACAGACAACGATTAAGCATAAATGGGAGGAACCTGAAAGAAACAACCTCTTTTACCTACCTGGAAAGCATCGTTTCAACTACAGCCAGACGGAACTGACGAGGATATCAAAGCAAAAATCGGAAAAGCAAGACAAGCTTTCACTACTCTCAAGTCTGTGTGGAGGTCAACAGCACTCAGCATCAAAAATAAGATCCGGATTTGCAACTCCAATGTGAAGTCAGTGCTAATCACTATACGGATCAGAGACTTGCACTGCGCGTCATAAAGAGCATCTCAAACAAACTATAGACCTTCATTAACAGTTGTCTTCGCTCAATACTCAAGATCAGATGGCCGGTCAGAAAAGATCAGCAACAGAGATCTCTGGGAGCGAACCAACCAGGAACCGATTGTGAAACAAATAGGCAGGAAGAAATGGAGATGGATTGGCCATACTCTGAGGAAACCATCAAGTGAGTGGCATCACTAGACAAGCCATTGCTCGAGTGGAACCCGAAAGGGAAGCGGCGAGTTGGTCGTCAGTGCAAGGGTGACTTGGAGGAGGTCATGTGAAGAGGAGATGAAAACGTGTGGGCAGACTTGGAGACAGGTGAAGACTCTAGCAGAGAACCGAACTCAATGGAGACGCACGGCTGAAGCCCTATGTTCCTCTAGGAATTAAAGGAAACAATAATAATAATAAAATATTGAACCAAAATGTCTTTTCAATCATGCATAAATTACAAAAAGGACAGGAAATGAAGCAATAATAACTGATGGAATCACAAATGGCATCCCCATTTTGTTGCAAACTTATCAGTTAAATAAGAAGTTTTACACTTTCTTTTTCTGTTAAACACACTACACGTAACTCCACAAAAAAAACATCATCACCTCCTAGCAAGGTGAGAACCAAAGTTGTTCGATTAACAGACCGCTGCCGGGCGGGTTATATAACCAATTCTAACAGATCGATGACTAGACAGTGATGTATTGACGTGTGACCGGCCTCATGCAGTTGTCCCCTGGGCTCTGCGGTCACGCAACCAACTTCTACTGTGTGGGCAGCCGGGAAGTAACAATCGCCCTCACAATCCGAAATGCACGCGAAACCTCTTTATTGACGTTATACGCTTAATACAGATAACAAGTAATGCATACAAAGAGTTATTATCAAAATCAAGCTTACTTCTAGTGAACAGTTGTCCAAGTTGTCACACATCATATTCTCATAACTCTACAGCCGTACACAACCGTAATTTATAACCTCTAAAAGGCCTTTAATTATCTGAGACCAAAAGTTATAGTTATCAAAAGTTTACATATTACAAAATTATAAGGAAAAGAAAATTCTAACCATTTTGCTTTCTTTTGATGACATTACTGGTGTTTCCTTAATTGGTGATTTATTCAAATAACTTGGTGATAAAATTTTAGGTATAATGGCTAACTCGAAAGAATCATCTTCATCACCGGAAAGTTGACGATTTTCATCTGGTGTAGCCACTGGTGTTGTTGATGATGTGTATGTGGTTTCCTGTGTTTTCAACAGTGGTGGTGGTGGTGTTTCATTCATAGTAACTCTCAGTGTAGTACGTTCATCCAATTCTGACTGAATACAAAAATTTGGTGGATTCTGTATGGTGAGTTGAATAATTAAAGAGAAAAAAATAGGTGAGACAGTTAACAATCACATTAATATTAATATTAACAATCATATTAATATATATATATATATATATATATATATATATATATATATATCCGATCATCCCATCCTCTGTCGATAAAAATAGGATAGGTGAAATGTTTAAGTGACAGAGCACAAAAACTAATTAGTACCAAGGAAAATCTAAGACAGGAAGTGATACATATTAGAGAAGCCTTGAAACTTAATAATTACCCGGATAAATTAGTCAGGAAACATGTAAGGAAATGTAAAAATAAAATAAATAATGATAGTAGCGATAGTGATAATAATAATAATAACAATGATAATAATAATATTAATGACGACGTGCATGTCAGATATGCGCAAGACAACACTAACGATAAGGAACTTAAATCATCAGTAGTACTTCCATACAAAGAGGGAACCTCGGAAACTTTACGCAGAATTCTTAACAAAGCGGGAATAAAAGTGGCATACAAACACACTTACTCAATTAGAAACAAGCTTTGTCGGTTAAAGGTTCCTGTGGGGCCTTTAAAACAAAACAATTTAGTTTATCTAATACCCTGCAATGATTGTCTCGTCAAATACATAGGTCAAACTGGTAGAACAGGGGCAGTCAGACTAGCCGAACATAAAAAGCTAGCAAAATCTAGATTGGTTGATCCGAATAAGATAAGAAATCTAGAGATTAGTTCAGCTATAGCACTACATGCAGTTACACAAAACCATACAGTAGGATGGGATAGGATGACAGTTTTAAAATCTAATATCACAGGATGGAGGGAGAGATTGATAACAGAAGCTTTGTTTATCGAATCAACTGCAAATACATGTAATAGGAATGATTCAACACCTGTCCCAGATATCTGGAAAATTCTACTACCCCTAAGACGACAAATAGGAGAGGACAAAGAAAACTATAAAAACTCAAGTTTCAAAGTCGTGTGATGGCAATTGATATTATTATGAACAATAAATTGTGTTCGAAACGCCATCAGGTAAATAATACTATTTTATCACTGTGTGATACATTTAATAAACAAACTAATATGGAACAGTTAACAATCCTTTCTCGAATAAATTTAAATAACACTGACAGTTAAGAGAGAAAAAGGTATTATTATTATGACGAGATTTCTTTTCAACAGTCTTATTATAATGTTCTACAATAGCATTAAAAAAAAGATACCGATTAGATTTACCACTTATATAACAATCTGGATCAAAGCGTTCTTTTTTATTCCTTCACGTTCCCGGTGGAACATAGGACTTCAAGCTAGAAGTTTGGAGTTTCTGTAGCAGTGGTGTTTATTTTTTACAGGGTGGGGTTGCTAGCCTCATGCCCAACCTTCCTTCTTTACCAATCTTATTACTGGCTTAACGAGGTAAAAGAGTGCATCGGCCGGGAATCGAACCCCGGACCACCTGCGTGGTCGGCGAGCACTCTACCGCTGTGCCACCAACGCACAAAGGGTTAATTACTCTATATCTATTTCATGTCTATAATAGAATATGTATTTCAACTGATTAAAAATGCCCATTGATTTTTCGTGCTCGCTCGGGAACATCTGCCACCAGTGTGGCTAAATAAAGGTGTAGTAAAAACCATCAACAGTTCGATATTAGACCACCTGGTCCAAACCAGCCACAAAGCCAGCCAGCATTGAAGAATTCTTCTCTATCATCATCTATCGGCTACCAAACAAATTGCCGAAAACATCTAGGTACCGCATACTCCACACAGCAGAGGCCAACGCTATTCGCATTAAACAACTGGTGCTCTGTGTGCAGAAGAAGCGAGTCCAGCCAGCCACTAGTACTGCCACCCTGGCCGGCCTTCAGTGGAGAATATAAATTCATGAATTTGTATTATCATCTTTCCTAACTTGCTTGTCTGATATTCAGTGTGCATTGTTATGTTGATGCTATTGAACTGTAATCCATTGACATTATTATTGATTCGATATTATCTAGACAATATTGTCAATAGCACTAATCCATTGACTATTATGTCTATATAACTGTAGAACCTGATGAAGAAGGGGTTATCGAAAAGAATATTCTTTGTTCAGTAACTATTCTTTTGAAAGAATATGTATTTATTTGATAGAAAGTTTACGTATATAATAAAGTATGATATTACAAACAAAGAATTTCGTTATATTCCTCCAAATGTATTTTTGAGCTGTTTTGTAATTGTTGAGGAGTGAAATCATTTCACAGTAAACACACACACACACATTTGCTGTATCAATGATTTATAAGAGTGAAATTTAAAATACACATTTCGACTAGCTTAAGACACGTCATTTGGGTTTACTTTTATGTTTTTCAGTAGGACAGGTATTAAACCTGTTCAAAACTGTCTCCTTTCATAGTTGTACATCAGGTAGTTAAGAAGTAAAAGCACCAGATGAGTCAAGCGTCTCTACGATTGATTCTTAATCAAATCATCGATGGTGAGCAACTAAAACTACTTTAGGCAACATGGACACATCAATACAAAAAACAACAAATGTTTCCAAGCTTCTTTGATAATTGATTTCCGTTTGACACGAAGTAGATGTCGGTACTCACCAACCTAGCAAATAATTTCCTGATACTAAGACAAATGGGTCTCCTAGGAAACACTTGGACTCACTGGAATGTGGTTACACCACATAGAAAAGTCGACTGATGGTATAAGACATATTGAGAAGTCATTCAGAAGACATAATTATGAGTAAACTAGCATTTGAACACATTTATTCTAACATACTTGAATAACCTAACACGTCTCATACTGTCAGCGTAAAAAGCCCAGTGATTACAATAAAAGCCTATGAAAGATTCTGGTGAAGAATAAAATTTAGTGCTCCACTTAATTAAAGCCGAAAGTGACCAAAATTATCATATCGATGACTTGAAATTACCCTAACATCATCAGTCTCTTAAAACAGATGATATCCTGATACACTTAAAATATTGGTCTAGGTGAAATGATAAAATATTGAAATAAGGAGAAAAAAAATTTGAATAACCAACCTGTGAGATTGAAGGAATATGAACAAATGAACGAAAGTATTGCATGTGAGAAACATTCTCAAAAAATCGTTTGACTGATACGTGAAGTTCTTTGAAACGTTCCCTGTGACCAGACATTGTTCCATTGCCTAATAATTCATGTAACTTGAAGATAACCTGTACACTCAGTTCATACAGTGCTGCAGAATCTTGAATACATTGAATAAGAGGTACCAGTTTGCACTGACCAGGTGGAGTGAATGAAGCGGCTTGAATACCTTCTACAGAAAGAAGGACAACATCCTTAAAACGTAAAGTCTCCTCAAGCATATCCATGAGATCGACACTAAACTGAAACCTTTAAAAAATAATTAAAGCGGTTGTAGCTGGGGGAACTGTAATGGTATAGAAACTTCTAAAAATAATTGCATTATGAGGCAAATGGTAAGCTAGTGGTCCTATCACTTAAAACATGACTGATAGGTGTTAATAACAAAAAGGTTCATATACTAGTTAGCTAGAAAACTCATATATTCGTATACATAAGTATATATTTTGTATTAAGAAAACGAAAAAGATTGAAAATTGAGGGAGGCGTAAATTAACTATATTTGTTCCCCGAAACCCCAAGTACAAGTGCAAACATCAATGAAACTCAGAGTTATTTAATGATTTTGGAGTAATAATAACAGCTGATGTGAATCTCGCAGAGCGTTCATCGACTTTTCTCCCAATAAAAATGGTTGTGAAAAACATTAAATCCAATTTTCTATTTTAACATAAAAAATTTCACTCTTGACAGATCAGTAGTATGTATTTTGAATCCCTACTAATAATTTTGTTAGTTTACTTCGGTAACTGAGAGAAATGAGGCTAGCAATACTGAAACGGTACTACAGTTTAGGTGTGTGGAGTCCTGTCACTAAAACTTAACGAAATTAATTACATAGTGTGTAAACCAGCCTAATTACAATGAGAGTGAGGATGGAAGTAAAAGTCACAGTAGAAAAGAAAAGCCGACATCACACCTCTTGACGACCAACTTCAGAACGCAAGACTATAACGTCTAGTAACGCTGCATGTGCATAGCCGAAAGTGTGAAGAGAGCAGTTAATAGTGTTGACACTGCATCATCAACTGCTTGACAGTAATGACTTCGGCGTGGAGGTGTGGCCCATTGGCTTAAGCACCCGGTTTCAGCCGATGGACCAAGTGTTCGAGTCCCGATGCACCTACTTCAGCCTGGGCAACTGAGCAGTGTTATCAACCCTCACACAACGAATGTAGTTCTTTGCTTGGTACATACAAAGTCTGTTCCGGATAATTTAGTTTAAATAAATAGTGATTTCACTGCAGAATGTGACACAAACATGTTCAGGAAAATTTTACGGTAAATTCATTGGTTACCTTCATACTCAAATTCAAAATCAAGTGACAAACCAGTAGACATGTCCTTAGATTTAAAAAGTTGTTATTATTTCGTTGGGTACTGGATTTGCAGAATCCACTTACGTGAAAATAACTAACTGAAGTCACTTTCTTCACCAACTAATCTTAATGAGGAATTAATTAGTAATTTGTAATTTAAACTACTAATTTAACAGTAGGTGTTGAAATATTAAAATATAGTCAAGAAATACACAAAAATCTCGTGTAATCATAGATTATCCTAATTGTTCGCTAGTGAAAATCGAAAACCTTTCTAGTTGTTTACCATTTCGAAGTCTAAAAAGAAAATAATGTATAATGTCAACCAAATTTTTCCGGTCTGTATCTAAGTTCCCTAATATATCTGGAAAATGTCGCACTTTAGGCGAAACTGATAAGTGAGAAATGAAAATAGTTGTCATAGAAATGTATTACTCCATGACGCCATATGTTAACCACTAAATGACGCCCTCTGGCTAATACACTATTATTAAGTTTCAGTCTTTCTCATATGCGTAAGCTTCGGGCTAAAAACCGGTTGACCTGTCGACAAGGAAAAACACTACAACTTCAGTATGCAAAAACCATTGAACACGGTTATCATCTACGTCAAACAATACAGAATCAGAATTACCATGAATTGACCAAGCACACTTCTTATAATACTTTTATCTGAAGTTGCCATAATAATGAAGGATATTGCCAGAGTTCATAAAATCAGAAGAATGGTGTTAAACTTACAAATGATCAGCTTGAGCAGAAAGACAGTTCTTCAGTTCACTTGGAGTAAGTTCAAGGCACCCAGGTAATATTCCATACTAAAATATGACGATGTAAAATGAATTTAGTACCTTTCTATGTAAACGAAGTTTACGGATTATGAGCTGACAGAAATCTACGATCGGATATCCACACTTTGTAGCGTGATTACTCTAAACTATGTCAAATGTGAACCTCATATAGCTACCCAAGCGGACTGCAACTGTGACACCCTAGTTGCATGACGCAATCCATCATTTATACACTAAAAATAAGTTTTTTTATCTACAGGTAAAATTACTTCACGATGTCCATCTCGAAATAGTTTATGAATAACGTACAGAAATTTCCAACAAACCACTGGATTAGTATATATAGCAAGCTTCAGCGCAGTGTCATAGAAAAAAGAGGATGATCTTCCATTAAAAGTCGCCAAAATAATGCCACGAATATGTTTCTGCTTTGGTGGAACCTCTTGGTCCGTGATTGCTTTCAGAATATGTACAATCTATAAACATGAACACTTCACAAAAGACGAATACCTGCTGCTTGTTGGGGTTATCTTTTCCCACTGCAATGCTTTTTATAGAGTCAAAGTTGGGTAAGGGCATGTTACACAGATTCTACAAAAACGACCTTGAAACTTGAAAGCAGCTCATTTCATTGCAATGGTAACGCCTATCCAATATCCAATATCGTTTTTACGAGCTAGTATAAGCCAATTTGATTTCTTTGTGCTCGCCTCTTGATTGTGAGGTAGAGGTTCCTGATCTTCGGTAAACGTCTGCGTAGCTCGTCCCTCCACTCGACTGCCGTAGCTTTGGTTGACTCCAAAAGGAGTAGTGCAGGGATTAATTATATGTGGTTTGTAGTATGAGGTGTGTTAAGACTGTTACTACTGTGAATGGAGTTGATCCTTTCACCAGTTAGTCCTTCGGTATCGTCGTCAATAGAAAAGAGATAATAATAATAGATATAATTAGTGAAGGTATTCAGACTAACAGACAGAAAAAGAATAAGAAAACGTAACAACAGTCAGTCAACCGGTATATATATATGTAATAATGATAATAATAATAGGTGTAGTTAAAGCTGTCAGGAGAGTAAGACGGGAGAGAATGTAAAGAAGTAAAACGACCAGTTTAATTGTCTACCTTTGAATGGTGTATGCGCTTTTAAGGGGATAGGCCATTTGGATGCAGTCCTTGTGTCGCTGCATGGTTGTCCAGCCTCCACTTAAAGGTGTCCACAGACGGTGCCATAGCTACATCTGCCGGTAAGGAATTCCAGGGACGGCAAACCCGCAGGGAAAAGAAGTGGGAGCGCACCCGGGTCCTTGCCCTCTGATGAGCTATCCTTCTAGGATTTCCACGAGGGAGCCTATACCTACTCAATGGCAGAACACCTTTGTTTGGGTGATTCTGATCATTTGTTATTTTGTAGGCAGTAATCAAATCCCTCCTAAGACGACGATAGCTAAGTGTGAATAGGCCTAATTTCTTCAGCCTTTCATCATATGGTTTATTTCGGAGAAAAACCACTCCTTTTGTTGCCCGTCGTTGGACTCTTTCCAAGAGGTTAGCGTCTCTTCTAAGCAGTGGGGGTGCAATAATATTATGCACTTCAAGGTGTGGTCTGACGTATGTTTTGTACAACCTTAGAAAGAGCTCAGGAGTGAGTGCACCTAACTGTCTATGTGTAAAGTGTATGACCGCATATGCCCTCGCTACATCCCCCGTGTAATTTACGCTTGTGTCCATTTTCTCCGTTAGAACTAGACTTAAGTCACGTTCCGACGTTGTGCAGGACAAGCTTTCATTGCACAGGGTGTAACTTGCATTCTGCAGTCTACAGGTGCGTAACTTCACTACTTTGCACTTTTTCAGGTTGAAAGTCATGCCACTGGCCACCGCCCAGTCTTCCAGAAGGTTTAGATCTTCCTGTAGCCTATCTCAGTCCTCCTGGCACTTTATCGCCCTCCATATCTTCACGTCGTCAGCGTATAGAAGGGTCGGGCAGCTGAGATCATTAATAAAAATCAAAAACATCAGTGGTCCCAGGATAGAACCCTGCGACACTCCTGATGACGAGCTGTGCCAAGATGATCGGACTCGATTGACCTTAGTGCGAAATTGCCTTTCAGCTAGGTAGTCCTTTAACCATGACAGAAGTGGTTTACCTATGCCTACCTGGCTTATTTTGCGTAGGAGAAGGTCATGGTGAACAGTGTCGAATGCCTTCTCAAAGTCTAGGAAAACCACATGGACTGGAACATTCATATCCCAGCATGATGTCCAATCATCCCAAGCTGATAGTAGGTTAGTAACGCAGGATCTCCCTTTCCTGAAACCGTGTTGGGCCTCATGGAGTATATTAGACCTATCGAGATATTCCCTGATGTGGTCGTCAATAATACTTTCCAGTACTTTTGATACCACTGGGAGTAGAGCTACTGGTCTATAACTAGTGGGATTTTGCCTATCCCCACCCTTGAAGATCGGAGAAAGGATGCTTCTTTTCCATTCCTTTGGCAGTTTCCCCGATTCCATGGAGTGTTGGAACAAGTCGCATAAGGGCCTACAGAGAGCTTCGGCGCACTGTTTCAGAACAGATGGCCTGATGTCGTCACAACCTGGGGACTTCCCAGGTGTGAGTCGCTCTAGCTTTCTTAGTACTATTGTGAGGTTTATTTGGGGAGTAGCCACTAGGTCTTCCTCCTGTGAAATAGTAGTGCCACCATTTCGGTCCGTAACGGTAATACCCACATTGCTGTTTAGCTGTTTGGCGAAGGCTAAACTGAATGTTTCAGCCATCTCCAGACTAGTGCGATATTGACCGTTTTGGCCTACTAAGGCGCATGCCCCCTGGTTGGTTGGTTTTCTTTCCGACATGAATCGGTACAAGTTCTTGGGGTTTGCTAGGAGTCTTTTAGCAAGGTTAGCCTGGAATGACCTCCTGTTCCTCCTGACTCTTGCATTGCACCGGTTCCTGAGTTCCAGGTATGCATCATGGTCGAGCTGACTCTTAGATACGCGCCACGTAAACCAAGCCTTCCGCTTTGCTTGCAGAATAAGTTGCGTGCCTCTCTTTAACCATGATGACTTTCTTTTGGGCTGTGTTGTGACTAAAGGGACGGTATCCGAGATTACTGTATGAATAATCTTTTTTACCACCTCCCAGTGTTCATCCACAGATAGCTCATCCCATGCTAGGGGCCAGTCTGCGTCGGACAAGAGCCTCCGCATTTCAGCATAGTCAGCCTTGCTGTAACACAGACATGGTCGCGTAACGTCCCACTGCAAACGCTCACGGAGAACGAGATCGAAACCTATGACTGCATGGTCACTACTTCCTAGAGGAGTCATGATCTGGACCTTTTCGACGAGTAGTTGGTCACTAGTTAGAATGTAGTCTAGTTTTGATGACTTTCCACTAGGGCCACACCTAGTGTCGTCTCCAACGTTCTCAGTCAGTCCCGTGTTTCGAATAGTTTGCAGTAGATTTCGGCCGAATTTTCCCTTAGCATACCCCGAGCCAAGGTTCAGTGATGGGGCATTGAAATCTCCAGCAATGGTGATTTGGTCATAGCCCAAGTCTCGTATCCCTGTGATAGTGCTGAGCAGTAGCTGATTGTGCTCTGCCCCACAGGTGGGAGATCGGTAGATGCCACCAAGTAAATGCTTGGTGTGGCCTACGGTGAAATGACACCATATGGAGTCTGGGAGTTCAATAAGTGGTGGGTCCGTTGCGCGCACACATTTAAGTTGCCTGTCAAAGTATATAGCAACTCCCCCTCCTTCCTTATTATCCCTGTCTCTCGTGACCAGAACCATATCACCTATACTGATTTCATTATCGGCGATAGTGGGGGTTAGCAATGTTTCGGTGAGAATGATCATTTTCAGTTGTAGGTGTGCTTGGAGATTTCGGAGTTCACCTATTTTTCCTCTCAGCCCCTCACATTGCTATATAGGCAGCTGACAGTGAGTCTTACAACCTCAGCGTGTTGTGGGGTAGTTGATGTGAAGCTGCCTGCTGGTAGGGGACTTAATGTTGGGACTAGTTGGCCGGTTCCAATGGGACCGGCCTGTTGTGGGTTTTTTCCATGGATTTAGGCAGGACACTTGGGCGATACAGACTGTGATTCTCAGAACTGCATCGCTGCAGTGTCACTGAAGCTTGGGGACGTATTAAAGCCTCAGTTTGCTGCCTCCTTATGGTTCGAGGTCTGCTTTCGCAGCATCGAATGTGTCCCCCGATTTTCCCCTTGATCTCATACCACCGTTGAAGTGCTATGGCCAACTGCTCTGGGGAGTTGAATGTGACACTTAGCAGCTTTGGAGAGCTAATCAGTGTGAGATGAGCGGGGCGAGGTAGTCGGGAAATGGAGATGGCTCCAGAAGCGCCAAGGGCCATCTGAGATGACAGCCATCTCCACTGCTGTACGTCATGTATTTGTTTTTCACAAGCAGTGCCCGTTTTCAGCTCCGGAACACCATGTACCACCATAGAGGTAGAAGGCATCAGTTCCGGTGACTCCCTCGCCATTTGTCTGATAGCCCATGGTCTGTCTTGTCTCACCCTTATGTTCGAACTTCTGTCGATGGCTAGTACCTGAGCCATCAATAGTACCTTTTCGGCCTCTTCGGCAGAGTCCAGTGTAACCCTTAATGGGGGTGGCTTACCCTGAGGCGTGTGGACACCCCTGTACAGCCTGCACAATTTCACTGAACTAATGTTCAGACCTAGTTTATTGCACAGGTTGGACCACTGTTCCTGATCAAACAGGGCCCGCTGTTCAAGCAAGCTGTCCTTGCTCACAGGTACGTTAAAGAGGATGAGAGAGTTAGATCCATTAACCTCAGACTTAGGTTTGGCCTTTGGCTTCTTGTATTCCTTTGCAGCATCAGCAACTTTAGGCTTCATCAGGTTCTGGCCAGCCTTTGTTGTGTTGCCGAGCTTGCTTGTGGATGCAAGTGGTACTTTTCTAATCCTCTCTCCCCTTGATTTTGTGGGTCCAACCTTTTGAATCTTCACCTTATGAAAATTGGCATTTTCAGTCAGTAGGACTGTAGTGTCCTTCTTACTGTCTGTGCCAAGTTTTGGCAGTGTGGTGTTAGCAGGTGGGGAGCTGCATAAGACTTTGTTGGGACCCAAGAGCGACTCGTTGTTTCTGCTATCTGCAGACACGCTCTGTGGGACTAGCCAGGGCGACAAAGTGGACGGACGTACCAAAACCACGGGCACGGGTTATTTCTCATAAACTCGTAGTATGCTTTCGGCACCTCTTTGTCACAACGGCAGTGCACCCACCGTTTGCAAAAATTGCATTCAAACGCTGAGTCAGCTTTAGAAACTATGATACTGCACGCCTGGCATTCGTCTCCTTTACTTGATGACGCCTTCGAGGTATTATGACGTCTTGAGCGTTTCCTTTTAGGTTTGCTGTGTTTCACACACTGGCTTTCAGTTAATGCAGGTGTAGTATCCTGTCCCCCTGGTATTGCCTGTGCCGTTTCAGTACTAGACTGTGGCAATGCAGGCGTAGTTTCAGGACAGACGAGACCTACACGAGTCTTTAGTATCGGTATGCGGGAAGGGGTTGATGTCC